ATTATTAATATAAGAGTATATATAATAAATTTAATATATAAAGTATATAAAAGTAATTTTTATATATTTATTATAATTTATTTTATTAATTAAAATTAATATTTTAAATTAAAGTATATAAAAAATATACTTAAGTAATAAATATTTATATAACTTTTTATAAATAAATAAAAAATATATAAAATTTTAAAAAAAAATAATATATAATATAATATTTTTTATATATTTATTATATTTTTTTTAAGCTATTATATAATATAAAGTAAAAAAAAATAAAAATATTAAAAATTAAAAAAATTATTTAAAAAAAAACTAATAAAGCTATAACCTTAAAAAGACTAGTTTTATAAAAAGAAAAAAATCTATATTAATTAGGTATAGTAAAAATTATTAAAACTTTATTATTAAGAAAAAAGTACTTTTAGTATAAAAAAAAGAGAAATTTCTCTTATAAGCTATTACTGCCTTTTTTAAAATAAAGCCTTAAAAAATTAAAACTTTAATTCTAGCTTTAATACTTACTTTAAAAATTAAAAAAAAATATATATATAATCCTTATAGCTTATAATATATAAAAAGATTTTTTTAATATTTTTAAAGCCTTTATTTAAGATATAGTAAAATAGTAAAAAAAAGTAAAAATTTAATCTAGGGTAGGAAGCTTATAAAAAAGTAAAAGATCTTATATATTAAAAATATATAAAATTCTAATTAAAAATAAGTATTTTAAAGCTATTTTTTTTATATTTTTAGCTATTTTATTTATTAATAAAAAGCTATATAATATATTATTTTATTATTATATTTATATATAAAGCTTAAAATACCTATTTATTAAAGAAATATAGCTATATAAAAAATATATATAATTTTAATACTTAATAAGCTACTTAAAGCTATTTTTTATATATTTTTAGCTATTTTATTTTATAATAAATAGCAGTTTTATATTATAAGTATAAAATAATATACTTTTTTTATAAAGTAAAAATAAATACTTATATAAGTAAAAATAGCTATATAAAAAATATATAAAAATCTAGTAAAAAATAAGCTATTTAAAGCTATTTTTTATATATTTATAGCTATTTTATTTTACTTTAATTTTTATAAGTAAAAAGCCTTTTTTACTTTTTTTTTTCTTTAAGGCTTACTTAAGTAAAAGGTAAGTAAGTAAAGTAGTAAGGGTAAATACACTAGCAGGGATACTAACTGGATTTTAAGCTAATTATTTACTTAAGTAAGCTACACCTTACCTCTTAAATAATATACCTTATCTTCTTCCTTAAATAAAAAGCTAACTAAACTAGATATAAAATAGTAAATTATATAAAAAAATCTATTAAAAAATTAGCTTTTTAATAGTACTACTTATAGCTTAATGCACTTACTAATAGCCTAGTTATTTATAAGTAAAGATTCTTATACTACTACCTTTTAAGCTTAAGTATTGCAGGGGGAAAGGCACTAGCAGGGATACTAACTAGATTTTAAGCCAATTATTTAAGTGGGTCCTAGGCCCCACCCCTTATTAATACTATACTTAATTAAGGAGAAAATTATAAAAATACTATTTTTTATTTTTTAGCTTTTTTAAGCTAACTAAAAAAGGTATAGCTTAAATAAAAATATATAAAAATCCGCCTAGCTTAAACTATTCTAAAGGTATTATTTTTATTTATAAAAGCCTATATATAGTTAGTTTTTTATAAGCTTAAAAGTAAACTTAAATAAAAGAGAAAAAAAAAATTTTATTAAGTTTTTCTTTTCTCTCTTAACCCTAGGTATAAAGCACCTGTAAATAAGGAAAAAAAAATTATTTTATAATAAAACCTTTATTTAAAATAAGGGTTTAATATAGTAAGGTATTTAAGGTAGGTAAGAAATCTTTATTTAAGTAAAGAATTTAAGTTAGGTAAGAAATCTTTATTTAAGTAAAGAATTTAAGTTAGGTAAGAAATCTTTATTTAGGTAAAGAATTTAAGTTAGGTAAGAAATCTTTATTTAAGTAAAGAATTTAAAGTAGGTAAGTTAAGCTAGATATTTTTATTTAAGTAAAGAATTTAAGTTAAGTAAGAAATCTTTATTTAAGTAAAGAATTTAAGGTAAGTAAGTTAGGCTAGATATTTTTATTTAAATAAAGAATTTAAGTTTAGCTAAATATCTTTATTTAAGTAAAGAATTTAAATTAGATAAGAAATCTTTATTTAAGTAAAGAATTTAGGTTAGGTAAGAAATCTTTATTTAAGTAAAGAATTTAAGTTAAGTAAGTTAGGCTAGATATTTTTATTTAAGTAAAGAATTTAAGTTTAGTAAGAAATCTTTATTTAAGTAAAGAATTTAAGTTAAGTAAGAAATCTTTATTTAAGTAAAAAATTTAAATTAAGTAAGAAATCTTTATTTAAGTAAAGAATTTAAGGTAGATAAGAAATCTTTATTTAAGTAAAGAATTTAAGTTAGGTAAGAAATCTTTATTTAAGTAAAAAATTTAAGGCAGGTAAGTTAGGCTAAATATTTTTATTTAGGTAAAGAATTTAAATTAGGTAAAAAATCTTTATTTAAGTAAAGAATTTAAGGCAGGTAAATTAGGCTAAATATCTTTATTTAGGTAAAGAATTTAAGTTTAATAAGAAATCTTTATTTAGGTAAAGAATTTAAGTTAGGTAAGAAATCTTTATTTAAGTAAAGAATTTAAGTTTAATAAGAAATCTTTATTTAAGTAAAGAATTTAAAGTAAGTTAGATATTTTTATTTAAATAAAGAATTTAGGTTTAGTAAGAAATCTTTATTTAAGTAAAGAATTTAAGGCAGGTAAGTTAGGCTAGATATTTTTATTTAAGTAAAGAATTTAGGTTTAGCTAAATATCTTTATTTAAGTAAAGAATTTAAGTTTAGTAAGAAATCTTTATTTAAGTAAAGAATTTAAGTTAGGCTAAATATCTTTATTTAAGTAAAGAATTTAAGTTTAGCTAAATATTTTTATTTAAGTAAAGAATTTAAGTTTAGTAAAAAATCTTTATTTAAGTAAAAAATTTAAGTTAAGTAAGAAATCTTTATTTAGGTAAAGAATTTAAAGTAAGTAAGTTAAGCTAGATATTTTTATTTAAGTAAAGAATTTAAGTTAGGTAAGAAATCTTTATTTAAGTAAAGAATTTAAAGTAAGTAAGTTAGGCTAGATATTTTTATTTAAGTAAAGAATTTAAGTTAGGCTAGATATTTTTATTTAAGTAAAGAATTTAAGTTTAGCTAGATATTTTTATTTAAGTAAAGAATTTAAGTTTAATAAGAAATTTTTATTTAGGTAAAGAATTTAAGTTAAGTAAGAAATCTTTATTTAAGTAAAGAATTTAAGGTAGGTAAGTTAGGCTAAATATCTTTATTTAAGTAAAGAATTTAAGTTTAGTAAAAAATCTTTATTTAAGTAAAGAATCTAGGTTAAGTAAGAAATCTTTATTTAAGTAAAGAATTTAAGTTAAGTAAGAAATCTTTATTTAGGTAAAGAATTTAAAGCAGGCTAAATATCTTTATTTAAATAAAGAATTTAAGTTTAATAAGAAATTTTTATTTAAGTAAAGAATTTAAGTTAAATAAGAAATCTTTATTTAGGTAAAGAATTTAAGGCAGGTAAATTAAGCTAAATATTTTTATTTAGGTAAAGAATTTAAGTTTAGTTAAATATTTTTATTTAAATAAAGAATTTAGGTTTAGTAAAAAATCTTTATTTAAATAAAGAATTTAAGTTAAGTAAGAAATCTTTATTTAGGTAAAGAATTTAAGGTAAGTAAGTTAGGCTAAATATTTTTATTTAGGTAAAGAATTTATATTTAGTAAGAAATCTTTATTTAAGTAAAGAATTTAAGTTAGGTAAAAAATCTTTATTTAGGTAAAGAATTTAAGGTAGGTAAGTTAGGCTAGATATTTTTATTTAAGTAAAGAATCTAGGTTAAGTAAAAAATTTTTATTTAAGTAAAGAATTTAAGGTAAGTAAGTTAGGCTAGATATTTTTATTTAAGTAAAGAATTTAAGTTAAGCTAGATATTTTTATTTAAGTAAAGAATTTAAGTTTAGCTAGATATTTTTATTTAAGTAAAAAATTTAGGTTTAGTAAGAAATCTTTATTTAAGTAAAGAATTTAAGTTAGGTAAGAAATCTTTATTTAGGTAAAGAATTTAAGGTAAATAAGTTAGGCTAGATATTTTTATTTAAGTAAAGAATTTAAGTTTAGCTAGATATTTTTATTTAAGTAAAGAATTTAAGTTAGGTAAGAAATCTTTATTTAAGTAAAGAATTTAAGTTAAGTAAGAAATCTTTATTTAAGTAAAGAATTTAAGGTAAGTAAGTTAAGCTAAATATTTTTATTTAAGTAAAGAATTTAAGTTTAGTAAGAAATCTTTATTTAAGTAAAGAATCTAGGTTAGGTAAGAAATCTTTATTTAAGTAAAGAATTTAAGTTAGGTAAGAAATTTTTATTTAAGTAAAGAATTTAAGGCAGGTAAGAAATCTTTATTTAAGTAAAGAATTTAAGTTAGGTAAGAAATTTTTATTTAGGTAAAGAATTTAAGGTAAGTAAGTTAGGCTAAATATTTTTATTTAGGTAAAGAATTTAAGTTAGGTAAGAAATCTTTATTTAAGTAAAGAATTTAAGTTTAGCTAAATATTTTTATTTAAGTAAAGAATTTAGGTTTAGTAAGAAATCTTTATTTAGGTAAAGAATTTAAATTAGGTAAGAAATCTTTATTTAGGTAAAGAATTTAAGTTTAGTAAGAAATCTTTATTTAAGTAAAGAATTTAAGTTAGATAAGAAATCTTTATTTAAGTAAAGAATTTAAGGTAGGTAAGTTAGGCTAGATATTTTTATTTAAGTAAAGAATTTAAGGCAGGCAAGAAATTTTTATTTAGGTAAAGAATTTTTAACTTAAACTTATAAGACTAGTTTTTACTTTATAATTTTTATTAATTAAAAAACTAAGCTAAACTAATTAAAAAGGTATTTTTTATTAAGTAAGGTTTTTTTATTTAGGCTTAGTAAATTTTTAATTTATATTATATTTAAAATATATTTTTTATTAAGTTATATAATATTAAGCTAAAGGTATTTTAATATAAAAGTTTTAAATATTTTATAATTAATTTTAAAAAAATACTATTAAAAATTAAAAAGAAGTTTTAAAATATAAATTTTTTAATAGATTTTATTATATTTTTTATATTTATTTTAACTTAAGATTTAAAAAAAAATTTTTCTCTTTTTACTTTAACTTTTACTTTATAAATAAAATATAATTAATACTAACCTTAATAATTAATTTAATTAAACCTTAAAGTATAGTAATAGCTTTATTATTTATTTTTATAAGCTATAAAGTAAAAGCTATAAAGTTATTAAGGCTTAGTAAAATAAGCCTAAGCTAAGCTAAGGACTAGGTTTATATAGTAAACTAAGTAGCCTGCCTCTTACTTATAGCCTTAATTTATATAATAAGTTTATTTAAACTCTAAATCTTTTAAAAATCTTTATTAATAATAAAGGACTTAATGCCTTTTTTTACTAATTTAATATAATACTTTTTTATAATAGCTTACTAAAAGGGGCTAATTAAACTAGTAGGCTTTATACTACTTTTAGCTCCTAGCCTAAAAGTAAGGGATTTAATAAATATATTAAAAGTTAATAGGCTTATTAATATATATAAGTAATATATAAATAAGTCCTAATTAAAGCAGTTAGCTAATATAAGCTATATTACTAAAAAGTAAGATAAATCTCCTTACTTAATATATATTAATATTTATAATTAGCTAAGGGGAAGAGAAGTAGAATTATTTTATATTATATTTATAGCTAGAAATAAGCTCTACTTCCCTTTATTATAATATTATATTTTTATATTTAAAACAGTCCTATAACCTAGGTACTTACTTACTAACTATTAAGGACTATCCTGCTTATATAATAGCATGCTAAAGAATACTAATATACTTATAAAGGAGTCTTAAAGCTTTATAATTGCCCCTGCTTTTTTTAAAGAGTTTTAGATTCTTCTTATTTTTATTTCCTTATATTATATATAAAGATATTAAATATAATAATAAGCAATTTTAATTATAGAAAGATTAGGGGAGAGATACCTTAGCTTGCTGCAGGGTTTAGGGGCGCTTTCTTATCTAGGTGCCTACCTATATGTACTTATCCCTAAGCATCTCATGCAGTAACTCAGCCAGCCAGGGGTAGGAGAGAAAAGAGGTTGCAATGCCATTCCAGACTAAGGACCGAGCTTTCTCTCCTAAACACCGCAAAACTTAACCAGGGTAATGGACAAAGCGATACAGGCGAAGGATTGCGAGAAGGCTTCAGTCGGCTCAGGAAAAGACACGAGGCGTCTGTTTAGGAGAAGGTTGGCCCAAGGTCAGTCCAGCCTATCGCCTCTTGTCCGCATCATGACCAATAAGCAAACAAAAACCGCGGACTATAACAGCGGAATGGCATAGAGGAGGAGGCGACCGTCAATCATCAGACCTCCAAAACTAAATGGGAAAATACCCATTGCTGGGAACGCCCTTGCGACAAGGCACCAGGAAAAGGCTATCGACCTGGATTGGTATTGCTCTTGGCTGTCGAGCCGCCTGCTTAATTTACCAGCAACTGTCGCAAGCCTCCGAACTCAGGGCAAATCAGTTCGAGACATAGCAGCCTTCAATAGTGTTTGTGGCCATGTTGAATCTTACCTTCGCGAAAACCGCAGCTGTGGCATCAACGATGTGGTTGAGCACCTCCAGGAATTAGAGGTATTTGATGACAACAGCGAGGACTGCGAAACCTTCAACGCAATGCAACTCCTTGTTTTCTCAGCCCTGGGGTGGAAATCCATGGTCTACCAGCCGGAATTTAACGTCTGCAGCCCCGATAAGCTGGCCAATCATGACGGCAACGGTCCAGATTCTGGTCTAGTCTTCGACGTGTACAATGTGCCAGCCGACATGTGCGTTCGCCCATTGTTCGTCCTGCTGAAATGCTTCGGAAACCTCCTGCCCGCCCGCTCCAGTAGCAGCACTCAATTTGCAGTCGAGACGAGCAAGACCGCCGCTTCTTGGGCCGCGCTGTACCCAAGCGAGGTGAATGCCTACTTGTTACATACGCTGCTAGGCGTGCGTTTCCGCTGGGTTGACTCGATTGCGCTACATCTCGACTACGACAAGTCAAGTCGCACGCTTTCCATATTCTGCTTTCCGTCAATCTGCGCTTCTCAGCTGGAATCACGCAGCGGCACCATCTTTGCGTTTGCCAGCACTGAGAGAAACGGAGTAGATCCTCGCGCTGACGAAGATGACATTGCTCATCTACTGGAAGAGATTCTCCTGTCATACCGATTGCTATTCGGCCAATGCGAAAAGTCCAGAAAGTTTTTCCGGCTCGTCTTTGACTCAGCCAACTTGCCGTTTCCCCAGCCCGACACCCTTCTGCACGTCCTTTGTGGACAGCGCCAGCTCAGTCATGATGCTTACCATGCAAACTTGCTGCCGAGGGACCGCCGAGTTTATTATGCGGCGCGGGACTTCCCTGTTTTATATGAGAGAGTTGAGTTGCTGGCAAAGGAACTGAGCGGGGGCAGACCGAGGTCAATGTCGGGACTCCTCCGTGATCGACGAGACACTTTACAATTTTGGACCTTTTGGCTGGTCGCCTTGTTTGGGGGTTTAAGTATTTCGCTGGCTACCATCCAGACGATATTGCAGGCTATCCAGATTGCTCAACAAGCTGGAAAGATATAGATAGGCCTGCGCATGGAGTCGTGGTGTTAGACGGTTCCCCCACCTCTCACTTGCCGAAATTACTCCCAATAGCATTACTACTTTATGCATGCAGTTGGGATATTCTATATGGTTTGAACCGCTATTTCTCAGCAGCGATGGCGAGTCAGCGGGGTTTGGCCGGCAGCTAAAACGATCCTGGTGGTATTACTTATGTTTGCAACGTAAGTGGTGGAGTTCTGGCACTTGCATGAGGGGAAGTTCCTCTCTGTCTCTAGCTTAACCGCTCACCGTGGCTAACATTCATCTTATTCCTGCAATGATCAGAAGTTGCCCAGTCGTGGTTTTATTCTTTATTATATTCATTTACTTTGTGTCACTGGTTTTCTTCCCGCCTCATAGAATCTTGCTCCATACTACCCCCGCAGCCATGAGTATCACGCATACCGTGCTCTTCCAGATGAAGGCGGACGTGAAGCCTGAGGATGTGAAAGCGGTTCGTATCATACTTATCCCTCAAGCCTACATCTGGTGCCAAAGCTCACACAATCATCCCAGGCTTGCAGTCGCTTTCTTGCACTCAAGGACAATTGCATCCACCCAACAACAAACACTCCATACATCGCCTCATTAAAGGGTGGCCAGGACAACTCTCCTGAGGGATTGCAGGTATGGGACAACCGTAGTAAGCCTGTAGCTCTGTTCGTGTACTGACAGCTATGGAAGAATGGCATTACCCATGGATTTGTCGTGGAATTCAACTCTGCGGAGGATCGAGACTATTATGTTAAGACGGACCCTGCTCATCAGGCTTTTGTCAAGAGCATTGGCGGCCTGGTTGAGAAAGCAATCGTGGTTGACTTTGCTGATAGGGTCTACTAGAGCTCTGCTTTTATTACTCACTCAGCCACTCGGGGAGATGAATAAGATACACACGCACTCACGCATATATGTTATATATAGTTGTCCTTTATAGTGTTAGTAGTGCTAATACATATTGATGCTTCTTTTACTAGCTTAGATCTTCGTCTCATGTAGTTTGCTTTCTGGTAAATAGAATATATTTATAACTTTATGATTAGTTCTTTTACGTAAGGGAAATTCCGGTTACAAGCTTTTCCAAGTCCTTTACTTTGAGAAAGCACTCTTGATAAACTCTGCAACACGCTCTGTGTTCTTACCCTTATGCAGCATCGTGAAATGATTTGCATCCTGTATACGGCCAATCAAAAGGTTCTCACTACCAAGCAAGATATCCCAATTGTTCCCTCCGAAATTCGTTCGATTTTCAAGAAGCCATCGCATCTCTCGGGGATCGTCGTCTCTGTATTCCGGGCGTTCGGTAGTGCCCTTGCAAAGACCATCCTCGGCCCAGAGTATGTGTGTCTTTGGCGGTGGTGCTTTGCCACCGAGCGCCTTGTCCCATGGCACTGGTTTCCAGTCATCGAGTGCATCGATGAATGCAAGGAAGTGTGCGAGTAGCCAGTCTGGCGCCTTCCCATCTCCAAACAGTCCTAGGCCGTTGACGAAGTCGAAGAGTCGCGGTGGAAGCTTCTCCAGTCCAATCGGATTCGGCGAATCGAGGAGAATCAGGCGTTCGACCTTTTCACCATCTCGTGTCAATCTGATTGCTGCTTCATAAGCGCAAATACCGCCCGCGGACCAGCCTCCCAGATTATACGGTCCATGTGGCACTCGGCGTCTAATCTCTTCGACGTAAAGAGCAGCCAGTCCTTTCAGACCGAACTGAACCAGTTTGTCGGCCGACTTCAGCCAGGGACAAGTGAGGCCGTAGACACAGACTTCTTTGCCAATTGCGTTGATGGGGGCGTATGAGGTGGCGGAACCAGATCCATCTGGGAGGAGAAATAGAGTATAAAGCGCAGACTTGGGGCTGCCCTGCAGCAGTGTTGAAGTTGCCCGATACTGCTTCAGTTCGGCCAGCGGCTCTGGCTCAACTTGTTCCTTGGCAGCTGGCTGGAAGAAGACCTTGAAGGAGTCGTAGTTGGGGTGGGTTACAAAAAAGTCGGCGTCCAGCTCAATGTCCAGCTCTTCGCGGAGGCGGCCGAGCACTGTCAGCGACATAAGCGAGTCCATACCCAGTTCACCAAGGTTTGCATTATTAGTGATGTCAGTAGCGGACACGCCAATCTCCTCTGCCAGAATAGCACACACGTCTTTGCAGATGCTGCCAGACACCGATTCGGGTAAACTTCCGGTTGGAGTCGTGATGGCGTTGCTGGTCATGGCATCCGAGCTGTCGCTGGGTGGAGAGACCATCTCAAAGACGCTTGACTGCTCGGAAGACTGGTCAGACGGGGAACTGGTCAAGCCAAGATGAGCGATGAAATCAGCAAATGTGGCGCAAGCCTCAAAGACCGACGATTCAACGTCCAAATCAAGCTCCTCGCGAAGTCGCCCAGAGATCGTGAGAGACAGGAGCGAATCAACTCCGTAGTCTGCAAAGGCAAGATCATCCTGGATACTGCCCAAGGGGATACCAATCTCCTCAGACAAAATCTTGATAACGGCCTGCAGGGGATCCTTTGCAACCGCCGCAGCAGAAGCAGACTTCAGAGCCGCCTCGAGCTTCTGCGGTTCAATCTGGGCAGTCGGAATTGGTGCCGCCATCTTCTTTGGAGGCTCCGTTCTTACCACAGAACGTGTCTGCACTTGAGGCTCGTCCGCAGATTTCGGAGGTGGCATTGCCGAGTTCAGTACCTTTCGAGAAATACCTTGGAACTGCGCACAGGTTAGTAACCGAAGATTCTGGATGGCTTTGTAGGGCCAAACTTACAGTAATGCTACCGCAGACGCCAACGATCCCATCATCATCGAAGATATAAACGTCTCCGGCATAGAGGGTTCCTTCAACAGGTCGCATCCTGACATATGTGCGATATGTCTGGTCTTTGCGGAACTTCCTCACCATTCTGAACGATTGCCAGCCATGGTTGATGAAAACCTGGTCTTTGGGCGTCTTCGAATGACCGTTCATCAGAAATCCAGCAAGCTGACCACAGCTGTCGATCCACATCGGATTGCAATGGAAACTGCCCTCGTCAACTTGGAACTGGACCAGAGCAGTAGCTTCAAAGTCTTCGGCATCGACAATGGCCTCTTGCATGCCTTTATAAGCCTGACTGTAGTCGACCAGACTGGAAAAGAGCTTATATATCACGCCGGAGGAGAGACGACTGTTGAGACCCTGATCGGCTTTCCCCTTGAGCCACTCGATGCTGCGCTCAACGTAGTATAGGGTACCATCCCAGTTCTTGAGCCAAACCTTGGGCTGCCCAAAGGAGAGTGTGCATTGTGCATGGTCGGCTGTCTTCTTGCCCATGGGATTGATGCTGTAAATGGACATCGATGCGTCCTTTCCGAGAGTTACATCATGAGTGACCTCGATCCTAAGAAGCATTGGTTGACCCTCTTTGTGGACTAGGGCTTTATGAACAACCATTTTCTGGACATCTACCGAGTGGTCTTTGAGATCCACACGATGTTTCTCCAGAATGTAATTACCCAAGGTAACCCCAAAGTCCGTGTATAATGACTATGCTATTGTTAGAGAGATCCAATGAGGCACAAGTGTGGGAAGGATAAGGTAGGAGGGAGGGAGGCTAGATACTTACCGACGTACAAACTCGGTTGCCATTGACAACATGGCCATATACGACTTCACGCAACTGCTCGTTTGTAAATTCGCACTCCGCCGTGATGGTGAGCTTTCCTTTGTCTGCGACCTCATTGACAATCCGATGCACCGAGGCAGTTGAGAATGTCGAAGGCGCTTGCATTGGGGCGGCCGGTTCAACAGGAGGGTCGCCCCGTGTGAGCAACCAGTCATGCACATATTCAATCCAGTACCTCTTGTTATCCCAGCTATAAGCTGGCAAGGTCAATACCTCTTTGCATGCCTCAAAGTCGCGGTGATACTCGTCCCAAGTGATGGACAATCCTCGGCAGTACAAAGTTGCGAGGCTTGAAGTGAGTACCTGCCAGCCGTCTTTTTTGCGCACTAACGAAGGAACAGCGGTGATATCTTGCCCAAGATTGGCCTTGACGAGGTTGGAGCAGACAGTGTGTGGTCCCACCTCAATCCAGGTCGTCTTTTCGGAAATTACGCCCTCTTCTTTGGCTGACTGCAGAATGCCGCGGAAGTTGACGGCTTCTCTGCAGTGACGACTGATGTGCTTTGCGTCAAACGATGGCGTCTCCCCAATGTGGAACGTCTTGCCCAACAGGGGACAACCGATTGGAACGCGCGGAGAGTGGAACGTGACGTGAGAAGCAATGGCCTCGAGTTCATCCAACACTGGATCGACCTGGGCCGAGTGGAACGCAAACGGAACTTCGACCCTCGTGGCCTTGACGCCATTGTCCGTAAGCTTCTGAGCAAGACTCGAGATTTCATCTACACAGCCACTAACGACGGTATCTTGAGGTCCGTTGATGCACGCAACGTCATGAAGGGCTGCATCCAGATATGGCTGGATCTGATCGACGCTGCTTCGGATTGCCAGCATCGCATGGCTTCCTCTGCTGCACTTCTCCTGAAGTAGCCGGGCTCTCATGCCTACCAGGTAAATGGTATCGCTTGCTGTAAGAACGCCCGCGACTTTCAGTGCGGCGTAGTGACCCAGGCTGTGACCGACGACATAAGCCGGCTGCATTCCCAACGACATCCAAAAGCTGGCGAGTGCCATCTGCACACACGTAGTACCCAATTGGACAACGAGCGGCTCAAGGTCGTCAATGTTGGATGAGCCATCAATAAGCGGCAGGATGGAGGGGAACCCATGCCGTTGCGCCAAGCGGTCGTAAGAGTCAATCTCATCTCGAAAGCTGGCAAATTGTAAGAGATGCTGGCCCATAGCGCTGTACTGTGAGCCTTGGCCGCTGAAGGCGAAAGCGACAGGTGCTTCTGTGGATCGTTTGTGATCGTCTCGATTCACCTCTTGCTCCAGAGCGCTCAACAGCTGCTCGCAGTTTGCAGCCGAAATAGCAACGCGAAACGGATGGTGCATCCGGCGAGCGGTGGTTGTATAAGACAGCTTGGCGAAAAATCCCTCTGTTTGCGACTGTCGTCGAACGAAGTCTCTGAGCTTTGCCAAATTCCCCTTGAGAGACGGGATAGACTTTGCGGATATTGTCACCACGTGAGCCGTTCGAGGATCCTGAGATGAGGCGGTCGTTGTGAGTTCAGGATAGTCCTCCAGCAGCAATGCAGTGTTGCCGCCGGCAGCAGAGAAGTTGTTTACAAAGGCACGGCGGATGTTGTTGAGTTCCTCACGCCGCCTCCACTCTGTCACTGCTTTGGCAATATGGACATTGCGTTTATCAAGGTCGGTGGGGAATTTGTGGTTAATCTTTCCCTTGATACCGCAGTGCGGAGGAATCAGGCTCTTCTGCATCATCAACAAAACCTTGATCAGGGCAGTGACCCCAGAGGCAGACTCAGAATGGCCGACGTTGGCTTTCGTCGATCCCAAATAAAGGCTCTCATGGGGCAATCTTCCAGCGGTTGGTGAGGGAGCGAATACTTTGAGAACTGACGCCATTTCAGTCGCATCGCCGGCCTGAGTTCCAGTCCCGTGCATTTCGATGTAGCTGACGTGATGGGGATGGACGCCGGACTCAGTAAGTATCTTGGAAAAGATTTCCTCTTGCGCTCCGCAGTGCGGCCGTGTAATAGAAACAGACTCAGCAGAGTGGTTAGTGTGAGCACCTAGAATGACTCCAAGGATAGGATCATGGTCTGCCACCGCATCTTCAAGCCTTTTCAGGACGACAGTGCCGACTGCGTCTGCTCGACAGTAACCGTCGGCTGCGTCGTCAAACGTATTGCAATTGCCTATCGACAGGAATGTTGTCAGCTGCTGCTGAGTTTCAAGTGGTCCATTTGCAAAACGTACCGGTTCTTGACAGAAAATGTCCGCGATCCAATCCCGCAAAACTGTCAGGGTTCGACATGACATTGGTACCACCTGCAACGGCTGTATCACATTCATTTCGCCAGATGGAGTTGCAAGCTAAGTGAATGGCCGCAAGACTTGAAGAGCTAATCATGCAGAGTCAGAGCCAGAGGCTTTTGTATGGGGGCTTCTGGAATGTTCAACTTACCATGCAGTGTCAACACTGACCGATGGGCCGCAGTATTTGAAGAAATAATTGATCTTGCCTGGTGTAAAGGCTCGATTTCCACCTGAGCCAAGTAAGCATTTGATACACTGGCCTATCGACAATTCGTAGTTCGGGGTTGGTACTTACCTGGGATGAAATATGTGTCCACGTTCTGGCCACAACTGACTTCTCTGTAGTCGTCACTCGTCATGCCGTAAAAGACGCCCACACGGTCACGTTGTGTTGACGGCGTTCTATCAGCAACGATGCCTGCCATCTCAAGCGCCTCATACGCGGTCGCCAGGGCCAGGCGCTGGCCAGGATCGGATTGCTCAGCTTCTTTTGGAGAGATGTTGAAGAACTTTGCGTCAAACAGTCCAGGCTCATTAATCCAGCAACCATGCATGATCTTGCTTGTATTCTTCCGCTTGCCAGTCGGGTCATAGTATAGCTCTGCGTTGTATCTGTCTGCTGGCACTCGTCGATGGACGTCAAGCCCTTGGTAAAGAAGGTCCCAGAACGCTTCAACATCTGCAGATTCGGGGAATCTTCCGGACATGCCCACAATGGCAATCTTGGAGTCGGCTGGTCTACCGGTGCCCGGAGGATTCGACACTGTGCTTACCGCAATGCCTTCCGTGATGCTGTCGAGGACAGCGACGCGCCTCGAGAGCGGTGGCGGAAATGAGACCTTGAGACTTGAGCAAACGCTTGTTGACACTGGAAGCAACGCGCATTGGCCAGTGGGGCCTGCGGCCTCAAACACCTTTTGTATGTTCTCGGCAGCCTCTCTCAAGTCTAGCGGCTGGATGAGAATACCCTCGAGGACGTGTTGTAGTAAATCCTGGAACTGAGCCCCTTGAAGAGGGCTTCGCTCGGTAGAACTTGGGATGAAGGGCAGTTTGCTCGTGAGGCCGCTGACCGATCCAACATCCCGAAGCAGTTGTTCAATGTCTCGGACGGAGAAGATGTGCGACGCATGATACGGAGCATGTACAGCGATCGGCGTAATCTTCAGCTTTCCCGAAAACTGCGAAGACTGTAGGAAGTGCTGCACAACTGCTGGTGGACCGCTGAGTGTCCAGGAATTCTGACCCTTCGCACTGATGTATGGCGAAGACAGAGGGGGGATGTTCTGTTCTATTAGCCATTTTCATATCTAGAGAAGGCATAGTCATAGCAACTCACAGATTCATCATTATACGACGAGATGGCCTTTTCCGCAAAAGCCAGTGGGATCTGTGATTCGGGGACAACATATGACCAAGATGAGGTGCCGGTTGATTGTGGCTGGCCGAACAAAGCGGCAGTTCTGGCAACCAACAGACCTACTCTCAGTGACACACGAACTGCATCGATTCCCGCCTCCACCAGTTCGCCAAGTGACCGCGAGGAACTGACTGCTGCCGCGGCTAATGCTCCAATGCACAATCCGGAGACGTGCGTATCTGGCCCTGTTGGGTACGTTTCTTGGCCGTTACCGAAGTGACTGCGTTCTTGTTAGCTTCTCACTACACCGGCACTGCCATTGGCATTCTCACCTGAAGAAACAGCACAACTGATAGACAGTTGCCAAGGTACTCTCTACCGCCGCATTCTCGGTGTGTTTGTCGGTTTTCAAGACGCGAGAGACAAGGTTTTGGATGCTACAGAAGGCTGGAAATGATTGTCGCTCTGCAGTCGTAAGCCGAGCCACCTCATGTCTCAAGGTGTGATTGACCCGGTCGATGAAAGATGTCAAGTAGGGGCTGTCCTTCTTCAACAGCAGCTGCTGCAGCTTCGAAAGGCTACAGCTACTCTGATCTCCAAAGACGATAACCCGAACTGAGCGAATCTCGGCATCGGATTGGTAGATCGTCGTGCTTTCCATGGCAGACGTTGAATCCAGCATTGCGTAACGCATAAGCCAAAACTGACTCAAAAGGCTGGAGGTCAAGTCCAGCTATCACCCTCTTCGTCGTCCTCCCCGGTGTTTAGATAGTTTAAGTAATATACCATCAGGACAGTGCAATACACGGTGAGAACGAGGTACATTCCAAATCATTGCATGTGCCCCGAAGTGGTGATCTCATTGTCTCAAACTGAGACCCAGCCACCATACGCTTTCAGAGCCCCATAAGGCAGAGATAAAAGCCAAACTTACGATCAGCTCATGCCGAGAACGGCTCAAGATCACGATGCAGCGTTGCGGCCCGCACTGTCGTGTATCACGATGCAATAATGCGCCCGTATTGTAATGTACAACGATGCAATATTGCCGCCCAGCAATATTGCCGCCCGTACTATTGTGTATCACGATGCAATAATGCCGCCCGTACTGGTGTGTAACACGATGCAATATTGCGCCTTTACTGCCGTGGAGACTGAAGTCAGTGATGTGATCTCGGATATTTTTTGAAATGAGGCTGGGACTTTCTTAGAGCGGAATGTCATAGGTTCTCTTCCTTTCACGTTTGTTATTGGCTGTTTACACTTGGCAGGATCGTGTGCGAAACTCTTACGGTACTAGTATCTGTAGTTATCTTCCGATACTATCCAGTTCTGCCGTGGGACTCTTCCATCACCGGAATTGACTAGACCAACTAGTTCCCACCACACCGATTTGTGTCGGCCAGACTTAAAGAACCTCCCTAACTGCAAATAGTAATTGCCCTGGACTGAAAACGGGTGCTCCAAATATAGCTCCGTTGCTCTGTACAACTAACTATCCAACTTGGTCCGCATTCCATACCAACCTAAGGTTGCATGTGATCACCTCCTGTTGTCTCCATGCGTACCTATGTATACCAGGTACGCAGTAACTCTAAATACTGTGGGAAAGTGTATCGTCAGCAGCTATCACAGTTTAGCAGTGTTGATCTATCATATGGAGAACAGGGAACTTGAATCCTGCCTAAATTCAATCCCTTGGGCGACTTCGGAACCTACGCCACAAGATTACATGAAGTGGGTTTTGCACTGTTTAAGTTGAACAGATTTCGAATGTAGGTAGTGGTTGTTTAGGCAACTTGTAGCTGAGATAGAGAGCTGGTCTATAGCAGCTAATTGTAAGGTCTTTGAAAATATGCCACGCTAGAACATTCGGCCATTGGGGCAGTATGTTTATGTCAAGCAGACACACTTACAGGTTACCCGTCACTTACTAGACAGTTCGTATCATACATTTTTAGGTACTATCTGGCAAAATCTTATTGTAGGGATCAAGCAGTGATTAGCATCTATAGGAGCTTCGTATATCTCTCCTAGCAAGACTGACTGTTACACATTCCTGAAGACGCAAGGCAGCTAGTTCCCCATCTTCCTAAACCTTTGTTTTCCCAGCTGCCAAGGGTGACTAGTTCTATTTAGACACAAGCTCTCCATTGTCCAGGAATTCTTCAAAGTAGCCAATGGTCATACTATAGCCATGCGACTGTCAGCGTCTCGCGGGAGGTACTGTTACTTGGTCAGATAGGTATAATGACTCACGTCGATCTTGAAGTATCGGCAAAGTTCTTGTGATCAGGGGCGACCTTTTCCAAGAAGCGTGGATCGGCCTTCATCCGTAGGAAGTCCTCCATCTTCCGAAACACAAACTGCACGATGCAGTCATAGTCGGACAGCTTGGAGAATTCGGGGTCATATAGCTGGAAAAGCAAGGGCCGACTTGTGCTGTCGTTATGGGTCTATTGCATCATTAGCATGTTAGGGAAAGTAGGTAATGTCAGGCAAGAACAAGCGGCTTACCATGTTATATCGCACGATCCCATATTCCTTCATCAGTCCGCTAACTAAAGGAGCATGAGTCTTCGTCATGTACTCTCGATAGGCACTCTCGCTCAGTCCCGGTTTACGATAAGCAGTGATGGTGAGACATAGGAGCTGCTGCGATTCTGGGAGAGGGGAGTCTGAGATGGCCATTTCGGAATTCGGTGTGCTGAATGCTTCGCGTTGAGGGAACAAGTGTGCGCTTGCAAAATCGATGACGCGATCAATGGGCTTATAGCTGAGTTGATGAATTGTTTGGAAGCATCAAGTTAAGAGAAGTCATGAGCATGGCATTTAATAACACCGGGATCAGAGGAGCTGTGCCGTGCGACGCAATGCTGCATTCACCGGAAGCATGTGTTCAGCTGTCTCATGTCCTTCTGCAAGGGGGCCAATTGTGGATACGGTATGGGCTGAGTGACGCATTCGTTGATTCCATCAGCTTGTTGTTATACCGATTGCGGTGGCTTCAGCTGCGATGGGAACTTCGATCACTCACACCAAAAGGCGATTCGCATGCCTTGCATCCCTTGCGTCGCCTCGAATGACGGCTGTTGCTATGGATCAGAAATAAATCGTGTACGACAACGTCTCTCCCTTGTCAAGACCGTCCAAATATTTCGATCCCTCCCAATAGTCTCCGCGTAATCACACAGGAGAAAGTCTCCGCGTGTTACAGGGTATCTTGCAGCACCGGGACTATTCGCTTTAGATGATGCATGCAGTGCTAGCTCCAGGAAACGACACAATATCAGTAACAAAGCGAAACGGAGCTGTTTTGATGAATGCAGAGCTGAAGTAATTGATTACATGTGATGAATGCAGAAGTGCTTCTGATTTCGTTCCTTTTTCGTTTGCTAAGAGGCGAATTCTTCGAGCATGGGCCTTTCAGGGAGAGCTTGGACTTGGAATCCTGGAAGAGATTGTTGTTGATGTTGTGATATAAAAACAGCATCGTAGTAGGAATTTTCACAATCACCTGTCTTAATAGAAATAACACAACGACGCTCGCTCAAGACTTAGATTCTTCAGTACTGGATCCCATTCACCATGAGTCGTTTTGCGTGGGTGCTGCTGGTGGCGAGCCTGTTGCACACAGACGCCTGGGCAAAGACTGTTCGAGAGACTTTGCGCATCACCTGGGAAGAGGGTGCTCCGAATGGGCAGGCAAGAGAGCTCATCCGCACCAATGGGCAGTTCCCCAGTCCAACCCTTGTGTGGGACGAAGGGGATGACGTTGAGGTCAGTGTTCGGCATCCTCAAATCAGCTGTTCTCGCGACATCTAACACAATTGGGCCTCCAGGTAACCGTTATCAATGATATGGCCAAGAATGTTACTGTGCACTGGCACGGCCTAGAGTTCGTACAACTTGATCTCTCATGTTCTTGCAGCATCCGTCGCTAACACAAAACGCCCTTTCCAGTCAGAAAGATACCCCTTGGGCCGACGGCACACCTGGTCTTACGCAACGCCCGATTCAGCCAGGAACAGACTTCGTGTACAAGTTCAAGGCGTCTCCTCCAGGCAACCACTGGTACCACTCGCATGACAAAATGTCTTTAGTTGATGGGCTTTATGGAGCCGTTCATATCAGGTCGGCTTTGCCCCCTACCGCACCTTTTCAACGCTTGAATGCTTACCAAACAGTCTCATAGGCCGAAACAAGATCGCTCTGGACTATGGAGTCAAATAAGCGACAATCAAAAGGACATCGAAGCCATGGAAAAGGCCGCCCGTGATCCAGAATACCTCGTCGTATCTGACTGGAGTCAGTATACTTCCGAGGAATATTGGAAAATATCCACTGATTCTGGTCTTCTTGTCTTGTATGTTCCCCGTGCGGAAATCAGTTCTTGAGCACGATATATCTAACACTTTGGAACAGCTGCCTCGACAGCATTCTGGTGAATGGTGTAGGAGAACTCTACTGTCCGGGACAGAAGTTCCTTCAAAAGGAGCTTGCTCCAGGCTTAGCTCAGAATGGGTTCCCGCCGGGTACTGAGGTCTCAGACAAAGGGTGAGCAGCAAATTCTACCAAGTCCCTTATCGCTCAATCGCATTACATACATACTGACTTGCATGTGTCGCAAGTTGCTTTCCGGCGGATATCGACCAAATTCAAGGCGGCCCCTGGAACATCACCAAGCGCCCGGACCTTATACCCCCACGGGTCCAGGAGGGCTGCGTTGCATCCAGGAACGAGAACGCAACCATCTTTGTTGATCCGTCCAAGAACAACGGCTGGGTGAGCATGCACATTGTAGCCGCCGCCACCATTGCTCAGATTGCGTTTTCGGTCGACCAGCATCCTTTTTGGATATACGAAGTCGATGGCAACTACGTGCAGCCTAAGCGGTTCGTTTCGACCGTAATGTCTGCGGGCGAGACCTTTTCGATCATGATGAAACTTGACCAAGAACCCGGCAAGTACACAATGCGCATACCCAACTCTGGAGCCTCGCAGGTATTGGGCGGTTATGCCGAGATGGTCTACGCAGGCCATGCGCAAAGTCCAAGATCAGAGAAAGCGTACCTGTCTTACGGGGGCAATCCAATCACGCCGGATGTCGAGTTGCATTCCTATTTTCCATGGCAGCTGGAGACGGACCACATGCCGCCGTGGCCTCCGAACAAGCCCCGACCAGGCAATGCTGACCAGGAAGTTCTTCTCGCACTTGGACGCGTCGGCGCGCCGTACAATTACACCATGAACACAAAGTACCTGTTACCTGTCGATTTTCAGAACGACGATCCCCTGCTGTTCTATCCCAACGCAACCCTGGGTACCGAAGATGAGAACTTGGTGATTCGCACCAAAAATGGGACTTGGGTCGATCTTATCCTGCAGGTGTCGACTCTGCCCGGCGACAAATCGGCGTTTGAACATTTCATCCACAAACACGGGAGCAAAACGTGGAGAATTGGCTTTGGCACGGGCGTCTGGAACTACACCAGTGTTGAAGAGGCGATCCAAGAGCGGCCCGAGGATTTCAACTTGGAGACTCCTGGTCTGCGCGATACGTGGATCACAGCGTTTTCCTTCAACGAGGAGGCTTCATGGAGCGTTTTCAGGTACTTTGTTGACAACCCTGGCCCTTGGCTGTTCCACTGCCACATAGAGCTCCATTTGATGGGCGGGATGGGAATCGTCATCTTGGACGGTGTGGATGCATGGCCAGAAGACATTCCAGTCGAGTATCAGCTGGACAAGCCGCACGTAACACCAAATGCTTGTTCTTAGAATTGCAAATATGGCATATGGCATTCGAGTTCTTAGACATTAATTACCTTACCTAGAATTTAATATTTTCTTTCTCTCTCTACTCATATCGACGATGTACCACCAGTAGTCGGCGGCGAAACCAAGAGCTACCACCAAACCTCAAGTGCATAAAAGACATTGAGGGTAAGCATCTCTAGGGCGAAAGGACGATACTTGAACATGAACGGGCACGCTGAACCATCAACAAATATAATACAGCACGGTAGATTTGGCCCACGAACTCGCGCATAAAGTACTTGATAGGTGCAGCACTCGGCTTCGCAGTTTCACCGAACCTCGGGCATCTGGAAGCAGCTAGGCCGCTGAGCCCGCATTCCGCATAACGCCACAAGGGCCATTACTGGCCGCGAATCGGAATGAAGGGGTTTGAATAGGTCAGGAATGTCATACCATACGACTGTCCAGGATTGCATTGTTTTGGTGCATCTCTAGTAGTAACCAAGAAACGAAGCTCCTCCTTTTCGCTTGAGAGAGGTACCTAGCAGAATGGCGTAGCTTGGCAAGCGCTGCAGGAAGCAAAAGCATCTCCCTCGCTCACGATCTTCGAAGCGGGCAGGATGGACGCTTGAGATAAAGGCACCCGCATTGGCAGTCGAAGCAATGTTGTTCTGAGCACGTCCGACTTAATCAGCAGTCATAGACTAAGAAGCTTGGCTCGTGACAGTTGCTACTACAGCATACCTAGTCAAGCGGAGACCAAAAAAACAGGGACTGCAAATTAAATAAGTGCACAATTTCGATAATATCAGCACACAGAGGCCGATCAGCAGATCACCATTGATGTGCGTATAATTCATGCGTTGGGTGTTCAAAATTGCACTTTTCCCTATTATTTTGGTCCCCGCTTGCTAGTCTTCAATGGGCAAGTTACAATCTGTAGTTTAACTTCAGCGTCCAATTACGGAGCGCCCGCCTCCAACGCGTCGCTCTATAGCTACGCCATTTCTGCCAGCACGGCTTTTCCCCTGAGCTTATCGGATCATGCCTCCATTGCTGTTTGCCAACCAGAAAGACTGACCATGCCACCAGATTAGTAGCGGCATGGGAAATTGAAAAAGCGCGAAAAAAAAAAAAAAAAAAAAAAAGAGAGTGAGAGAGAAGGCAAAGGCTCTTCAGAGATATCATTGAACGCTTTCGGCGCAAAAAATCGCCATCTCAGACCAGCTTTCAACCTAGATCTCAAGGCGGGCAATAAGATAATTACCTACCTATTGGCCCTGAGAATAGGTACGAGTGAGAGCGATTGACGTTCCACATTTGGCAGGGATGATTACTTTACGTAAGGTATGTAGAGGATCTCAGGCGGTGCCACAGCAAAAAGGGAAGGTATAGCTGAAAGAGTTGCACTGGAACTGTCACACCTTGAGAAAACTGATATTTGAATGGGCATGGCACAAACAATGGCATAACAAAGGAACGAAAGGGGCGCAAGAATCAATGCAACTGTGGAAAGTGTCTGGTGCGTAGTTCTTCCCATCTACTGTAAGTAGTGTCCCTTCTTCTAGCAACTCGAATGTTTCAGCTGCATTATAGGGTACATTTTCCTTTTGTTCAATAATTGCGAGAAAGAGCACGGGTCAATTATTGCTATCGGAGGTTGTGGGAATAGAGCCCCCCGAGAGTAGGTGACCGTAAAGATGTTCATATCTAAAAGAATCACTGTCACCCAAAGGATTTATAAGTAACCCTGTGATTCAGCAGCCTATTATCTCCGCAACCTCTGTCATGAGTTTCAACTTCCTGAATCGCTCCATATGTGAAGGCTGAAGCGAAATAGCCACTTCCACGTCTCCGTTTTCATCCTTCTTCGATCCGCGCGGCGGCAGTATCACACACATTGGCATAAGAAAGATTTGAGCGACACGTAGCGCCTCACATTTGCCAATCCCGGAGCCCCAGTCGACGTCATATATGCGATGATGCGCCCAACTAGCGATGTAGAAATCGTTCAGCTTCTTCGGCCGCCACTGTAGCTTGCTTGCGTTTTCCTCCGTTTCGACGTAACTTATTATGTCTTTCATTTTTTCGTTCGTCACTCCATCTACACCTCGGCGAATAGCTGCGGCTACCCTGGCTAGCATTTCCATTGAGTTTCCCTCAGCTGCGGCCAGAAGCTGCCTCTTTGCCATACCAATGTAAGCAATCCCAATGGCACAGCCGAGGAAGTCGTCCGGGAGGCATGGCTGGAGCTTCGACCGGATGTTTACCGAAACACCGGTCGAGCAAAGGCTCGACGTGATCCAAGGCCGAAACTTGTGACTCATTGCCAGTGTAGCGCAGCTCCAAATCAGGGCGCAAAGTACATCGTTCGTAGAAAGGAAACGCACTCCAAGCTTGTGGACGAATCCGTTGATGATGACTTTGAGGTTCTGAAGCTTGTGGGACGGTAGACGGTACATAGTGATTGGCCAAGAAGAAAATAGAGGCCTAGGCAACATCGAGCTGAATGGCAGCCGAAGAAGGGATATGATGTTGAGCAGTATTTGCCGTCTGTTGGATATTTTGGTGATCACGGAAGGCTGAGATCGCCTATAAGTCGACTCGCTGTCCTCCAGAATAGCTCTTCTGTTCAGGCGCTCGAGGCGCACCTCTGGAGGCGGGCCAAGTGGATCGCGACAGGATGCTGCCCACATGTCGAACAGCTTAGACAAACCAACGCCATCAAAAACGCAGTGGTGAGCAAGCACCACGAGTATAAAGCCTTCACGAAGACGAGTGACCTCGGCTCGCATGACGGGCCAGGGTGCAACCCATGGCACTTCCGGAATGTGAGGATAGAAGAGAGGTGAGTTGGGAAAAATTGGAAAGGCGGCCATCCTCAGTCTCCCGTAGTCCGGTATATCTGCTCCTAGATCTTCTCGATACACCAGAATTTTGTCGATGGAATCACGTCCACTGTCGAGCCGAATATTTCCTGGCTGGGAATCGTCATCTAAGACGAAAGATGTTATCTGCGGGATATTGACGGCGATCTTGCTCAATCCTTGCTTCAGGGTTGGGAACAACGCTTCATCTGTACAGGGGAAGCAGAGGATTTTGCCAAAATACATGCGTGGAAGGATTTGGTCAAGTGGGGACAAGTACTGCCAGTCCATGATGAGTTTGCAGACTTGTCCAAATGGTCAACATAAGCAAGCCGAAGGGAGAGCCGTAACAAGAAGGATTGGGGACGGACATGCACGCGGTAACCGTGCAGCCTGCGCTCTAGATCTTTCGTAGACTTCCGGGATAGTGCACACGACAGCAACTGAATGAGCGCTCTTCTGTCCTTTTGAATAAAAGTCCTTCCGCATTTTTGTCACTAATCTAGGCTGGTCTGTGTGATTGACTAGGTCGCGTTGGCATGTCTATGGACCCAACAGTCGCATGGCTGGTCAGGTTGAACTATTCAACGGTCTTGCACATTAATAAAATAGTTGCATACTGAGTATTGAAGTCAGCATCTCAAATATATATCCACAGAGCATGAATGATTGGGTTACAAGGCTTTTTTGTTAAATTCTAAATTCGATGAGAAAGGTGTTCAAGGTAGCATATGTCTACTTGCATCGAGTGGATAAGATGGACGTCGGGTGAAAATCTTCACGCAACCATCCTGACATTAACGGGCTACCTTTGCATGTTCTGGTTTCAATTCCTGGCATATTGATCTGCAAACGCCAAGTCTAGCCAGACTTCGTAGAGTCAATTCTCTCTATAGCTAGGAAAGCTCTACCACTCTGCGCTATTGTTGGAAGCAGCTTCCACCTGGTTGGCTGATTGTGCTCTTGGAGTTGACCAGCAAAAGTACACATCTCTTATGAACATGAAGTAGAGGTAGCACAGCAGCAAGACCCATTGCCATACAAGCACTCGCAACACCGAAACTGTTCCGCGAGGAAACACTGACGGTATGTCTTCTCGCTTAAGGTCAGTTACCTGGCAAGTATGATCAGATTCGTCGGAAAAGGTTGTCAACATTCGATCTCCCCGCCGCAGGTCATCTTCGATGCTGTAGAAGCGAAGAAGCCATCGCCACTGCAAGTAGCACTCGAAAGTCTCCCAAATAATGGGAAGTGGAATAGCCAAGCCAAAGTATGCGTAAGCTTGATCCCATGTGTGCAAGAAGTAAAGTAGGTTCAGGTAGCAGCTGAGCACCGTAGTAGCAGTTAACCCTATGACACAAAATGTGAAGTATCTGTGAAGGGTGCTGCGCTTCAGATACTTCTTGCCCACGCGCAGTATGAAGACTCCGGCGCTGGCAAACACACCGCCCGTCGCTGCGCCGAAGAAGATGAACATCATCAAGCTGCGAGAAACCAGGGCGTCGGCTGAAGTGAAAGTCGAGAAACACAGACGAGTCCAAAGTAGCAGGGCTGGCCCCATGCAGTGATGAAGGACACCTAAGACATCCTCTCTGTAAATCATAAGGTCAAACAGATAGGCGCCAGTCATTAAAGAGCTAAATGCAGACAGTCAGTAACCGAGCCGTGTCTCGAAAAAGGATTCTGTGTGACGAACCAGGCGATGAGTGAGCGTTGAGTATCGACAGCCGTCCAGTTAGAGGCTGGTGTGAAGGCCAATATCACCGAGGGCAGAGAAAAGTAGACCAGGCCAATTCGGATCGGAATGCAGGCGATTTCAATACACATCCGGTTCCGCAGTGTTTGGGGGAAGCAATTCCATTTGGGAAGATTTCGGTCCAAACAAGAATGAGTATATTCATATAGAATTCCAGTGGCAATGAATGAAAGTAGGGCAATATGAATATCCGTGTCAAAAACCCCGAAGGGAGCCATTGTTCCTGTATCCAAGGCAAGTAAGGCCGGGAAATGAGTGTGAAGGAAGTATTAGAGCGATGCCTCTCTAATACGAGGTTGACAGGACTCAACAGAAGGACGAAAGGAAGAACAGTCACCTAAGTGTCCAAATATCAGGGCGATTATCGATCCCTTAATGCCTAAAGGCCTCGGCCCATAAGAATCGGTTCCCACATCAGGCCAGAAGCAATGACTGGGTTGAATAGACCACAATACGCGGTCCTTATCCCAGCAAGGAACAGTCTCCTGCCCGTGGGCACCCGTGGGGACGCGAAGTGTGCCGACATTGGTCGCACTGATAATGTTTCAATTCTGAGGTGGGTAGTAGCTGCCTTTTTTTCTGTTTTTTTTTTTCTTATTTCCTTCTTTCTTCCCCACGTGCCGGCAACTTTGAGACACGTGTCGAGGATACATTTTGTGAACCGAGATGCCGGTATTTGTTCACAAGATTGTGGCGACAGAATAGCTCGTATGCTTATTAGATGAGCTGCTTTTAAGGGGAATCAGTATCCATATCAGGATTAACGGCCTACCTATTAATAGCTATAAAATCCTAACGAATGCGATAAGGAGATCTTTTAACCGCATTCTCAAGCAAAGAGTAGCTAGGTATCTATGTATAAAACAACCGTTGAGTTTCAAGGCCTTGTTTTTTTTTTTTTTTGTGACAAGCTACCAACTACAAGTCAGTCGTTTTGAACGAGGAGACCAGAATGCCCCTCCCTTCTTTACCCCCCCCCCCCCCCCCCCCCCCCCCCTCCCTTCTCCGGCATATAGGATGTAAACCGGTTTCGGGTAGGTAGAATGGCAATGATTTGCAGACAGTACTAGTAACAAGTGGGAGACTTGACTTACCCCACTGTGATAATTCTCCGGAGGGCCATCCTTGCGTTGGCATTCTCTGCTTTGTCGGCCAGGCCCGTGCTTTGCGCGACAGTACATGCGATAGATGTACACTTGCCCCCAGGGCTTACCAGGACAATAGTAAATGATCCACTCAAATGCCTGAATACATGAAAAGCGGCAGGGCATTAGCAAGTCGAGGAAAGATTTGGCTGACTTTTGCAATAACTGGGTAACTACTAGGATCCGGTTCTATATAGAGATTGCTATCCGCAAGTAATCACTCACAACTGTATTGTCCGAGCGTTATAGTGTCAAGTGTGTCATGCAAACCTTCAGACCCCCCCAAAAGAATAAACAGAAATTGGGCTCTGTTCCGTCTGCCCCATTGATACTTCTAAATATAAGGCTCGACTCACCTCCGTTGAAGTCTACTTTGTCTGATGATCATGCTCTATTTTCTCCTCCCCCGTCGTTTTGACACCTTCATATCCATTTCCCATAATGCTCGCACAATCCACCTGGGCTCATGACCTGTTCATCGTCAGCCTTGTTGCACTTATCACGTCTGTAGTGCGCTCATATGCTAGGCTGTATTTTGAGCGTGCCATACCAGAGTGGTCCAAGCTTGATGAGTCCGTCAAAAGCCGCTTAGCCGTAGAGGTGGGCGTCGTCCCTTCTCGGATTGTTCTCTTCTACCTCACTTTACCGCTGGTTCTCGCGGGATTTTCTCCCATGGAATCATGGACTGCCGATGATACGGCAACGTCCCTCACATCGTGGTGCGTAGAAGGCTGTTAACTCAACACATACATCGGCTGATGATCGACTTGTAGTGCAATTCTGACCGGATCCTATATCATTGACCTTACTGTGACAAGGAATGACAAGGCCTCAACGTTGCACCATGTCATGGGTCCAGCTCTACTTTTATGGATACGCCTCTGTTTCTCATCGTTCACATCCTCGGATGCGCTTCTCTGCCGGCTGCTTATCCAGTTTGTCTTCTTTGGAGCAACTATTTCGGGTGCCACAACGACCGCCCTCGTCTTTCTGTACCAGTTCAGAAAGTCTTGGTTTCGCTCTTCTACCAGCAACGCTTATTACTGCTTCACATTGCTTCTCCCGGTGCTGGCCTTCTCAACGATTGCTAGCACCTTCTACTGCACCATCTATCTCCTTGTGTGGTTCGACGAAGTCTTTGCTTATTTTGGCCATTGGGGCTATCTCCCACTAGGATGGGTGTTGATTGAGTGTGGTATGCAGTGGAAGTGGCTAATGTGGTTCTACAAATTTGATGAGTGGTACCGCACGACGACGTATGACAATCCTGAGGAGTCGGACGAACTCAAGAAAAAAATGGCCGGGGTTGCTACCGCGGCATGGTGGCTGCCAAAATGGCGGTTCGCAGCTATCAGATGTTTGGCCGCAGCATGGTTCGCTACGGTTCTCGGAGTCACTTGGAAGACTGGTGATGTGCAGTTCTTGGCCAGGCAATTTGCCAGCTTTGTCTCGAATGCTTGGCAAGAGGCATTTGGACTCGGCTGGAACAGATTCAAGATCCAAGAGCATGTTGAGCTGTAATCCCAATGACAATGAAAAGAGCTGCAATTGCCCATTCGTGTCTACACCGGTGGATATCATCACTGACAAGGATGAATGCGATCATGAATTAGTGACCTTTTCAAACAGAGCAAGGTGCGTTACTCCTTGGTGTACACCCTGGCTCTGCTAAGGTAGGTGGAGCTTTAGGATGGAAAGTGGCCCAGCTATCCCGGACAAATGCTTTTCTCGATGCCTTCGAGTGTGTCTCAACACCAGATGCCACAATTGCTTGTGGGCGGGTTCCAACTGACGTCAAAGAAGGCACAGATCAACCATCGCCTTGATCTAGAAGGCCACGTAGAATAATGGTTGCACTGCTTCCACTTGCAAACCCGCTTTGAAGAGTGGGGTTCAGGGCCAGAATATGAGATCCACTTGCCCATTGGTCAGCCTTATAGATCGGCAAACCTCGCGATCCCCATTGTGGGCTACTAGCTGCAGGGCAGGGGTGTGCTTGTCATTACCACGCTTGGACTTCTTGATTGTCGGACACATCTACGACATTGTTAGGCGATACAGACCATTGCATGCAAGCTCATGTTGGTGTGAGTAAGTAGGCCGCCAGTTCGGCAACTCCGGCCACTCGTCTCACGCGGAAAGATGGCTACTTCGGCCGAGGCCGGGGCTATCTGGCTCTGGCTCTGTGGCATTGCTTTTACTGCTCGCTGCAGCGTTGGTGCGCCCTGTGGTTTGCGTGAGAGAACCTTCATTATGAATCGGAACGTCCTTGATGCGCGTTGTTGCATTTGATCATGATTTACTCCCCATGCTTTCTGGCAAAATCTGGTGTTCCTCTCAATGATTGACGGTTGGTGTCTCTTTTCAAGACAGCGTTCTGGCATCACGCGGGCCCCATTTCTCTTACGCGGTTAACCTACAGTATCTCGTATGGCTCAGGTTAGACTGTGGTTCAATATCCCCATTTGAACTGTATTGGTCTTCTCGCGATAGAAATGGCGTCCGACAATGTCTTTGGGTTCGCTCCAAAAGGTGCCAATTCGACTCTCAAACTACGGAAATTATGGGCGCTGAGGCGGCTCGTGAACAAGGGGGAGCCCACCACAGATCTGAACATTCCACTTACACCATGGAGGAAAGGCACCATTACGTGCGCTCTCGCTCTCGCAGGCTTCATGGTAAATCATTGTCGCATCAGAATCTTCCACTCTCACATAGCCAGTACTTATCATATTCTTAGATAGGCATAGACCAATCGATCATTGGTACGTCAAGTAATTGCCTGCTTGAATAGAGTTTATGTCTAATCTTCTACCTACAGAACCAGCTCTGCCTACCATCATTGCTCGATTTTCCGCTCTGCACGATATCGGCGTTTACACATCGGCATACCTTATCCCACAATGCGTGTTGCAACCTGTGTGCAACCGCCTTTATTCAATGTGCTCATTCAGCTCGGTATACCTCGGCTCAGCACTCCTGTTCATTAGTAGAGCCCCTCCAGCCCCCAGCAATGTCCAATCTAGCTCACTGACTCTTGCTTGCAGTCGGTTCAATCATTTGCGCTATTTCAGAAAGTTCTCCATGCTTCATATGTGGCCGGGCCTTATCAGGTGTCGGCGCAGTAGGTTTGAGTGTCGGAGGCTTTCGCATGCTGGCCCTGATGCCCGGGAACCAAAAACAGAATGTGTCAATGGGTGCCTTCTCTTTGATCTTGGGCTCAAGTGTCGTGATAGGCCCAATCATAGGCGGTGTCATCACCCAATCGCCTCTTGGATGGCACTGGCTTTTCTGGATCAACCTTCCCGCGATAAGTATTGTCATTCTTTTGATTATCGGAACAGCCTATACAGGGGGCCCCGACCTCAGGGGCGAGAAGTATGACCTGACAATATGGGAAAAAGCTAAGCTGCTCGACTGCATCGGCACAGGGCTATTGGCCCTGACTCTTATACCTCTGATTCTAGGACTGGACTACGGACGATCATACGGATGGAGTAGTACTCGAAGTGCAGTGATGTTCGCGGTGTTCGGACTGTCATTCGTGCTGCTGATCGTACATCAGAGAATGGCAAAAGTGGCGATATTTGAACGCAGAATTCTCTTGAACAGAAGCGTGTGGGCTACCACGGGCATCTTTTTCTGCGCGCTATCATCGGTCTCTGTCATCACATTATTCCTGCCTTTTCTACTACAGGTGCGTTTATCGTTCTTCGCTAGACTCTCATGCGCAATTCATGATGTGAAACTAACGGCTCTGCTTTATCAGGTTGTCAAAGAGCTACCCCCACGCTCCAGCGGGTTCCTTTCTTTCCCTCTTGCTGGGACGCTCGCCGTCAGCACCTTTGTCTTTTCAATTCTGTCTACGAAAGTCTCATTCTTCAACCCCCTGGCTATTGCCGGCGCCGTTATATTCCTTGTCTCTAATGTCCTCTTCATCACGTTAAGACCGGACTTCTCCATCCCTCAAATTGTAGGCTACGAGATATTAGGTGGCTTCGGGCTAGGTATGGCGTGGCTGGCTGAAATCATATTTCCCAGAGCAGTGCTCGACAAACACCAACTGGCCATGTCTCTGGGATACTCTCGTATGTTACAGCAGATAGGAGCGTGCGTACAGGACCCTTCAACTTGCTAAATGATCTCGACTACTGACTTTTTTAAGGGCTGTGGCTGTTCAACTATCTGCAGTCGCCTTCAACATGAGGTTGGCAAAGAACCTAGGCGGCTTGCCATTAACGCCTGATGAGAAGTCATCCCTCCAAGCAGGAAACCAAATCGGCGGTGACCTTTCAACAGAAACGAAAGATGCCATCCTGGTAGCGTATTGCAAGGCTATACAGGTAGGTCTGGCACCAGCGGCGGCATGGGCTGGGATAGCTCTTCTCTTTGCATTGGCATTACCTTGGTCATCTCTCCAGCGAGGCGTGGTAGACCCCAAGGAGGCGAATAACAGCGACAGCGGTAGCGAGTCACTCACGCTGTCGGTTCTTGGCCCTTCGGAGGAAGTCATTTCATCGAGGGAGCATTATCCCTCCGCCCATGGACGCGGGATGGTCTAAGCAGCTGGCCAACACAGCTTCTTTTTAGTGACTTTTCGTTCTGTAAGCTCACGATAAGCGCTTCAATGAGAGATCTGTTGCTTCCGCACCCTTTAATGGCAGTGATCAAGAGACTAGAGGTGCTCAAATGATGGATAACTACTACTTTAACAAGATGTAGGTGTGTTTCTACGCAGCTAGTGGTGAAAAAGGAACTCGTCACGCAAATTAAGACTTCAATAAGCTACCCAAACTATCTGAGAACAGCGTTAGTATGATTTCTTTGAATGAGCACACAGACGCGTCGAACAACTAGGATACCTAGTATAAGCAAATGTGATGATTGTGACCCAGACTATAATTTCGCGATTGCAGCCTGTCCCTACAACAACGAGATCCCCCCATCGATAAATAGTCATTTAGCTACCAAGGTAACAGGCTCGTTTTGGAGCAACACTGCAGGGTCAAGGACCAAGAAAACAACAGCAGCGATCACCATAAGGACTGCGTCGAGCCCTATAAAGTACCCCTCATGGGTGATCAAGGACCCAGTCCACCCCTCAGCCAATTCAACGGTACGGTAGATGGACCGGATGTATATCATCAAGAACGCCACAAAGAGAGCTATCAGGGCAAGTCTTGTGGGCCTCATCTTCACCAATCTTTTGGCGCGACGGAGGAAGTCACAGACAAGCAGCGCAAAAATGCTCATGGTGAAGAGTTGAAATGCGATCCCAGCGACCATGATGTGTGTCCCCGTCGTTGTGTCTCCGTTGAGCTCGACGGTAGCCTTGGCTGCCAAGGCACCACCCACTGCTTGCACGACAAGCGAAATTACATCGCAAGTGCAAAAGATGATTGCATAGGAGCTGGGCGAGAGGCTGCTCGTTTGGGACCCCAGCTGCTTGATCAGGATGCCGAGAAGGACATAGAGTCCGGCTGCGAAGAAGGTTGGCGCTATGATTAGAGTCGTGATCTGCATTAAGAAGGCGTCGTGGTTGTAAGGGCACTTCGCGTTCCACGTTCGTCCGGCCCATCCTATCGCCTCCGCTGCAGAGGAAGATAACACAGTCAGCCAGCCGACCTTGACAGACAGAGCTAAGATGGAATTGGATGAGCTACTGAGGGCGCCAATGGCAAACGTAATAGACGTCCAGCGTCTGAAGCGAATTGCCCGAATGACATGACCGAGGAATGTCAAGCCGAAGAGCACATCAAATGCGATTCCGGCGCCAAGGCTCGGCCGATATCCGTAGTCGTTTCTGATTTCGGGGAGTAGAGTAGGAAAGCAGCCAGTGCGAATGTGGAGGATGGAGTTCCAAGTCGCTGGATCGATGCCATTAGGAGCAGGCGGTGACGAGCTCATTTTGTGCAATTTTTTTTTTTTTTTCAAGATAAACGGCTTAAAAAGGATGAAGCAGTGTTGGGGTTTACAACAGAGAAGAGAAACATAGACGATGAAGCTGTGAAAAGAGTGAGTTAGAAGAGAGCCACAGTCCTTCCATAAGAAAGTACACGGGTATAATTCGTACCCTACAAGAGACCACCCTGACATGTAACCGATGACATTGAGTCAACAAGAGAGGATAAAGATCTCCAGTCACTTGCTTAGCCCTACCAACGATATCCCCGCGTTGTTGGGATGATGAAGACATAGCATCCCTGGGTTGAGAAGATGGAGCAGACATGCAAGGTAGGTGCGCACGCACTGATAAGCAATTCCTTGCTCACACATTCTCAAGGCTATTATCCGCAGTGGGACAATTGTGCTTTGATGTTGGTTCGCTCTACACTGGGTCAAACATGAACAGGCAGTGGAGGGGGGTGTGATGAGAATGAAACCAAGAGCCAACCTGTGGATCAATTTCAACGTGGGGCGATGTGCATGTAGGGACTCCGAAGTGTTTTCGGGACGGAACCGGCCTAAACAAGACCATGTTCGACGGTTTATTAAGCAGGCAAATATCGACAGGCATGGCGTATGTCAAGACCTAATCAATCATTGTCCTGGTGAGGCCTATACCTGCCGTTGTGGAAAGATACTCGCGATGTATTTTTTTCTTCTGTCTCTGTCATCGATACTTGCCTACTGGATCATCAAGACGGCCGTCTCTTCAAACAAAGATCGACTTTATGCCCGCCGAAAAGCATGTCAACCCTGCGCGCGCCTACCACAAACTGAAAGGGTCATTGGCTATTCTTTGTTCAAGCAAGATGCTACCATTGCACGCCAGGGGAGGTCCTTGCAAACAGCCCAAGACCGCTTCCGTTTGCTCGGTGACACGTTCTCCGGAGTCATCCTGGGCCAATTCTTCATTAGCACGATCGACCCGGAGAATGCCAAGGCCTTGCTGTCGAGTCAATTTGCAGATTTTGACAGTGGCAAGAAGGCCCTATTTGGGCCATTCTTAGGAGATAGCATGCTGACCACAGATGGAGCCCTGTGGAAGCATTCAAGAGTGCACAACCATCCGCTCAGCCATGATCTACGGGAAGCTCTGCAGCTGACCAGCTCTTTTACAGTCACTAGTCCGCCCGCACCTTGGCAGAACTCAGGTAGAGGACCTCAGTAACCTGGAAGGTTGCGTGCAAAACTTCTTCGCATGTCTTCCCAAAGACGGATCTACCGTCGATGTCCAGCACCTGTTTTTCCGGCTCACGTTTGATAACGTGATTCAGCTACTTCTCAATGAAACCGTATCTACCCTGAGCTGCCAGCCAGGCTCCAATCTGCACATGGTCATAAAAGCGTTCGATAGTATAGGGGACCTAGTCAACAGGCGTGCCACGCTTGGTCCCTTGTTGCGTTTCTATTGCGATACCACGATGAACGACGCTTGTAAGATATTGCATGACTTCGTTGACCGCATCGTGGAAAAGGCCTATCGAAAGCGTAAGAAATCAAGTGGCAGCACACCTCCTGTCTCATTCTTGGACAGCATGCTAGACAGCACAGATGACCTGGTGAAGGTTCGGTACGAAGTATTGGGCTTGCTCCTCGCTGGACGGGACACGACAGCCGGCACGTTGAGCTCTCTCTTCTATGTCCTAGCACGGCGACCTGATGTTTGGACGAAGCTTCAAACCGAGGTACATCGCCTCGGTGGGAGGAAGCCGACTTATAGCGACATCAAGGGCTTAAAGTATCTTCAACAGCTGATCGACGAGAGTGAGTCACCTTGAGCACGATATGTTTCTCGTTGTCGGCCTACTGATCAGTGTGGTTGAGTAATTGGTAGCCCTACGGTTATATCCCCCCGTACCAGTACTCTTCCGCGCCGCGAACCAGACCACCACCCTTCCACGTGGCGGGGGTGTGGATGGTAAATCACCAGTGCTGGTTCCTAAGGGTACGGTGATCAGCTGTTCCACATTCAGCCTCCAGCGTCGGCAAGATGTATATGGACCTGATGCAGAGGAGTTCCTCCCCGAGAGATGGAATCATTTGACTGCCCACTGGAACTTCTTACCGTTCAGCGCGGGCCCGAAAGTGTGCCTTGGCCAGACGTACGCATACGTCCAAATGGCGTATATCGTGAGCCGAGTTGTTCAGCATTATGAAAGGATAGAGAAGCGAAGCGATGAGCCCTGGATGGAAAGGTGGTCAATCACCTTGATGAACGCATCGGGGACAAAGGTCGGGATGATCCCCAAAAAAGGCACAGTACCTATATTGAACGACCACGTACGTAATGGGGCACAAGAATAACAGATAAATTGTTTCATAGCGACAAACGCACAGCTCGCAATCAGTGTACCGCTTCATACCACTCTAAGTTATTCTTATGACTTCCATCAAGAATACGGGTGTGTCGGAAAAAACGTCCTCATAACAGCGAAACCTTGACCTTCAATCCCTGTGGTTTTAAGCTCGTTCCTTTCTGTATCACGGGGTGCCAGCCAGGTATGGCCTCTTCAAATCGGAACCTGGAGACCAGAACCGTCAAGAAGACTTTGAGGCTAAGTGTCGCAAAGTCTTTACCGATGCAGATGCGTGGTCCACTCGAGAAGGTGAGAAACGCCTGAGACGTCTTGGCTCCACCGCTATAAGAGCCCTCCCACCTCTCGACCTTGAAGTCCTCTGCATCATCTCCCCATAGATCCTGTGACCGATTAACAGCATATGGACTGACCATGATTTGCTTGCCCTTGGGAATATGAAGCTCACCGACCATGGTGGCTTGGGCTGCTTCACGCATCATGGCCGGGAAGGCTGGGTAAAGCCTAAGGACTTCCATCAGAAAACAACGCAGGTATGTCAGGGAGTTGATCTCTTCCAGAGACAATCCGTTCGAACCAGCATCCTTGGAAGCGATGTGGATTTCCGCGCGGAGTTTCTCCTGGACATCTGGGTGCTGTGCGAGTTTGAATATCGCCCATGCCAATGTTATCGCCGTGGACTCGTGTCCAGCGGCCAAGATTGTCAAGATATGACTGAGAATCTCATTCTCATCTGTCAGTCCGGCCGCAATGATTGCCGATAGTATGTCTAGAGTTCATTGTGAGTGCTGACTCGGCGCGTATGTGAGGTGACTGGGGAGATGTGAGCTACCCTTTTCCCGTATTTCTGCACTATCATTCTCATCCTCCTCTATCTCTTGTCGTTTCTGTCGAATCTGGGCCAGGCAAAATTCCTGCAAAAAAGCCATTCCCCGGTGGAATTCTCGGATGGGTTTGAACGGCAGCTTGAAGAGCAGGTGTGGCGAGATTATCGCAGGAAGAGTGGCACCAAAGAACTTGTCTACCGCACTTTGATTCTCAAAGGACGGAAAGACTCGCTGATATGCTTGCAAGATTGGCTGGTCGGGATAGGTCACAGAGTCAAAATCGACGCCGAGAGTAGTCACGCCAATGACATCGAGAGTGGCGGCCATAGTGAGCGGGTGCATGTTGAGCACCTTAGACTCTGAGCCGCTTTCGGCAACGAGCTCCTGTATCTTGTTGGCTAGGATGAGAGCCTTTGCCCACATCTGCGGAACAAGGCGTCTGTTGCGATTCATGCCAAAAATGGGGGTGAGGAGTTTCTTCTGTCTCTGCACGTAACCAACGTTAGCTATAAGGCTGGATCGGCATGCAGAAGGCTGTAAATCTCTACACACTTTGTGAACATGTCCTTCGGCAGCAACAAGGCCAACTCCGAGGCTCTCGACAAGTCCATCGCGAACAGCAGCAGGTTTGTGAAACAGATATGGCTGAGTCATGATGGTGTTCACCGCTTTCGAGGATTTAGGAATCAGATAGTCGAATGGACCCAAAAAGATACGGTAGAAGCCGCTGGCGGTAGAGGGAACCGTCAGTTGCCAACGAGCCAGCGGAAATCCCCATGGTTCACTGAGGAATGGTATCAGGTTGCCCAGAATGAAGGATGTATCCTATAAAAGATATGTGTCAATCTATGAGATCATCCGCCATCAGTGTTGCTTTCTGCTTTCTTTCCTCCACTTTCTTCATGATGAGTGTCTCGATAGGCGTACTTGAGGGTGAGGAAGGTCTTTCGTTGGCGAAAGGAACCATCGGTAGACTAGGCTTGTGAACGCCAAGCATAAAGCCAGCTGAATTGCTAAATAGCTGGCCAAAGCAAGTAGAATCGCAGTATGAGAAGCGCCTGATATTTTGAGATACGACACAATGGCTGTTGTTCCAGCCAGGGCAAGGAATGACTGAACGCTCATCCTTGCCGCTCGAGCTTCGTACAACAAGATCTTGGACAGGTTCGCGATTACCACAAACAGGGTTTGCGAGGGTAAATGAGAGTAACAGGCTCAAAAGAGAAACAAGCTATGGCGGACGGCATTATAGGTAGAGCTCCGACTACGAGATACGCATTCTCGGAATGAGGTACCTTATGTTTCATTCTATCGTACCTAGCCACCTAAAGATGACCATCCGCTGGCGTTTACAGAGCTGCAGCATCAAGTGCTGGGGGTGTGGGCGTAACAGACTTTATCAAGACGATGGTGGAACACTCTGTAATGCTTATTAGCATCTAGTTAGCCACGCAGTTTGCACTTCAAATGCTTCAGAAACGCCTCATGCCGGGCGATAGTTCTAAAACTTCCACCATCTTCAAGCCTCTGGAGGATCCGGACTGCATCTCTAGGGTCGCAATTTGGTCCGTGAAAAGGCCTGAGTTATTGATGCGAATAATGAAATGGTCCAATGCCGCAGGATCCCAGGCACGGGCTTCAACGTCCTTGCTAGAGCAGGTCGAGATAATCTAGCGCCAACTCGCCTACGTATGTACTTTACAAACCCACCGCAGTCGACCTATAATTAGCGACATCCCTGATCGTACCTATCACCGTTAGTGGGCTATGATCTGACGCTCAATTACATTCAAGATCGCACAGAGCATGTTACTTGAACGAAGTCATAACTTGGCAAGCTTGGTTTTGTTGGAACAATGCCCCGAATACCCGGCCGCGGATTATCAACTAGCCTGTTGGGTGACAGTTGACGATCTGTGGGTCAATAATGCACAGGAGCAGACCAACTAGGGCATGGCGTATCAAGCAGGATCTTTCCAGACAATGCAAGCAATGATAGCCCTGCTTGACGAGCAGCATGAGGAGCCCAGAGAGCTATTTCTTGTCCATCGGCGCTTGTTGCCTAGGTAGTTCGAAGTGGCTGCGACAGCTGATACTGTACATATGTCAACGGAACAGCACCCGACTTTCTGTTTCGCGCGGTAAGACAGGACATCGCGTTCGCCCTTGATCTGGCAGGAATAGCAGCTGGCAGCAATAGAGTCTTGTACAATGATTCCTTCCTTAGGACTCGGCCATCTCGCCGAAAGCGCAGCCAGTCACACCTCCCTTACTTTTGCCCTCTTCCTGCTCCTCGTTCTCGCCATCTGGCACTATCTTGATACTTCTAGGCATGACTCCAGGGAACCACCGTCTGTGAGCCCTTCGATACCACTCATTGGCCACTTTCTGGGATTCTACCAGCATGGGGTCAACTATTTGGACCATCTGAGGTGAGCATAAGCTTCACGCGTCACCCTTGGTAAGCTTGGGGTCTAACTATCGAAGCCATCGCACATCATCGCCTGCGTACACTCTCAGCATGATGGGTCAGAAAATTTATGTCGTCACGTCCCCAGGCCTGTCTCACGCTGCGCTCAAGTCCAAGTCAATGTCCATGGATCCTCTGATTGCGAAGACGAGCAGTAACATGTTGGGACTAAGTAAGGAAGCCGGGCACTATTTTGGGCTCGACCATGCCGGGCTTTACAGAGATACCCTGGCCTTGAGAGAGCGGCGCGAGGAGTACAGTCACTCCCTCGCCCCTGGTCCAGGCGTAAATCTACCAGCTCAGCATTTCTCAGACGCAGTGGCTGAAGCAGTTAATGCTTTTGGTACCGAATGGGTAACGAGAGACTTTTTCATATGGGTGCGGGACGTCATTACCCTAGGCACCGGCAATGGCTTATACGGCCCGAAAAGTCCAATGGCTGTTGACAATACTCTCATTCAAGACATATGGTAAGTCGGGCATGGCCAGCTAGAATGCGTCGTGGTTCTCACAGAAGCCTCCAAATAGGACATTTGATGAGACTCAACTACGGCTCAGCTGGGGTGTCCTGCCCCTTCTCGTCGCACCCACCGGCGTACGAGCCGTTTCTAGAATTTCGCAGGGCTTCCAAGACTTCATTCGAAATGGAAGGGTCGAGTCTGCTAGCGAGGCCGTCAAGTCGGGGATTGCCACAGCCCTCAAGCTGAATGTAAGCATCGAGGATTGTTCTCGTATCGAAGTGTTCAAGATTTCCGTTGCTACGGTGAACACAGTGCCTACAACTGTTGCCATGATACAGAATATTCTCGCCAAGCCATCTCTGCTACAACTCCTACGTAAGGAGCTTGCAGCCGTCCTATCTATACACGATTCTCCCGCCGGTCGTGAGGCCGAGCTTGACGTCGGACTCATTGAGGCGGAGTGCCCGTTACTCCTTGCTTGCTACCAGGAAGCTCTCCGCGTCGGCTCCACGCCCACATGCAATCGGGTCGTTCTGGAAGACGTCGTGCTGAACGACCCAGATACCGGTCGTCAAGTTCTCTTCAAGAAGGGCTGGAGGGTCTGTATCCCAACATTCCTCCTGCACAACCGAGACAGCTTCTGGGGCGGAGACGCTGAGACTTTCGGGCCCGAGAGGTTTCTCCCCGGCGGTGTTGGTACAGACAATCATGGGAGAGTCAGGACCCAGGGATTCGTCCCATATGGCGGTGGCGCCCATTTGTGTCCCGGTCGCCACTTGGCTAAGAAGGAGATCCTCGCCGCAGGCGCGTTAATGATCATGGCTCTCGACTATGACGCAGAGAATGGGTTTACGGCGCAGAAATATACATCCAGCAAAGGGGCAAAGAGACCAGTTGGGTTGAAAAATATCCGCATAAGGCGGCGCAGTGGATGGGAGAGTGTTCACTGGAGTGTGAAGATATAATTTCACGTCAGTAGTTGGGTTTCCACATGAGCGACAATATGAGATGCGATTGATGGCAGAAATGAGCAAATGAACACCTGTTTGTTATCGGAAGAGTTAGGCCCTGGGTCTAGAGTTGAGAGACCATGACGGGCAAAAAAAAAAAAAAAAAAAAGAAAGGAAAACAGACGCATAAAAAAGAATCAACTGGCGTTGGGACTACTGCTCCCGGCAGGGCTTGAACCTGCGACCTTCGCATTACCAACACTTGGCCCAAAGGGAAAGTATTAGTACGAAGCTCTAACCAACTGAGCTACGGAAGCCATTGATTCATGGGATATACGCTAGCTAACGTGTTCAAGAGGGCTAGGGGAGGCATCGTATAGCGACCTTGTCGATCGAGTTGTACTGTCTCAAGGCGATGCCACGAAATCATAGAACCTCTGACCATTGAATTGCGCATGCTAAGACTGACTGCAAGCCTCTATCAAAGTCAGGGGCAAAGAGAGCCAGTAGTGTGACGAACTCCCGGATGCCGTAGATACGGACACTAGATAACGTCCACGACGTGCAGTAGTCACCGTGAGTTCTCACATCGTTGCTTCATTCAAGAGTGTAGCTCCAGGTTTCCTCCCGACGCTGGATGTTGGCATGATTGCCGAGCCCGGACCTGGAGGCGGCATAACTACTATCAATCTTTCTCAGTCCCAGCATACGGTCACTAGAGAATGGCCCAGAAAGTTTGAGAAGCGACTGCGGCAACATCTATATTATTCAAGCCACAATTGCCAAAGCCGACGCTGTATATGTGCGAATATCAATGTAGAGAAGTTATGTGACGTCGGCATGTCAGCTGTCTATGTGTGTATCAAGATCTATAGAAGTCATGAGCCATGCAGGCCTTGAAGATTAGCTCAATAACGCTGAATCTGCAGGAGCTAATGTAAAAGGGTCTCTTTGAGTGACTCCATGAGGCTTTCCAGTTACCGAAGTATCTACAACGACAAGCGAACCTAAACTACATTGCAATCTCCTGCAGCGAGTCGTTATAAAGGCTTTGCTTTTGGAGAAGAGGACTCATCTGTCCGGGATATTTCCAAAAGAGCCATGCAACAAGTAAGAACATGGGCATTGCGTCTAGGCAATAGACAAAAACCTCCGTGCTCAGTAGGTAGCCGTCACTGCCCTCGGAATACTCAACGAGACGGAATACATTGCGGATAATGATTAGCGTGCTGGCAACATAGAGTGCGTGAAGATAGCTTCTCCATCTGACATCGGGTCGTTGACTTCCTGCTGTTGGGGCCAGGTTCATCCGGCGATGGAACACGAGCGCAACAACAACGAAAAAGCCAAACCAGAGAAGCTGAAGTACAAGACCGCCAATGATGATGTCGTTACCAGCATTATACGCCGATTTGTTGTCTTTTGCTGAGGCTAACATGCCACCTCCTATAAAGGCGTCAGATGGAAATAGGAGAAGATGAATGCTATGTCTTGTCTTCGAGCGAACTCACCCCCAGCAAGGAGAAGGAAACAAATGACGTCGCCGATGACGAAAATCTTGGTGAGCCATCTTCGTCCTATGATCGCATGTCTTTCTCCATCAACAATCTCGATAATTCGACCGAGGGACATGTACACTGAGGCCGCAAAGAGGGCAGGGGCTAGCAGAATAAACATTGTCTGAACAAGATATGGTCCCCTCGTCCAGCATCCTGCCTTCTGGTGTGCCGAAACTGCTCTACCCATGAAACCGACAACTTCAACTGTGACTGGGTTAGACTGCGTCGAATTTTCATGGCATGGAACCACATACACAGACAGCCCAACACCAACGGCGTCAAGAACCATGCCTTGAACCTGATCATCTGAATGGTGTGACCGGCTAAGGAGAAGAAAAACAGCGCGCTGAAGATACCTGCAGCAGCGAGGGACGGCACATATTTGTAGTAGGAAAAAGATACATGTTCCCAGTCTGGAATGCAAGTGGCGCCGCCGCTCATCTTCGCTCGAAAAGGACGTAGAAGTAAAGCTCTGCCAAGCAACAAAGAGAAGGGCTGGAAAACACTGAAAGATAAGAATCGAGCCGTAAGAGATTACAAGTCATATATTAAGACTTTGCTGAGTGGTTTCCAAGGGCAGCCATGATGCTTCAGGCGCGTTAAATAGAAATCTACAGAAGGGTTTCCCCTTTTCCAGAAAGGCTGTGCCCTGACGCTTTGCAAACACTATGCGCGTATCCAGAGCCAAACAAACGCCGTACGCGTATCTTGGGGCCGAAGCCCATACGCGCGAGAGGACGTCGGGATTCGGAGTACAAGGTGTTCGCGCCTTGGCGGCATGATACACAACGGACCCAATACGTTGGGGTTCTACCCATACCTTACCTTTGTAACAGCAAGGTACAATGGGTCGCATCACATCATGCCTCCTAGCTCCGAAGGCATTCACTGTCTACTTTACTCAGCCTCGTTCAGTATTGTGCTTATCTAACTCTTAAAGTAGAAAGAACGGCTGACATTGAGATCGAGGCGGAGTTGACGCGTCTCCACATGATTGCGTTTGAAGAATACGAAGCAAAACCCAAGCCCTGTAATAGTAGAAAAACTATGCGAGTGGTTCCACGGGGCTTTATCTCGAAACATTGTCTCGATCGAGGAGATTAAATGGGATTTTCATTGGAACATTTACAGTACACTCGGGAAAATCTGAAGAACGTCTAGTCCTTAGGCAATGGATGGCTGCGTGGCTCCCTGAGCAAAGCAAGCGATGGCTCTGCAATCTCTTACCCTCTATGAGGAACCCCCCGTTCGAGATCCGAGACCGCTGCCTTTTCCCTCACAGGTCGTCTTTTCGGCGCGATTTCCCGTATATTTCTAGTGCGAGCGGCTTACAGGGGGCCGAGTCCTATTCCAGCTTTCGAGTACGCCCATTGAGGCAAACGCATTGCTTGATGCTGCATGAGATTTGCTTGAACCGAACGTACATACAGGGCAGTATTTTGTAGTCCGTAGCATATCGTAATTGAAATGATGGGAGGCCTCATCATCAGATTCCTAGCAACGTTGAACAGCGGAGACGGGCAAATGATCATGGATATCTGCGCGGAATGATGGTATCTTGATATAACTGTTATGTGTGATAGGAGTGCGCATTCGCCTTTCATGGAGGTTTACATGTCATGAGCATCAAATTGCCTGGAGTGAGAGACGGGGTCACAGAATTCGCTGTGCTTGGCGTAATTGGCTTCAAGGGACCTACCAAGCATAGCACTTCAATTATATAGTATATGGTATATGTAGTAGGTATGCAACGGCTGCACTGCTCAGATTGAGATACATATGCAGGCGTCAACTGGTAATCTGGTAACCCTTTTTTCGGCCAAGATGACTTGGTGATTCATTTTCGGCTACCTTGTTAGCTTTGGGCCGCTGAAGGAGCAAGCATTACTAGAGCCAACTCGCAGCGTGAGGGAATTGGTATTAATTGACAGCCGAAGAGAAGGCGGCGTGAAAACGCCCGATTTGTATGGTTGACATGTAAATCTGCGTATTCCGGGCGTCATACCCGCATCACCGGACGTTATCTCCATTCAGCGGCTAAAGGAGGGACAGCTAAGAGTCTGTGACTATAAATGTGCAAGCGGTGCACTCTCGGTTCAGTTCAGATCGCCGCTGGCAAAGCTTCTGCGGATTTGCTCAATTCACTGCCTGGAATATCTAGACTACCATGAGCTCAAAAATGCACCTTACTATTACGCCTTCGTCCAGGGTTGCGCTGCTTCGACCACAAGCGCAGGCCGGGAAGACCCCCAACAATCTCCCAATCAAAGACGTCCACACGCACCCTCGTTCTTCATCAGCAGGCAGAGAAGACGCCAGTGTATACTTCATTGGCAATGCCACCACAGTCCTCGAATGGGGTGGTTTTCGTATCTTGACAGACCCCAACTTCCTGCATGCAGGAGATCATGTGCATCTTGGTCCGGGAGTAACGTCCCAACGCCGGACGAATCCCGCCGTCGATCTTGACGAGTTGCCCCCGATGGACTGCATCTTGTTGTCCCACTACCATGAAGACCATTTCGATCAGCTTGTCGAGGAGTCGCTCAACCGAGATTTTCCCATCATCACAACTCCTCATGCAAAAGGATGTCTCACGTCCTCTTCGAAGCCCGAACCCTTCAGGGCGGTCCACGCTCTGGACTTTTTTGAAAGCATTCTCCTGGACGCTCCAACGAATATAGAGACCGAGACGGCAACACCCGTGATAAGAGTGACTGGCATGCCTGGAAAACATGTTCCTCCAGGAACTTTGTCTGCCCTCAACGATCTATTGAGTGCCGTTCCACCTACAAACGGTTGGCTGTTGGAACTTGGCTGGGCGGATGGATCGGCTAATGCTCAAGATGACGAAAATACCTCTTCTGAACTGCGCACTGGCTACCGTATCTACATCTCGGGCGATACTCTTTTTGTCGACGAGTTAAGGGAAATACCAAAGTGGCTCAACGGAAAACATGTTGACCTCATGCTGGTACATCTTGGAGGCACAACAATCCCAGGCGCCTCCGCGCCCTTGGTCATGGTGACAATGGACGCCAAGCAAGGCATTCAGTTGATTCATCTTATTCAACCAGATGTGACGATACCGATACACTTTGATGATTACGACGTCTTTCTGTCGCCTTTGTCAGACTTTCAGGACAAGATCAAGCAGGAGGGCCTCAAAGAGCGTGTGGTATATCTCAACAGAGGGGATCAGTATCGCTTTACAGTTCGCCGCAATGCAGATTGACACCCATGTACATGAGAAACCCTAGTTTCGTACAGTACTTAATGAAAATATGAACGGGACGGATCACCAAGCCATGAGAGGCAGAAAGTATTTAGATGGTAACATCAGTGAATGCTTCATTCCAAGCGATATGAGTCCTGCTATATCAATGATAGTCTCCCGCGCCACGAGCGAATAAGGCCACTTATTTAAAGATGTGCAGTGCGGTGCCCTGCATCAGTCTTCCATTCCGAACCGTGGTGTGATTGGCTTTTAGGGAAATGATTCAGCTCCCACTGGTCAGCCGCATCTGCAATGCAGAGCCTTTGGGCTTGATTTTGTTAGACTATCAGATTCAGCTCCGATATAGTGTAAAGATGGTGTCAATAATAGAAAATAGATGTAGGGGAAGAAACAGCATGACATAGGCTATAACTCATGGGTTTTCTGCTTAAATTATGATGGCGCAATGGGTTTAATATGGGTGTTATATCTTGCTATGCTAATTATGCAGAAGGTTTGTGTTTCTGTAATCATTGGCATATTAAAGCAATAAGCAACCATACATAATGCAGGTGATGGAGTGGCAGCAGTAGCGGCAGCAACAGGTTGTCCACATATACGAAGCTCCATATCCTCACTTTGAACACATCGCTTCCACCATCGTATCTCAGTCTATTTGGGATGTCTCACTACACCAACTGAATTATCCCCGGATATAGATTGACAATGACGCAGACCTTATTCGGAACGTCACCCGCCATCTCAGCTAGATATCGTTCATGGCGAGTGGTGCAGCAGACATCCGCAGCAGTAGCAATGGAGGATATACGGACGGAACTTCGGGTTGAGTGATAGAGATTGCTGAGTTCGGATCTAATGTAGACGCTCATGATGGCCTTCGAGAGCAGCATTTTCTCTCAGACCATCGGGCTATGCCAAAGGAGCCGTATCTATAATGGAGAGGGCGGAGGTTCCCTCCTTCTTACAGCTTCTCAGACACTACATGTATCAAACTCGAGACTCTCCACATGGATCATACACCCAATTGTGCCTTGTCACCTTCTGTATAGCCGTTCAAACCCAAAGTTCCAGACTTCGGCTCGACGCGTTCCATCAGAAGATTCCTTGAACCCAACATGCTGGAAAACACTCGGCTCCAATGCCCATTTGACCCATCCACGGGCTTCAGCGTAATCCTCCAGAATCATGTCCCCAGGGAAGTCATAGGGAGGATCCCTCAGCAGTGCTTGAAAGTCCGCCAAGTGTCGCTGAGGAAGAACAAGCCCCTGAGCACAACAGCCGTAATGCGGCATCTCGCGGGCTCCGTGCACTGCACTCCACCCGAATGGATTAAGTCTGTTAACAGAAAGACGACCAGAGAGAAAATACAGAGCTATAAGAGCGGGCAGCCAGAGACCGAAGATGAGCGCTGCAAGGTATCGCTGCGTGTGCGGCGAAACGCTGCTGGAAACGCCAACACGCACATATTTTCGCCCAAGCAAAAAAATGAGCAGCACGGCGGTGTACACCAGACAAATGACCTTGGAGTATGACAGCCATTCTTCATTGTTCCAGCCCATCAAAATCTCCGAGTAAAAAAGTCGAAGGTATATCCACTCCTTCTTGGTCTCTTCGGTCTTTCGTTCCACGTATGCCAGGCCCTTCTTGAATCTCGGAAACCAGTCGCGTGTTGTAACAATGTCGTCTTCCACTAAGGCGAAGTATGGATACTCTTGCTCTCTGCACGCTTCAACTAGGGCTGAGTGATCAAGCCTCATGTTCTCGACGCGACCATCGCCGCGAGTTCTCCCCTCCTTCAAGTCAAAAGGTATGCGACGGTACACAGAGCTTCCCGCGGGAGGCTCTCCGTAGAGAAGAACCTCGTCGACAAGCGGCTCGAGCCATTGTTGTCCGTACGCGAAATGCTCCGATGGCGACTTGTCGGCCAGCAGCACGACAATGCGAATGGACGCACGCTCTTCCGGTGCTAGGGTATCAGATAATGTAGCAATCGTGGAAGAGAGGAACGATTCTGTCGTGCGGTTAACGCTTGGAATGCCAATGCACAGCAGCTTGTCGACGGGTTCGGTCGGTATGACTCTCGCAGGCGGATTTCGAATGTAGGCGTCTGCCTCGGCTGCTCTCACGCTTGAGAAGCGCTGCTTGTAGGCTTTCTCGGCATTGAAGAAAATCGACGAGGGATCATCGTAGGAGAAGATGGCAGAAAACACGAATAGGAGAATCCACAGGACGCAAAAGACAGCGTTGATGCGAGCAACAGACATGGCTCTATTCGCGGCACGCACACTTCACGCTACACTGCCCGACTCCTTGCGACCGCCGCGGGATGGCTGGGCTTAATAGGGACGAGAAACTTTCCAAAAAACCTGACAGCGTTGCCCCCATAAATGTAATGATTGTGCCGGGGTATCATTAAGCGAGTTGGCTCGCTTTCACGCATTAGCAGTACCGAGTACTATTACAAGGTAGTAACGAGACCCAGTAAGGCTGTTTGCCCGTGTATGTATATCCCGTATTGATGCACATCATCCTACCCCATTTGAGGATGTGGGCTTTCTTTCTGCCCCCATAAACCAAGGCCAAATGTAAACACGGGGCGCTCCGTATCTTGGGTAGGTATGCAACAAATCGACGCCGATGACTAATTCCGCTCCTGGTCGATTACCAACCCAGCAGATATTACACCGCAAGCAGGCATACTTGTTCCCGGCATCCTTGCTAGATCCCCAAGTCCTCATTATTTCACCAGGTTTATCTATCTTCCCATATTCAGTGTCGTCAACAGAGCACAGTGCCAACCGAGGAATGTCAATATGCCAAGAGCAGCGCGTTCCTGCATCTCGCCAAAGAATTTGATAGCCAAGTATGAGTATGAAAGCGTTGCAGACCAGAACCACAAGCAATACTTCATCATGGCGGTTCACAACGGCATGTACATACTTCGTGCAGCAGGAAATTTAAGCCATACGGTGAAATTTGACCTCTTTCTTCTTTATGTCTACTCATAAATATGTGCCAAGGGGAATGATATAATTGCTGGAAATAACCCCCAGTGAAATCAATGTTCTTTCGCTGCTACCCATCAACATTGGTTGAACTTAGAGTCGGAGTACAGCCATCCAGTCATTCGATTGGCAATATCGCTGACGTATGAAGCCGTGGCTCCTTGGCCGTCGTTCAAATTACCGCTGTTTACCGAGCCCGAGTTATAGCAGCGAGCAGCCTAGTGGTCGCATGTTATTAGCCTCCTGATTTTGACATTTCTTTTGAGTCACTCACTTCGTATATGTTACCATACTGGTTGATACATTGAACCAGTCCGTCCCCGAGGGCGGTTCCCTGTGTTCCATCAATAACCATTTGAGTAATGCTGGACTGCTGGGCGGAGTTGCTGGCAGAGTTTCCAACAAATGTGACACCTCCATCGGACTGCATTAGGCCGGGATTGTCTGGCTGGGAAGGATCTGGATTGGTGGTCGGGCAAACGTTCACGCAGCCGATAGACTGCGAAATGTCAGCAACTCAGCCCCAGACAACGGGTCATGGAAAACCAACCTCTTGCAGAATGGTAGCAAGAATGAATCGATGGTCAACTAACGAAGCTTGAGCGACTTGTTGGATGGCATTCCATATCAGACCGGTTTGCTCTCCACTGTTGCCGGGTCCAAAAGCTCCAGCGCCATTCGAGCAAGATCCTATACCAAGGTCCGCGCAGGATTCTGCCATAGCATTCTTTGAGTAGTTCCACATGGCATCAAACTCGATCCATTCAGATGCAGGAGGGAAGCTCTCCCAGCCGCCATAGTAGCACCCTAATCAGGTCAGGGCCAGTCATGCGTGAAGAGTGTGCCTTATAGTGTGAGATATGAATGCGGGTACCAATACTTACGATATGTATCTGAGCCAGCATTTCCTGTACCATCGTAGATATTCGCATTGTTATTGTTGCCAGCACCGCTGCTGAAAGCTGCCGAACTGGTGACCTTTTGGCTGGAAGGGTTGGACACGGCCACGGACCGAGACTTTTCAATGCTGCTCTGTGGTCTGATAAGCCTTGAACAGCTTACAGGGGCATAGTAGTACAAACAGGTCCAGCTCCGAAGGCCAGACTGCCAAGAGCCAACTGCAGAGCTGCTGTGAGAAGCATGTTGATGTCTTCCAAAATTACGGAAGGGCAAAAAGGATTGTGTCAGTCAATGCTGCCAGATCATCCCGTGCGCCAAGAATGGAAGAGTAACCTTTTGTTTATATAGTTGTCTTTGATTTCATTCATGGTCCAGGATGGTCAAAAGAGGCGGATCTAGCTAGGTCCATCAAGGAAGGCAGCATAGATCCCATGGTGTTCACCCGAGCTTTTGCAGCTTGTGAAACAATATTGCTGGGGATACCTCTTAGTCTAACTACCTATATGGCATCTAATGGCTTTGAAATGTCGAATTCTGAATACACTTCGTGCCGCAGTATAGGTAAAGGTGTGCCGTCCTTTCCGTGCCCAACTTACCCTGAACTAGCCTTAATACGAGATATCCCCAAAGTAGAAGGAGGTTGTCGAGATACTCGGCAACTCGGTCCTTCTGCGGCAGATCCAACCAGGTCAAGGCCATTCAAGTTGGCTTTTGAGTACAGGTTTCAGTACTCTTAGCCACAGGATCTAAATCTTCAACCCCATACAAGACGACACAGTCGATTCGCTTTGTGCTGCAGCCATTCATACGAGCCCTCGTTTTACGAGTATGAGCCTTACTATTATGGTCGGGAAAATAAAACAGATAAGGGATCTCATACGTTCGATCAGCTGAGCAGCCGACGACGATTTGTTAAAGCCTACCTATACTTAACACATACGTCCTCTGATTGACTTAATTTCCAATTCCGTTCATATTGGCATTTGTCTTAGTTCCTTTAAAACTTTGGCGGCACATCATCTTCATTAGTCTCTACGTATAGTAGGATGTGCAATAAGATGACGGACTCCCGTTCAAGGTTCATATCAGCTGAGAATGTCTCAGCATTTCGATTGTTGATCGAAGTCTTCTTTACTGATCAATGTGTAATTAACTTTGGATTCAAACGACGAGAGAGAAGAGTGCCCCCCCTCCCCCCGAATAAGTGGTGGAAACTTCTTGGATACGAAGAACAGCTTTGACGCTTCAATGTAAAGGGGTTGCAACCACTCTGAAGTATAACATCAGAAGTGGAATACATTTGCCTCATCCTGATGACATGACGCCAGGTAGTTCTCAATTACCACATGATTGTATGTTGTCAGTTTCTTCCTCTTTGTAATATACAAACCAGTCACGCTGATGCCGTATGGGGTATGTAAGGCGATTTATGGCACGGGTATTTCTGTGTGCCTAAAAATCAGAGCCAAGAATGACATCCGAGGTGAGTCTACAGCAGTCGACTCCTTGAGTGGTTTCCGGCTCAAGGCGGCGAGGTTCGCGGATATATAAAGCAGCAGGTAAACATGGTGGCAACATGACTATAATCCAATGGTTCCTGCGAGTACTATGATGACATTTCGTTCAAGAAAAGTCACGGAATCGACCGCAGGCTTGCACAGCATGTCTCAGAAGAAGCACTTTCAGGGTCTCGAATAATATAGAGTTTACAATCGGCCACATACTTCGTGATGAATCTGGTCTTCCAGACAAGAGAAGATGAGCTACCACGGGTTCGGTGTGCGCCGTGGGTGTAATCCATCATTGTAAGATCGGGTAAAGTTTAGAAACCCTCGATTACCTCGATATACGGCAACCCTATTTTCTGGGCACCTAATCCCCAGCCTTATCCATGGTTCTACTTCTACTAGTCTAATTCGAATACTACCGTTAACAAAGGCCCACTTGCAGAAGCCATCACTTCAGCGAGTGCATCTCCTAAAACGCATGAGCCATCTACCCATCATGCTACAGCTGCAGTCACCATTGGCTCGCAAATGCTTCACGCATTCAAAATGAAGTTTATCTTTACCAGAAAGTTTGATCCACTCAATCAGGCACAGTAATTATCAGGTCACAGGGCTGCTCTCCCGTTTGCTGGAGGCGCCGATATAAATTTTCTCCTCGTGTACCAGAAGTCATGTTCAGGTATTCCGGACGTAGGTAGTACGCCAAATGCCTCTAGCGGGTGAGACGCTGGCGGCTGTCGATCCCATCGCAAGATACCCTCCCTTTCGTGGGTAAGGCTCCTAAAACGCAGAGCTCTATCGCTTTCGCTTTCAGAGCTGCATGTAAATCATATGCAAATTATGGCCAATCCATTAGCTCCGCCGGGGAAGCGCATGCCATTCTTTAATCGCAGGCGGCGAATGGCGTGGTATTCATCATCCATGGCTGAATCATCGTAACTTGAGATAATGCATTCTAGATAAAACAACTATATACCTAATTCTAGAGCTTTCTGAAGCATTTGTTTACACTGCGGGTGCGTTCGCTAAGGGATATAGAGGGATCTGAAAATTTGCTGCCCGACAAACATGCCGTTTCAGGTCGGAATCAGCCCTCGAGCCTTCTCTATGCTAGACTTTGTGAAGTTGGCGATACCCCAGACGTCTAGCATTACCACGATCGCTCCATGACCGGCTTCTACCAACGCAGGGACCATCTCTAGGTTCATAGCGGCACTATAAAGGATCAGCCTCTATCTACTACAGCGGGATGTCAAGGACCCTGGCGACTCACCCAAAGAGCGGAATACCGTGCTTCTTGCTTGCCTTGGACATGCTCTCCGTAGCAGCGATTAGGGTGGGATGAGGCTGCCCCAAGCTCAGCTCTAGTCCTGCATCGGCTGAGAAGTCTCCCGGCCCGAACATAAGAGCGGAGATGCCGGGTATTGAGGCGATATCATCGACGTTTTCAATTCCTTTGACGCTTTCAATCTGAGGAATGACGGCAATATGGTTGTTTGCTGTCTTCATATTGAACGCATCGTTCGGATACAGAGAAGCGTCCGAGATGCCGGGGGTGAAGACCCAGGGGCTGAAGGAGCGGCCACCCAGAGGGGCTAGTGTGAGACGTCAAATGATAAGTAGTGTGCCTCTATCGCGATTGAACTTGCCACTGGATTGGTATGCTTACGGTAGTAAACCCTCTTCATAAACTCTTCAACCTGTTCTCTGGTCTCACAGTGAGGAATGATGATGCCAGAGGCACCGGCGTCTAGAGCCGTACTTAGGGAGACTTCATCCTCCGCCGGTACTCTCACAACAACCATGGTTTGGCCCTCAGAGTGGTGCTGGGCTGCTTGAATGGCGCTATTCCAGTTAGCACCCGCCTCCCCCAACGCCATGGGGTGTGATATATCTTGTCTTACTCATGCAGCACCAGGCGGTCAAACATTCCATGCTCGACGTCCATCCAGATAAAGTCGGGTCTCGTGGAAGCAAAGACCTTTGTCAGAAATGTGCTTGGAATGCCTTGAGCGACCCCGAAAAGAGTCTTCTTGGGATCTTTCTGGGCTTCCTTCAGAGCACCCTTGAGGTTTCCGGGGTACGTCAAAAGAGCCGACCGCCATTTTGCCTGCGTGTGCAAGCTGGTGTTTTCGAGGTAACCTTGACCCGACATGCCGAATGTTGTCTGCTTAAACGAAACGGTGATGTTTAACGCACGTACAGGAATTGCTAGAAGAACAACGGGTCACAACAGCGGAGAGGTTCCCTTGGTGTATCAAAGACAGTGAAGAATGTATTTACTGACGACAATATCCACGTCCAGGAAAGGGCAACGGCTAGCCCTCCTTATATATGCCCCAACCCCTGTGGCTGTAACTCAATCACCTTAGTTGAAGGGGCAGCTACAGGTCAAGCTGTCTTGTTACCTAGTTAGCGCTTATCTAATTCTGACGGGGACACTTTTTAACATGATATCTTGACAAAGAATCGCGGTGATTACAAAAGACTTTTGCTGGGCTCCGCACGGTTCCAAAAGTCTGTCTCTAGTGCTGAGTCGCATGAATGACGAGTGGCTGTGATGCGATTTGTCACTGTTCGAAGGCCAGGCACCGAGAAAGGCTCGGAAAAGAGGCATGGTAATCTCCAATGTCCGACAGATCAGCCCCAACAAATGGCACCACAGTGAGGAACGTCGTATGCCCGATATGATGCGAAACCCATCTCGGAGAAAGATGTGGCTTGATGCAGTAACGCCGAGTCGTCAGCCATCTAAGGCCACCAAAATCTGTAGGAATCGAATCCTAAGCATTGTCGTACATACGAGTATGACCAACACAGCACGTTGTCTTTAGCGTCCAAACGACTGCTCAATACCGGCCCCCTTTCTCCTCGGATTCTGGAGACCTCCATGCTGACAGCATGGATGATGTAGAGTCATGTTTTCAAGACGCGGGACATTTTTCTCGGGGAGGCGCAGTGCTAGTAGTCCTCAATGATCAGTGTTCCTGATGTTGATGTTTCCCAAAAGTTATAGCGGACCTACGGCCCTTGGTTACATACCTTGGCTAGGCGCTGCTGAAGCCGATCTGATCGCTAGCATGCGATGCAAAAACAATGGGGATGTAACAAGTATTATTGTAGACCTAGGCCGTAAGTTATATATCGCGATATGCAAGCGTATTTGATATGATTCCCTTGCTCTGGGTAGCTTGCTTAGCACTTGGGCGAAGTCGACGTCGGCTGCTATGCGTCGTATTTCTCTTTGTAGCCATATTTGGAAGCAGCCTTGAGATACAGTGGCCCAATTCCCCTGGTCAGGTATGGTAGGATTCTACGCGTCAGCTCGGGTTGTCCACAGCGGAGCTGAAAGTGGACTCGGTGTGCTGGCCGATGCTGGCTTGCGTTTACCTTAATTCGCACCTAATTACTCTGATATCAGTGGGTTTGTTGTCAATGATACTACATGTAACCAGAACGCGACGAGATCGAAGCTCTATTGTACTAAATACTCCAATTCTACGTGCCATACTTACTCTCCCACAGCTACTACTCTCCAAGTCCCTTTGGATGATACAGCATAGAGATTGCAACGAGTTGGCCCAGACTCTAGGCGTGCACTTTGCTGTAGGTATGCACTTTGCTGTTGATTAGGGCAGCCTCTGCCGAGGCATCGACGGGAGGCCCTATTACGAGCACGGAGAAGGTAGCACGGTCGTTGTAAAACTGATCGATTGCTCCCTTCTTACTGGCCGTTGGCTTTTACCCTTGAGGATGATGATTGGCCGTTGGCTCGGATGAGGTCTCGTGCCACAGGTAGTGTCGTCCCCGCACGGCTGTTTGACTGGGCATCTTCGCAGATTGGGCTCATTATCTCAATTGCGGAGATGAGGTGTGAGGCCAAGTTATAGAAGTGTCAACACAGCTCGCTACGGACGACGTGAAATCTCTCTTTATCAAAGAAACTCATACATGAAGCCCTCGCCTGGTGACAGACGAACGCATCGCAATTGAGGCACCATCTACGCATGCACGACGCCGTCACCATGGGTTCTGGTCCAACCACAGCCAGTTTTCTAGGCTCAACATCCACCGACTTTCCTCGCACTCACGAGAAGATCTCAGAACCAAAGGACACACCGTATTTTGTGGACAATGAGTTCCGACTTTCTCAGTCGAAAGACTTCGTGCTTGTCCACGACCCTGCCACAAATAACCTAGTAACCAGGGTACCATTGATGACCACCGAAGAGTTGCAGGATGCGATTGATTCCGCGCAAAAAGCCTTCAGTTCCTGGAGCAGAGTCTCTATCATTGCCCGACAGCAGATCATGTTCCGCTACGTCGCGCTTATCAAAGAGAACTGGGACAGACTTGCCGCCTCCATCACCCTAGAGCAGGGCAAAACATTCGCAGATGCGCGAGGTGATGTGCTTCGTGGGCTGCAGGTGGCAGAAGCTGCATGCGCCGGCCCCGAGTATATGAAGGGAGAGATTCTCGAAGTCGCCAAAGACATGGAAACGAGGACTTATAGAGAGCCTCTCGGCGTTGTTGCCGCAATCTGCCCGTTCAGTATGTGCTTCCGCTTGCTGCAAACCAACCGTTACTGGTAGCGACGCCTAATGCATGCTGTGCAGACTTCCCGGCCATGATACCGCTTTGGTGCATTCCGATTGCCACCATCACCGGCAACACGCTGGTTCTTAAACCCTCCGAGCGAGACCCCGGCGCTGCCATGATACTTGCCGAGTTGGCCGAAAAGGCCGGCTTTCCAAAGGGCGTGATAAACGTGGTTCATGGCGCACACGATACCGTCAACTATCTGCTAGACTCCCCGGCGATCAAGGCCATCAGCTTTGTTGGAAGCAACAAGGCTGGAGAGTATATCTTCACTCGTGGCTCTGCAAATGGCAAGAGAGTGCAAGCGAACTTGGGCGCGAAGAATCATGCACTAATCATGCCTGATTGTGACAAGGGAGCGACACTGGACGCTATTGTCAGTGCGGCCTTTGGAGCGGCGGGACAGCGCTGTATGGCACTGTCGGTCGCAGTATTCGTTGGTGAAACGCGCAGCTGGCTTGATGAGTTAGTGGCCAAGGCGAAGACTCTCCGGACAGATGCTGGCTTTGAGGATGGCGCTGATCTCGGCCCTGTGGTGACACCCGAGAGCAAATCTAGAATCGAATCGCTCATCGCGAGTGCGGAGGCGGAGGGAGCCAAGATTCTTCTTGATGGACGCGGTTATAAGCCAGCAAAGTATCCAAACGGTAACTGGGTCGCCCCGACAATCATCGCCAATGTCACGCCATCTCAGCAGTGTTATAAGGAGGAAATATTTGGCCCTGTCCTGGTCTGTGTCGAGGTTGACACGCTCGAGGCTGGTATCGAACTAATTAACAACAACGACTACGGAAATGGCGCTGCGGTTTTCACATCATCAGGCGCCATTGCGGAGAGGTTCCGGCGCAACATTGAGGCGGGTCAACTGGGCATCAATGTGCCGATCCCAGTACCTCTCCCGATGTTCTCATTTACGGGAAACAAAAAGAGTGTGGCTGGAGGGGGTGCCAGTACCTTTTATGGGAAACCGGGGGTCAATTTCTACACACAGTTGAAGACGGTCACCTCCAAGTGGTCAAGCGCGAGTATCTCGCCAGCTAAGGCGGAGCTTTCAATGCCTACTGGATCATAGAAGTACGCACGTGCTCCACGATTGATGATAATCTGGACTCGCAACGAATATACTAGTTCTATCTTTGGGAGAAGCAGTGACTCGGTGACGTCGCAGTTGATGCGTACTGTATCTCGCCTTCCTACGAGCCCATACTCATCAACATCGGTTTCTTGGGCATTGATAAATTATATTCTTTTTATCTCAGAGGCGGTGGTGAATGTTGGCGATGTGGTAATACAGGGTATCTAATCCGATCAAGTCACGATGAAGCAAGGCGAACTACAATGAAGCTGGAATTCTATGCTATTGGAGCTACTGTGATCTCGGACGCGGTTATTGTTGTCTTAAAGAATCGGGTGGCTAAATTGTGACCGTCTACAATTCCAGATCAAACTGCATGACCCTTGTGATGTCCATTATGAGAATAACAACATTCACAATGACATAAGCAATGATATTTGCGTTGCTTATAGATTGCAAAGTATAACTCTCTAGGCTAGGAGGGATCCTATAGCGAAGATCACAAAAGTTCGCCTGCCGTGTCTTACACGACGAACGCAACAGGCCCGACCTCCTCGTCCACGGTTTGTGCAAGGAGGTTTCGACACGGGTGATTGTTGTTAATGCCTGGGAATGTCGTCCCAAGAGTTGAATAGGCTTGAGACTGTTCCATGTGGCCCCATGGCAACGATATCGAATGGATGTGTAGAGGCCGCTGAAGTCGGGCCACTGCTCTGCCATATGCCCGTATAAAGCGTGTAGTTGGTCCCGTCAACCTTACTCAAAGGCTGCATGGGGACTTCTTCTTGCGTCCATGGGCTGATTGGGGCGCTTTTGTTGGAGGGCTGAGGAACTACCAGAGAGACGTTTGTGAATCTCTCCGCATTGAGAACCTGGGATCTGGTTAGCAATGTGAACGCATTCCAAGTCAGGTACGCGGCGAGCAGGCTCAACATACTGCTGCAGTCAGGTTAAGCTGCATCTGGCTAATACCATCGATAGTCATTGCACCTTGACTTGAGAGGGAAAACATTGGCAAGACATCGTCGGGTAGAGGAAAGCCGGCGCCACCATTGCCGTGGATGGAGTTTGTGCCGGCCTGACTGTCTACGATTTCGACAGTAAAGGATGATATGCCGTGCTCAGATGGAATTTTCGAGTCAAAGGTGTAATATGTGAAACTTGGACCGCAATTCGGGTATGAACAGCCTCCCGTTTGCCCTCTAGATGTGGTTGCCTCTACTCCCGGCAATGGGTCACCAGAACGGGACGACAAGTGTACAATTATCCGAGTTCCGTTGCCATTGATGAGGTTATCGACAACCTGTATAGTTCCTGTTCTTTAGTATATCATTGAAGCATTATGAGTGTAGGAAAGCTTACCCGAATCACTCCAGTTACTGATAGTGTTTCATCGTCGTTAACAGTAACAGTCAATTTTCTTGGCTTGACATCGAGAGGATTGATGTCTGTCAATTTGACATTGCCTGGCACCGTGTTTATCATGCTCTCGAACATGGTGTTGCATGTATCAAGGAAAAAGTCATTTGACGTTGCCATTTGGGAGATCATATTGCCGCCGTCTGCGTTGAAGATACGAAAGTCCGACCGCGTTGTTTCGTTTTGGCCAAATGCAAGCGGGTTCTGAGAGACGTTGGCTATGAATTCTTTGGCACTGAAATAAGTTTTCCCGTTAGTAAGGTACATTGTATGTTAGGAGACAGAGAATGCAGAATGGAGAATTCCAGAGTGAGGCTCACACAACGTTGTCGAAATAGTCTGTTGTTGAATCAAAGGTAACGGTGTTATCGTTCTTTGACTATGTACATACTGCAAGTTAGTGGACTGGGTGGCAGGAGTGCATGGGGGAGTTATCAGCCATAGAAATAGGTATACGAACACCATCCGTTGGAGTAGGGTTTGGGACAATTTCTGGGAAGTCGACGCCATGAACACCTCCGACCGTATGCCCGCAAGCGACAAGGGCAATCATCTCAGAAGTGTCGAAACCTTGTTTCGCAAAACTTGCACTATGTGTCGGAAGATCTTGTTGAGGTTCTGGGACACCAGACGGACCCGGGCCAGCTGCGTCCACCCGGCCTCCCTTCAATGGAACAATGACTTTCCCATCAGAACACCCACCAACTGCCATCACCGTGGCCAACGCAAATAAATCAGACATCGACACTCTTTTGTTGTAATTGCCCTTGAAGATGTTGAGTGTCTCTTGGAACGCGTCACCAATGTTTTCCGGGCGATCCATCTCAAAGACGATCGAGGCATCCAGCCCACCAGTTCCAGCAACGACATCCGCTGTTGACATGTCGTGATAGGCATTTCGAATCCATTCTGCACCAAAGCTGCGGCCTATACCAAGAGCGCGCTCAGCTGGGCCACTGCATCCGTCAACAAAGGATGCGAGACCACCGGGGCCATCGAAAGGATTCTCTTGCTCATATAGAAGCTTCTCAAGTTCATCGACTTTTGGGTCTGGCCAGACGCGTTCGGCATTTGCGGGTCGAAATAAAAGACTGCTCAAGGCCGCATATGTAATAGCACGGCTCCAAGCCATGGTGCAAATGCCGGGCACGAGGTTGTAACGTCAGAGGAGTATTGATTGGGCTATCTAGTAAGGTTTGTGAGGTCCGTCCAACTTGATATAGACATATATACCCAACAGATCCCATAGCTTCATATGACCCCATTGCTATCTACGTACCCAGCTCGGCTCTACCACCGCTACTTTGCGGACTTCTGCATGGTGATTACTCCGCGCAGTCAGCACCTGAGTGAATCTGGATTGCGGCATCATCTCAACAGTTTCCTGAGGAGCATCGTGAATCACTCGTAGGCTCAATGTGCAATTGGGACGTGGGGGCTCTGCCAGTCCTTCCTTTGTACAGCGTAATAGAAAATTTGCCATTGGCCAGTCTGTTCAATACAAAACTCTCACAACTCCATGTGGCAGGAGAACAGTCTCTCTGACCCCCAATGCTCCTTGACTCAGCCAACATGGACGCGTAACGCAACAGGACATTTTTACCTCCTTGGCACACTAAGATGCCTGCAGCCTCGTGTCATTAAGCTTACATCCAGGTTATGTTTCGTATTGTCAAGCTTATAGGAATGCGTATACCCCGGTCTCCGAGCCTGTTCGGGCCGCGTGTGCATGTACGGGATACGAAGAGCTTAACCAACCACCGCCTCGGCAACTCGAGAATCCTTACGAGTGTCTGGCTAGCAATATTGCAGCAAGTAGTCCGCCAATACCATGTATGACTTGCGTGCGGATCCACTAGATCAACGGCCGTTGTACGTACAAGGAACGGTGGCCGTCCATTTCGCATCTCGAAGAGTTCTATGTGCAACCGTAGAGGCTGAATGGATTAATAGGTACTGATCTCGTAACTCCAGCCGAACGGAGCCCCGATAGCAGATACTACCCGCAATGCATGGTCACAGTTGCCCCTCATCATTCAGCCTCGGGCCTTTAAAGATCCCTGTCAGTACGCATCTAAGATACAAAATATACGCATGTCTTGGTGTCAGGTGCCAATGGCCGCGAATACTGCTACAAAAACAAGGGCTACAGTTCTAAGGATTCAAGAACCGGACAAGGTTTTGACAACGATTGAAACCAATAACGCGTTACGTTGTTATCCCGCTGAAGCCAAATCCGCGAAAGGAATTGTTTCGCCGCTCTCTGAACCGACGGCATGAAGTGATCCACAAACTTATCAACATTCTCCAGTGCCTGGATCCGGGAGCCGAAATCCTGAACCTCGACTGCCGCAACGAGGTAAGGCAATGTTACACAGCGACAAGGCTGTTTCGTTGCCCACTCAGCAAGCTCAAGTTCTTTCAAAATTATTAAAATGTATGTCAAATTGGCTTGCTTATTGTCCCTCTTCCTAGATGGGAGCGCGGCTCCTACTTATATTCTACAGACGGTTAACCCTTGCCACATATTATACTAGTACTTCCTATATTAGTGCCCCTATTTTTAACACTCCCACTCAACGACATAGGAAGCTGGAGTGTTGCTCCCACTGCTTCTATGCCTTTATAGTAGGGGTAACTGCCTAGAACCTACTCTCACTAGACTGAGTGTTAAGCAACATTCTTAACAGCTTCTATATTAGTAATCCTCCTCAGGCCTAGGGCTTTACAGAACTTTAGGAATCAGTCTTTGCCTAGAGGCTTAGTTAACCCATCTGCTACCATCTTGTCTATAGGGATATATTCCAGTGCCACCTCTCCAGTCTCAACTTTCTCGCAAACGAAATATTATTAGGTCTTAATGTGCTTTAAGCCTTTGTGATTTATGGGATTCTTTACTAGAGTAATGGCTCCCTGGTTATTACAGTAGATAATAACTGCGTTTAGAGATTTCTCAGGCGTTAATATTAACGACTCTGTATTGCGTTCCCCCTAAAGATCGTCCTGCAATTCTATAAAGAGCCTCTGCAGCCAGATAGCTTCCTTTATTACGTTAGTCTAGGCTATATATTCAGCTTTACAACTTAATAAGGCGGTCATTGCCTGCCTTTTTAATAACCAGCTGATTTTTCCACTTCTAACGTTAAACACATATCCAGAAGTCGATCTGCAGGTATCTAGATCACCAGCCCAGTCAGAATCACTATAGCCATATAGCAGTTGCAGGTCTCCTTAGAAGATAAGGCATAAATCCTTAGTTCCCTAGATGTATCTAAGGATGTATTTAACAGCTTGCCTATATGTGTTATTAGGGTTACTAGAGTACCTGCTGATAACTAAGACTGTATAGGCAAGGTCTGGTTGTGTTCCTAATATCAGATACATTAGTGACCCTACTATTAACTAGTATTCCTTCCGTTCCTCTAGTTAACTTAGATATCTGTCTTCAGCCTTCTGCAGTTATCTCTTTACCATTAGGGTTAGAGTTAGTGCATAATCTATCATGTCATATTAATAGAGGATTTTCTAGATATAGCCTTGCTGATTAAGTATAATTGTCCATGCCGTTCTGTTACGCCGGATTTAAATTCCCAGGTAGTAGTAACACTTTCCAAGATCTGTTATAGAAAAACGCTAGTAAAGAGCATTTTTTAGGTCTGCAATCTTCGCCTTATTTTCCCCCATAATTAGCAGATTATCCATATAGATAGTAATAAAGATGCCTTCTTTTATATATAACCCGCTGTCTGCTATTACTGCATAGAAACTAAGGGTAAGAAGGAAATCTGTAAGCGTCTTATACTAAACTCTAAGGGCTTGTTTTAAACCGTATAGCGCCTTTCTTAGTTTGCAGATTTTCCCTATACCGTCACTAAAACCTGTAGGTTGCTTAACGTATATAGCTTCTTCTATATTTCTATATAGAAATGCAGTCTTAACATCCATCTGCTCTATCTTAAGGTCTAGTGCAGCTGCAATTGCAAACAGCGCCTTATATGTTATTGGCTTAACTACAGATGTAAATGTTTTAATGTAGTCAATTCCAGCGATCTGTTTAAATCCTCTAACAACCCACCGAGCTTTATATCTAATAACTTAGTTATTAGGTCCACGCTTTAGCTTATATACCTATTTCCTGCATAAGATATTTATATTTAGGTTAGGATCTATAAGATCCTAGGTGTGGTTGTCTTGTAAAGCTTGCACTTCTTCTTCTATTCTGCCACGCCACTTATCTTAGAAGAAACTTCATTTAGCTTCTCTATATGTGGCAGGCTTAATGTCTTCTAGTAAGGACTCTGCAGAGGCGGCGAGGGCAAGAACGTTATATAAGGAGACCTGGTTTCTCAGTGGATAGCGCAGTTCTAGGTGACCTGGAATAGCATCTTCTAAGAGCATATCTCTTAAGTTGAAATCTTGTATGCGCACTTGCTTAGAATCGACTCGCTGCTCCATTAACGGTGGTTGTAGCGGTAGTACTTTAATTATAGATTGTACTAAACTTGTCTTTCTGTATTGCTTTCCCCTTGCTGTATCTGTCTAGTTGTCTATCTAAGTACTTATAGACTGCATGCTAATAGTTATTGTTAGTGCTGTAACAGCATCGGATTTAAAGTAAACATTTAACAAGCTGATCACCCTGCCTTTTAGCGTAAGCAGTTAATAGACTGTGTTCCTGACGAAGCTAAGGAGGGTGCATTTAATGCCTTTATTGTTAAGCTTCTTCTATTAAGCTTGCGGGATTAGATGCTATACTGCTGTACCTACTATTTAAATATTAGAGACATTTAGTTGTTGCCTATAAACATATTTAAACGGCGTTTTCTTAAGTGCTCTATGGGGACTTCAATTATGTAGGTAGTTAACTATTTCTAGAATTTCTAATCAGTACTGCTTTAAAATGCTTCCCCCTATTATTATAGGCAGCAATTTATTACATATTATGATATTAAAATTCTCGGCAACTCTATTTAACTAATATTATTCTGTAGGGGAACTCTTGAGATTGGTGCTGCGCTAGGCAGCCTACAGGTTAAATTCGCAACTATTAAATTCCTTTACACCGTCTAGGTAGATTATACGGCAGCGGCGTCCTTAGGGCTCTCTCTTCTCTAGGACCTGCATAAAGTACTAGATAAACTCCTAGGCACCTTGCCTATCCTTTATCGCCTTACTCCTACTAAATCTGCTGTATCCATTTACCAGCGTAATCTAGTATCTCTCCTTATTATAACTAGTAATATGAAAAGGACCATATATATTAACGTGGATAATATCTCTTACATAGTCTCCCTGTTATAGCTGTCCATAATAGGGTTTTTCTCTTATCCTTCCTTAAAGGCATGGTTTACAGAGATAGTATTCTTATGCAGCGTTTATCCTGTCAACTAGGTTTTTCAGCCTGTCAAAGTTGCTTCTACTTAAGTGGCCTATTTAATTATGCTATAGCTGCAACTAAGGGTTAACGGCATAGGACATGAGGACTGGGATAAGAAGGGACTTGGCCTTAATACTATAGGAGACTAGGGCTTATGTTAGAAAAGAGTCGGTTTAGAGGATAAACAGATTTCCAAAATGCCTTGCTATTATCTCCACATTATCCTTTCTAATTATCTAGCAGTCTTAAGCTATCTGTATCTTCCCCCCTAGGTTAAGAAGCTGGGCGATAGAAACTAGGTTAAGACCTAGGGTTAGCATAAAGAGAACTTTAGTAAGCGTGAGGGTGATGGATAGATTTTTATTTATGCATTTCTAGATAACTGTGCTAACGCCGTCCACTGGAATCTTAGAGTTGCCTATTCCACTAAGGAAACCTCTATGCGGCTTAAGAGAACCCAGGACAAATTAGTCTTGTTATGACGTTGCATGTTAACTGCAGCCTGAGTCTAATATCCATACAGCACTAAGACTGCAGTGAGGCGACATTTTCAGAACGTCACAAAGTGGTCGGTCTCTGTCGCTTCGTTCTTAGACAGAAGGGCTTGGTTTTCCCTGTTCGCTTGCTTAGCGTTTATGTAAGGACGACCTTGCCTGCCTCTGCGGTCTTCCTAGCGCCTCTTTTTCTCTAGATGCAAGTCCCAGCACCCCTTTTTTATATAGCAAGTCTTGCTGCAGTGTGTGCATCTCAGCACCCTTACTATTACAGAGTCCTTATTATCTATTAGCGCGGATCACTTCCGTATTAGCAAGGCCTGCGTCTGCATTATCACACCGCTTTTCTATCTAACCTCTTTAGCTTTAGCGCTCCTGATAACGCTATCTAGTATTAGGAATGTCTTAACACTGTGGCTGGACCAGAAGTTAGTGCACTAGACAAGGTACTATTCGCTTAGGCTATTAACAAACTTAAGGATCAGGTGGCTATTTAAGAGCTTATGCTAGCTTCTGGCTTAGAGGAACTTCTCCTAGACAGTCTTGATTCATTAAGCAAACTCTCAGACTAAATCTGACTCTAGATTAAAGTTGCAGTCCTCCTACTCCTTATACGCCGTTTATAAAGCTCCGAGGCCAGACTCCTAGAATTCCTCCTTAGCTTATTAAAACACCTTTTGCACTGTATTTTCTTTACTTATCATCTCGCTTAGCGAGATTAACAGTATTGTCTTTAAGATGCTAACGCATTATCATTACTTGCTTTTCCAGGCGCTAAGCTAAGACTCTAGGACTTTTTCTTTAGTGTTATAGGTGGTCAGCAGGTCGTCTCCCCTAATAAGGTTAATAACCAGCTTAAGCTAATGTTCCTAGACCAGGTAGTCCTCTTGTTTTTCTAAGGATAGTAAAGAGTGTAGGCTTAGGGCGTTAACGCTAATAGGTTTAATCTCAGGTTCTGTTACCTCTCTAGCGATAATTATTTCCCTAAGATTGCTTCTTTATTAAGCTATATTTCGTGTTGGTCTAGTCTATAGTAGTGGAGTATGGACTTCGCAACTGTAAATGTTAGTGTTGCTGGGAGGAGATAGAATTATCATTATCTTGTTATCTTTAAAGTCCTCATTTATTAGGCTAGGGGTTGCCTGTCTTGCTAAGTCCAGGCTGTCTTTATCCTTATAGATTTGCCCACTTCCCTAGGACTCCTAAGTCTCCCAGCCAGCAGGGGGCGCTGGTCCTGCAATTAGGTCGTCTAAGGATAGCAATCTTATCTGTCTTAGTTGACAGATGGATCTTAGCCTATCTGGGATAGCTGGTTAGTCTTCTCCTATTATCTTTTAGTTATACAGCAGCGTATCCTTAAGATACAGCAGGACTAGCAAGATTAGTCTATTAGCCCCTTAAAGTATTAGTACTTATCGTTTCTCAGCAATTTCGGCAGAAGCCGGGCTTATAACCTGTTAAAATGTATATTAAATTGGCTTGCTTGTTGTCCCTCTTCCTAGATGGGAGCGCGGCTCCTACTTATGTTCTACAGACGGTTAACCCTTGCCACATATTGTACTGGTACTTCCTATATTGGTGCCCCTATTTTCAATAAAAATTTCGTTTGACCAGATGCTCGCTTGGCCATCTTGGTGGCCGAACGGGCATCGTAGCCGATGGGCCACCAGTAGTGCCGCCAGCCGGTATACCTTTGCTTGCGCCAGCAGGTTGACCACGTCCACTGTTTCGTATCGTCGAGAGACGTTGCATATCAGCGGCGGCCTCCAGCCCTCCACTGCAGTTCGTATTCCATCGAGCTTCTTGTGAAGCTGCATCAAGCACGCCACGTCAATGTTATTTGCCATGGAGTGGCTAATAACACAGAGGTCGTAGTAGTAGGGTAATAGTGTTAAGCAGAACCCGAGATGATGGCTCACAATTGGTGTTTCTCCGAGTGGAAACCTCTGTGTAGGCTTCCTGCAGTGAACCAAGCAATCGGCGGTGTCCATCAGGACAAGAAAGCTATACTGCGAGACCGCTTCCGGATCACATAATGTCGCTGCAGATGTGAATGCCGCTGTAGTGCTCAGGCAGTGCTGACAGATCTCGGCTACGCCGAGCCCAGCCAAGGAGTACGCTGAGAGAACCAGGACAGTTCCAAGCGTGAGACATACTGTCGCCTCCCGTGCATTGGTGGCATGCAACAAGCGCAAAATCCTGATGGCTGATGAAGTACAGCGATAGCAAGCATTCAACTTTTCCAAGTCTGCTGCCTTATCTGACTGATCCAACTGGAGTGCCCACGCGTAGGCCAAAAAAGCGTCTTTGAGGAATGGTATGGAGGTGGGTAGAAGACCTGCGAGCGACCGATGTTCCGCGTCTTGGAAGCTGGGACTTACGAGATGATGCCCGAAGTTCTTGGGTTGGCTCAGAAGAAGCCTCAGCAGCTCTTTCTCTTGCGAGTCGATGTTCAGTCCATCAGTAACCCAGTCATCGATAGGCATGTGCGGCTTCTTCAGTTTGCCGGTTGCATTGGAACCGGGTGATGCATCTTCGGCGATCAATCTGGCCGATTGCTTCGGTCTGCGGCCAGCTGGCCGAACGGGGCGATTGATCGAACAAACGAGCGTTAATCGATCGCATCTCGTGCAGGAAACGCCAGTAGCTGAGCGATCACATCGTTCTTTGAGCTTGTAGCACCGATCACAAGCAGTCCTAGAGGTGTGCCGTTTGCGCATGGTGGTCGCCATCTGCTTGGCTCAAGATAGTGTGAACGTTGTGAGTGTTTTCAGTCTGGATGTTGAGTGGAAATGAAGCATGATGTACGAGCCCCCAACAATCCCCCCCCACCTCAGAGTGATGCTTCTGATTCGCTGCAAATTGTTCCACATTTGTCCGCCGGAAGGTTGACCGGAGATTTGATGATCTGCTGTCATACTAAGACTGGAAGCATGATGCTAAGAAATTGGGAACCGGAACCGGGGTATTTTGAGTGTAGACATGATTTCGAATTATAGGAAGAAATGTGATGAAGAGGCATGAAAGGACTGCACGGAGTGTTCCTCTTGGCTGCAGCTGGAAGCATATATAGACTGTGCCGAGGAGACTTGAATGTGACTTTGAACACTTCTGTTATCCCTTTTCATCAACATTTTCAACGGCTACTCAGCATTCACGTATACGACACAATGTCAGAGATGCGTCGCAAAGACTATCGAGCTATTTCACATGCAAAGAGGCTGCAGAGAAGTGAAGCAATTCCCGAAGAGTGGTCAATCAACCCGATGAAGTTTGAAGGCATCAACCTTTTGGATGTACCACTCGTCTGTGGCCTATTGTCCGATATCGAGCTCGAAGTCACATCCCAGCATGACGCAACGAGCCTTCTGGAGGGTCTCAAAGCTGGTGCTTGGTCCGTTGAACAGGTAACCATAGCTTTCTGTAAGCGGGCGGCTGTTGCTCAGCAGTTGGTAAGTTGCGCGACTCAGGTAGTGTCACATAGAAAACAGATGGCTGACAAGTATACATGCATGCATTCTCACAGGTGAACTGTCTGACGGAAATATTCTTCGACGAAGCCATTGAACGTGCTCGCCAGCTCGATAGACAACGACTCGCTTGTGTGAACACCGAGTTACTTCCACCGCTCTTCGGCTTGCCCGTGTCGCTCAAGGATACTTTTGCAGTCAAGGGACATGATACGTCGACTGGCTTAGCTTGTTATGTCAATGAGCCGGCGGGGGAACATAGTGCTATTGCTGCGATGCTTCTCGACCTTGGCGCCATCCTTTACTGCAAGACCAATGTTCCGCAATCCGTCATGACCGGAGACAGTGACAACCATGTCTTTGGCAGGACACTCAATCCGCGAAACGTCTCTTTCACGGCGGGTGGTAGCACTGGTGGTGAGGGTGCACTACTTGCCCTTAGAGGAAGTATTCTTGGGATCGGTACCGATATATCTGGAAGCATTCGTGTCCCGTGCGTCTGTAACGGAACTTATGGGATGAGACCGAGTGTAGGACTCGTTCCTCATGGCGGTACGCGTGAACTGACAGTACCTGGGACAGATGGGGTACGTTCGACCGTGGGGCCGTTGGCAACCACGCTCCGAGATTGCGCCCTCTTTCTCAGGACAGTCATGCAGGCAGGGACATGGCGATATGACAGCAACGTCGTATCACTACCATGGAAGAATGTAAAGCGTAAGGAGAGACTGCGCATTGGTCTAGTTGAAGATGATGGTGTTTACACTCCGGTTCCACCGGTAAGGAGGGGTTTGAAGAAGGCAGGCGATCTGCTTCGCATGAGCGAGCAGGTCGAGATTGTTCCGTTGACTTTACCGAATGTCCAAGACCATTACGAAGATCTTCTCAGTTATTTCACTCTATCCGGAAGCGAGGTAAGACAATCACTTACTTTCTCTCTTTATTTGGTAGCTTCTGACATGGGCTTCGCACAGCACTACCTCGAACAGTTCAGCCGAACAAGCGAGCCATTGGTACCATCGTTGGCAGCGATTGGCCTCTTGTCGAAACCGGCGTCGACCCTTGAGAGCTTTTTTGCTCTGAACGTACGCCGAGCTGAAGCTACAAGGACGTATCTTCGACTCTTCCTCGAGAACCAGCTGGATGCGATTCTGATGCCCGCAGCTCCCCATACTGCTCTGCCTTGGGATACTTGGACTAGCGCCACGTATACTGGGTTATGGAGCTATCTTGACTATCCAGCGGTCGTGATCCCCGTCGATGTGGTGGCAGCTTCAGACTTGATGGATGATCCTGGCAGAGCGAAATATGGGCCAAATGACACGGAGCTCTATCAACTGTGTATGTACACAATTGTGATGACCATTTAATTGCTTCAACCGTCGAAACTGATACAGATTGTTTTTGGCCTACAGATACAGGACCCGAGCGATACGAGGGCCTTCCGATCGCGGTCCAAATTATAGGGTACCGACACCAAGACGAGGAGTTGATTGCGACGGCGGAGATGCTGGACTCAATCATCAATGGCGAACCGTAACACACATGCGTGTCAATTGCGCGGCCAAAGCTTGAATGCGGGACGGTCAGGCTCTGCAACTGTTACGGTCACGGGTGATGATATGGCTCTGGTAGAGTCGTGTATGAGACCGCGTGGCTGCTACCATGGGTTAGGGGCCTCTTCTTTTTGACGTTATTACACGAAATGCGGTGCGACTCAACTTGATCTTCCGTATATCATCCGCTACACCAATTGCCAATACATACCCCTAGTCAAACTCACTATGTATCACGTGCTCTCCTTTCTTACTATTTCTTCGTAATTTCTTCATCCATTGCGCAATTTCTTACCATCCTCCGTCAATGGATCTGGGCACAATGGGCACGAATTTGCCTCGGACTAAGAATGGTCGCCCGGTTGCGTGCGAACCATGCCGTCAGCGGAAATACGCGTGCGATCGTGCTCTTCCAGCATGTCGACGCTGCCAAAGGAGTCGGATACAACAACAGTGCAGATACATCGGCCGGGCCGTGACGGTCAACCCAACCACGACGTCCCAACCCGGCAATGGCGCGAGCGCCGACCTCAATACGCTGCAAGTGTGTCTCGCGGGAGCTTCCCCCATTCTGGCGAGTGATTGGCAAGACATGGAATCAACACACAGCTCCTCAGCGTTGAACATCACGAAAATAGATCGATGCTTCGCACGCGTCGACGAGACCTATGAGACTGCAAGAGAATCTCACGTGCACGCGTTTCCAGCTGTGAGCAACGAGGACTTAGACATAGCTCTAGATATCCTGGACAGTCTTCCAAGCCCCGAAGCCGAATGCATCCTAGCAAAGCCTCATATTAACCCGTTTGACGGATGGATACCGTTGGAAACGACATGGCTGCTGACTGAGTTGAGAAGTACTTTTGCTGCTGCGTTCGGGTGTGATGGTGGGAGAGAGCGGTTCACCGAGCTTGCGTCTATCATCTTTTCCAATACCGCGCAAAGAGTTCCTCACACCCAGGTGGACTCAGCAGAGGACTGGTATACACTTCTTTCCGGGACAAGCCTAAGATGGGAAACGGTTGGCCTGCTATTCAGTAGCTGGGCGCTTGCTGCCTTGCAGAACAAGGAAGATATTGATCAATATCGGCCGCATATTCTGGCTCTGAGGTTTCTGAACATAATGGAGAGCTGCATCCGATTCTGCCGGGGGAACAGAGCGCATAATGTGTTATTGGTCTATCTCATATACCGAACAAGTATCGTTTCATCAATCTTGCATGGTACTGGTCGTGAGTCTCGAGATTCCGTCCGGCTCTACTGCAGACATTTAGGCTGACCAGTCACCCTTTAGATGAAAGCTTTTGGCGCCTTCACACAGAAACTGTCACATTAGCTTGCGCCATCGGACTGGATACTCTGCCCGTTACATCCATACGAAGTTGCTGCATATCGAAACAGTCGGAGCGTCGATTGTTCGCGGCAATATATGTCCTGGATAAGGCAGCTTCCGTCTCTGCTGGAAGGCCGCCACTGTTGGCTTCGAGCCGAGGTACTACGGCTTTGCCATTGGACATATCGAACACCGTTCTCGTACACTTTGAAGCTAGCCAGAAGCCAGATGTTGACTTATTGAGGATTGATGACCAAGGATGGAACACGGATGGCGAGATGTACGCGACAACAAGCCTTCGAGCAAGAGGGCTGATAGCGCATATTCGAGAAGAACTTCTGGCAATAGCCTTGAACAAGAGGCAAAACCTCCTGCTGGAACTGGCGTAAGGGTTTCCCTAATTGAGTACGCCGTAATATCTCGGCTTGATTTCAAGGGCTAACAGAATATACTCATCTCTAGGAACTTGAGATACAAGGAAGTCAACATCTACAACCACCTACCAAGTCAGCTGCGACTGTCTAGCGGAGACAAAGGCTTCAGGGGTAACATGCCCCAGGTTCTATACACAAAGCTCTTCATAAAGCTAGAACACCTTCAAAATCTTTTACTTATCGAAAAAATGCTACACAAAGCTCAGCCAAGCCTCCCTTCAGATAACCTGATTCAGAGAAGCCTGGACATTTTGTCGGTCACCGTCAGATTCTGGACTCATAACGATATCTTAGTTGGCATGGAAGGGGACCATGAGTGGTTCATCATGGAATACGCTGTCCCAGCAGCAGTTGTTCTCTGTGAATGTCTCCTGCAATGGCATGACGTTGGCTGCCTCGTAGCATCACGTTCTAACATCATAGAACAGTTGAGCTTGCTTGTGGGTTTCGTGGAATGGCTGATATCGAAGGTTCCATATGTTCGTCGTTGCTACAGGGTGAAAGATACCATTGCGAAGGCCTTGGATCTGGTACTAGACAATTCACCTGAATTGTTTCATGAGGCAGCGGCAAACTCGAAGCATGAGCAGACCAAAGATGAGGCAGCTGCTTGTCTTGATGACTTGAAAGAAATAGACACTTTCAGATGGCTTTCATAACAAAGCAATACGGTTTCTTTTATGTCTGACAAGCAATCCCATCCGTCTTCTCTACCCTAATTTTGCTCCACTGATCTCGTATCAGTCCTCGTATCACATTATTATATACTTGCCCGCCTTTGCACACCGCCATGCGTCTTGTTCCCTCGTGAAGATATCCAGCTCTCTCCAGCACCTTTATGCTCCCTCTATTCTCTTCAATCACAGTTGCCTCTAACCTCAGAAGCGTGGGGAGTTGCTCAAATGCCCAACAACTAAGAGATGAAACGACTTCCGTCATGATGCCATGGCCCCAATATTTGGGTGATAACCAATATCCGAGAAGCTTGGTGCGGGATTGTTCGCCCGTGAGATGCTGAAAGCCACAACCACCTATGACGATATCACTGTCGAGCGTGCATATGGCGAAAAAGAGGCTTCCTTCTCGATCCGCAATGTCGATCCAATTAACAGCATCTTCCAGCGTGTAGGGACTTGGGAACGTCGCTGTCATGTATTTCGAGACGAGATGTGAATTTGCAGCTGCAACTATAGCTTCCGCATCGGCTTTGCGATAGCGACGAATAACGCTTCGCTTGAGTTTCAAAAGAATGTTAGAAGAACCAGTCATGTTGGCCATTGATAGCACTGTTCCACGTCACAGAAAGAGATTGTCTGCTATGCTATATACTATTTCTTTCAACAGTACATTGCTCTGGCTGTGCCACATTCCACCCCCTATCGCAGGCCGCTTTTCGACTCTATGTGGTTAGATCAAATCGACCCCGACTCCGACTCCGACTCCGACTCCGAGCTTTACTTCTAAGTCATGCCGATCAAGAGCTGCAGCAACTTTACTACACCCGTAATTATTCTGCTATTTCTGTCCCCCCCGCTGCTCTTTCGAAGCTTGTCACCGCAAAGGGAATGCCTGATGTTTCCACTTATAGTGACCCACTGTTGGCACTCGAGGGTTCGAGGTTCGTAGACTCGCGGCGAAAGCGTATTCTGTGTAAACACGTTGTAGAAACAGCAGTAGCTCGCCAGCGACAGTTCATCGCTATCACGGACTCTTTACCTTCATCTATAGATAGGAACAAGGTCATCCACTCAAGTGCAATATAAGAAGGCATTTTTCATAGTAAACACTATTCATATATTCTAGGCTTTTAGAGTGAAAGACTTTGTGTCCCCTCCCCCAATTCTGTGTGAAGACGCCTAATTTAGACCAGGGGACACTATTGCTCAGAAAGTCATGTCAACATCAGAGCATGGCCCATACTCATTTGGACGAGCGTACCTTAGCAGCCAGGGAAGCACAGAGTCGCATCTCCAGAAGTACAGCATTGCTGGCCAGCCACACACGCGCACTGCCGCTTGTCGAAGATCTTTCCGTCACGCTCAACAGTGTGGCCAGGAGCGGCAACAGCAGTGAAAGCCAAAGCTAATGTAATGGTAAGAGTAAGGAGGTTCTTCATCTTGGTGTTTTTGCGAATCGAATTTCGTTAGGAGTCCTGGAGGCTTCTAATCGTGTAAAGGGGACAGGAAACAAGAATAGTTTTCGAATAGCTTGGTGATAAACCTCCCATCCATACGCAAGCCGATGGATGATACTTATAATTCAAGTCTGTGTAAGGGCCCACTACATGAAAGTCATTCAAGGCAATACTGATATTCTTCGCTCTTGCCCAGTCTGTTTGTTCTTTCGAGCAGAGTGATTCCACCAATTATACCCCCTGATTATTTTTATCTTGATTTTATAAGCCTCTACTAATATCTCACACTAGCTGGAGTGCCTCATGGCGTTGTTCTTGACAGATATGGAGGCACACACAGGATAGTGGGACATGGTGAGTAGTCTTGGCAGGACGCATTTACGAGGTGATATGCAAAGGAAAACAAGATAGACATGCATACCTATACAGTCTGTAACGAGGAGAAACTTGTTGTTAATGCGGGGTAGAGAGTCTAGCAGTTGCTCGAATTGTTTTTCCGTGAATAAGGAACGAAACAAGGCCCCAATTTGCAAACGCCCAGTAAGCTGACGAGGCAAGCATTCTGCAGTTTCCTATTTCGTTCGCGAATTCTGCCGCAGAATGCGCTATCGCGAGCAAATCACTCCCTTGATACCTTGTTCAACTATTAGGACCACTCAGAACATGTATAGACCCCCAAATCTCTCTAGGTACTCGCTTTACGAGCAGTGCACATCCACACATTGTGCTGTACCCGGTGACCACATGTCGTAAACTCGTTTTCTCAACATTGCAGTCCCGGGAGAATAATTCAAATCGTCACTGCTGTGTTCCAAGAGTGGTCAGATGAACCGACTGTTGTGTCTCCTGTCACTCTGGGGGTTTCATTCACTCACATATACACCTACAAACCACCCACTAACCACCCACGTTATCTTTCTCCGCCCACTCACTTCTTTTACCATCCCTTCGCCATGCTATTCTCTTCTCACGCGTCTTATGAGCCGCTTCAAGACGAAGGGAAGAGTGAAGCTTCACGTTCACGCAAACCGTCTTGTTCAATCTTTTGGCCATCTTGCTCTGCCGTCTTGCTGGCCATATGCTTGGTCCTATCATTTCTGTTGCAGCAAAGATCCGGAGGCCATTGCGGCAGTGGATCACACTTGACCTCCTCAAGTACTGACTTTAGTATGATTACCTCGTGAAACACAATGCTATATGTAGTACTGACGCAAATTTGATAGAGCCGGCTGTGTCTAGTATTCAATATCATCAAGTCCAATTTGGAGGCATAGTGCTGTCCGAAGGTTCATTCAAGATCACAGGAGGCGCAAGCACTCGACCCTACGTCGGGACTTCGTACCATGAAATCGACAAGGCATGGAACAACGTGCTGGAAAGTAAGCGTTGTGGATGTTGCTGGGCCGATTTAGCTTGTTGAAATAGCTTTTGCTAACACTATTGGAGAGAGATGGTTCAACCTGACTGTCAAGGAAAAGCGGGATGCATTTGGTGACAAAGCTGACGAGTATCTTGACTTTGTGCAGTGAGTCATACTCCAGGGTGAGCTGCATAATACTGACAGACTGCAGACTGGATACATTTCACTTGCTGCATTGCATCAACCATCTGAGGAAAGTTATTGATGCAGATTTCTACTACCCAAAGGGTCTACCTCCTCTTCGGATCCATACTGGTATGACCATGAGCTACAGAGCAGAGCAATGCCCATAGATACTGATTGTTAGATCACTGTCTTGACGTTCTTCGAGAATCTGTCCAATGCCATGGCGATCTCACCTTGATTCCCTATCGACCGGACAAGAACAGTTCCTACTATTACAGCGACTCCATCCAATTGCACACCTGCCGCAACTTTGACGAACTCCGCCATTGGCTCGCAAATACGAGGAAACCATTTTCCATTGACCCTTTCAAGCTGGAATAGGCTTGGTGCTGCAGACAGGCATCTCCGGACCACTTGCGTGAGTCACCCTTTCGCCGGCCCCCACGGGGGGAAAAAACGACGGGGGAACACTTGTAGTCCGTTTAGCCGCAGCGACGGCCCGGGCGACTTCCAGTGGCGACTCTTTTTGGCATTCTCCGCACGGAACTGCGGGGAGAAGATTGAAACATCGCCCGGGGAGTTAAGCAGCTTACCCGCATGGACCCGTCAGCATACAGGGGGAGAATTGGCAACGATGTGTGTAGTGGTGTGAGGGCCACTACTAGCTCTCTTTCAGTGCTGTCGGACATCTCTAATACTTGGGCTTGATCTTGCCGGGCAAGGTGCTACGGAATAAATAATGCTGAGACAGAGAGAGGGAAAACGTGATTCGATACTAATCGACCTTACAAAACAATCTTCATTACATCAAACATGCCGAGCCAAAAGCTACCATTCCACATCGCCATCGTTGGTGGTGGCATTGGCGGCCTTTGTGCTGCGCTCTCGATCCACCATCACTGTCCCAAGGACGGCAGTGTGGTGATAGATGTGTACGAACAAGCGCCGGAATACAAGGAAATTGGTGCTGGCTTGGGCATAGGAGTGAATGCAGCCAAGCTCCTCCACCGCATCGGCTTGGGGGAAGACCTCAACAAGATTTCTGGCCACCGCAATGGCATCTGGATCTCGTTTCGCCGTTACGACACAGGTAGCGAGATTGTTACTGTCCCGGTTGATGACCGACAAGAAATTAGACAAAGTCCCGTCCACCGAGCAGAATTTTTGGCTCTCTTGTTTGACCACGTGAAGAAGCGAAATGCAGCCACTCTGCATGTCAACAAGAGGTGCGTCGAGCTCAAGGTAAGATGCCATTTTGCTCCTTCTCAACGTTCTGCATAAAGAAGCATTGATTCATGTACTAGCTCAGGACCAAGGGAACTTCGTAGAGCTCTGTTTCGCCGATGGCACGACCACGACGGCGGATTTGGTTGTTGGATGTGACGGGATCCATTCCGTTATCCGCTCCCAGTTTCGCTCCGACAACCCCAAGTACAGCGGCCGCATGTGCTACCGGGGGCTGGTCCCCATCAAGGACCTTGAATCCTGGTGGCCGTTCCCATCGTACTCGGTTAGCTGGCTGGGGCCCGACAAACACTTCCTGGCGTTTCCCATCAGCAGAAACACGATTCTCAACATTGTCGCCTTTGTCTACTCCGATGATGATCGTACCAAGGAAAGTTGGACGGCCACTGGCCACCGAAGCGAGGTCCAGAAGGAATTCGAGGAATTCGACGCCACTGTCCGCAAGACTATCTCTTTTATGAATGAGAATCCGTCCAAGTGGATTCTGAATGACCGGGAGCTACTCGATCAATGGGTTTACGGAAACGGCAAAATAGTCTTGATGGGAGATGCAGCGCACGCGGTACGTCTCCGGTTCACCCGCAAAGTTACTTTATATCTCTGCTAATGCCTTCACGGTTTCTAGATGCTGCCACATCAAGGTGAGGACACACAAGAAGAAGTCGTAGTCAAGGGCATCCTGAAGCCACCTACTAACATGCTATAGGAGCTGGCGCTGGTCAAGCCATTGAAGATGGCTACATTCTGGGCCGAGCCATAGCTGACTACTTGTCTGCGCCTCCAGAGAGAGAGACTCAAACGCTTGACAAGTGGATGCAGCTGTATCAAGACGTTCGCCTTCCCCGTGCCCAAAAAGCCCAGGCAACAGCTCGACAAGCCGGGCAAGTGTACGAAATGCAGACACCAGAAATGAAGGGCAAAGCCTATGAGGACTGTCTCCCGCTTGTGCGAGACAGTCTGAAGGACCGCATGCAGTGGATCTGGGCTGGAGACATTGAGGCTGAATATGAAGCAAAGAAGCTGCGTCTAATGGATCAAGAAGCCCGCGAGAACTGTAGAGATACTGGCCGTAGCAAGATACACTCGGTGACGGAGCGTGCAGTGTTAGTAGGGCAAGACTAGAGTATCGCGGAGACGAAGTACAACAAGCTGCGGCGAGAGAATGGGTGTACTGACGATTTCATTCCATGTTTCCGTTGTACCCATAGTGGTAAAAACAATCATTTAGCTCGATTCGGAGAGTTCTACCAGTAAAGTCTTGCTTGTTCCTAAGCTCGTGCAAGATAGGGGGGGTTGAATTCTTCGCGACTGGTCTTGTAATCTCCCCGCTGTGGCGTTTGCTGCTCATGACACTAGTGACTGGACCACCGGTTCGAAGCCCTCTACCCATGATGAGGAGCAACGCGTACTCACCTAACAAGAGGTAGGCTGGAAGACCCCGCTGCTTATGGGAGGCCACGGAAAACCCAGCTATACACTGTGGCCATGGTTAGGCAGCTCTCCCCGAATCGAGCCTGCCGACGCCAAGTTCAGCGCGAGGAGTGGTGGTGGCTTCGCCAAGGCGTAAATCCTGACATAGGTAGGCACCTAGGCATCAATACATGTACCATACCCGACGACACAAGCCCCGTTCTTCTCCGGATAATATGCACCCCAGATCGATGATTCCATCCAACTGGGGGTGGCTTGTCCGGGGCCACATTACGGAGCGCCTTGATTATGCCGTTGCCAGAGAGGATGAAGCATGGAGCCGCTAAATTCCCGTAAGCCACTGACCCTCGCCCTCCAGGTGCTCGTTTGTTCCATGAACCAATACAAATCTTCTTGGGTCATCTCTGCCAGCGTGCACCGGCTCCGTTCGCCGTGCGGGCTGGCACGGTATGAGGAGTCGCTGCGTTTTACAGATGGACACCTCAATTGGAGACGGATCTGGGTAACGACGTCTTTCATCCCTAAATTCACCGCAACGCAGATGAGATCCCCCAGATGCGAGTCTACTCGTGAGTTCTCTTCCATAAGATGGAAAGCCATAGCCCTTCGCTGGCGCAATCTACAGGGCAGACCAGCTCTGCCTCTGATCACAAGGAAGGCCCCAGGAAACGGCGCCGAGCGACAGTGGCATGCCGCAGTTGCCGACAGCGCAAGACAAAATGCGACCACATTGTGCCGGCGCAAGCGTCTGATGAGATGCTTCGTGGCATGACCAAATCGGCCCAGATGTACGACTAGAGACTCCATCCTCTCATCGAATGATCCTTCACCGTGTGGACTAACCCATGCTATCTCTATAGATATATCCGATCGCTGGAACGCCGCGTGCGCAATTTTGAAGATGTTCAAAGGGACGCGAACAAGTATCACCAAAACCAGCAGCAGCCGCAGCCAACAGTCCAGACCATCTCTCCTGTACCGTCAACAAGCCAGAGCGAGGCAACGAGAATGCCACCCATACAGCGGTCTACACGGCCATCCGCATGGTCATTCGCTCACAACCAGCATCTGCGTCCCAATGTTCTTCCAACAACTCCGGACATCTTCCTCAGCGGGAAAGCCGGCGAGTCTTTCACACAGCTGATACTCAATGCCATGAATAATCCATCCGTCAAGCTCGATTCTCAGTCTTTTTCGTCCCCTCGAGACTATTCAGTGGACATTCGGGGCTCTGAGAACCTCTTTTCCCCGCCTGTCAATGCCCGAGAATATCTCCAGATCTACTTCGACTTCCACCATGAGCTGACTCCCATCTTCCATGTGCCCTCCATCATGGCCGAGTTCGAACAGATTCTCAGTACCAGGATCTCCTCTAGCAACAGTCATCATGTGTACATTCTGGCTATTCTCAACATGATATGTGCGTTGGCCGCGGCTCATAGTCGACAAAGACACGGTGATTCCGACACCATGTCTCGCAAATACTACAACACCGCCATGCAGCTAATGCAGCCCAATATCTTGTGCGATTGGAAGATTGAGAAAGTTCAGGCCCTCCTTCTCGGTGCGCGATATCTGCAGAGCTCTAGCTACAGCGATGAATGCTGGACGGTGTTAGGCCTAGCCATCCGCATCGCTTATGATCTGGAACTACATCGGTCGCCGGATCCAGGACAGTACGACTGTATAGAGCAAGAAGTTCGTAAGCGTGTATGGTATGCATGTTTTGGCCTCGACAAATTACTCAGCATGATATACGGCCGGCCTGCTGCTACCTCGACGGCGACATTCTCAACTCCCCTTCCAGAGGACTTGGACGACGATTGCATTCGACCGAATCGGCTACTGTTTCCCTCCGTTCACACTACCTCAAGCATGTCATTTTTCCTACAGGTCTCGAAACTATACCGCATTCTCGAATCAACAACAGTGCTAGGTGACCAGCCAGCGTTGGCAGACCTCGTTAGGCTGGACGAAGAATTTGAGAGCTGGCATGCCGAGGTACCCAACAGGCTACAGATCCGCGAAGCTGGTCTACGAGGCGACGAGGCAGCACTTATCTTGGCGCTGCGAGCCAATATGGTGTGCATTTTGATTCACAGACAGTCACTAGTATCCGGCCTAAGCGCACTCTCCTCAGTTCCATCATCAACTGCAACCCCGGCCGTAAAGGGATGGGAGGGAGGGCGACTACGGACAAGCATACTACAACGAAGCCGGCAAATATGTGTGAGCACTGCGGAAGAGACGGTTCGGTTGGTGGCTGAACGACATGAGCGGACCAAGAATGCAATGGGACCAAGCTGGTTCAACTTGTACTATTGTGTGTCGAGACCTCAATCTCCCCTGGAGGAATATCTGCTGACACCAGGGCATAGTGTTCACTTCTATTCTCATTATTGTCTCGCATGTTGTGGATCCTGCTTTCCAGGACGACCGGAGCGCATTGCTGCACCTCGACCAGGCCGTGAACATGATTCGACAAATGTCGGTCAACCATCTCTGCGCACAGAGAGCTTATGCATTCTTGCAGCAGTTGCTCGGGCTACTGGATAGGACAATGCCAGAAGACAGACGAAGGTCCCTGGACCGTTGCAGTACACCTCCCACCGCTATGACAGGAAGCAACCGAGGGACCGCAGAATCCTCGATGTACGGCAACTGCCCAACAATAGGCGCAGGCGAAGAGATGGAAGACGGCGTAGTTGACTTGTGGTCTCTTTGGGACACCACCCAAGATCTGACAATGGATTTGGGCTCTCAGCTGGAGCTTCATTCTAGCCTAGGCTCGTCCACGTGGTCATGGGGCGTTGACAATCCGGGGGCTGGGTCGTTGATGCAAACTCCACCGGCCCTAAACGGGATTCCGGGGGGGTGAATCTGTTCGTCCTCGGATCATTAACAAGATTATCTCATACTTTAGAAGACCAGGCATGCACACGGATAGTGTCGCTGTAGGTGCCGAGTTGCAGCTATCCAGCTGCCGGTTCATCGCTAGAACCCTTGGAAATCTACTGTCGTCCGTAAAATCGTTCTTCAAACTTTATCACAATACGTGGACAGGCTCAAGCATTGCGCCAAATTACGGTATTCACGTCCCAAGGTGATCTTCCGCTCCCTGGACCGAACAATAACACCAAACTGAGCATCATGCTCCATGCTGGCTGTGGTGAGCTCTCCTGTTTGGTGACATTCCTACCCCACAGTCCAGCGTCCGCTAGCCGACGAACTATAGCATTTAAAGTATATATGATGACCTCCGCAATTTCATTCTCTGCACATCTTGCCGTAGATTTTGTGGCGTTTGGAACTGGTGTGGGGGATGACTCTAAACTCCCCCCGATAAGCCGTCCGCTACCACTACCACCATCCCGGGACTCATCTCGAGGCCTACATTCGATAAATACCACGACCAGCAACGTCGCACAATGATCGGTCTCGGAACCGGAAGACATTCAAACCTCATCGCCATGATGAATAGCCGGATAATTTCTTGACGTACATGCTTCTCTCACTCATCCCATTTTCTTTCGCATAATTAGTGATAAACGCCAAATCGCCAACTTTAACAAGCAACAATAATGTCGGACAAGGCGGAAGCATCCGCTGCTGAGGATCGATCACAGAACAGCGGCACTGTGAAGCACGATGAAGAGAGCCGTGATCCGGTGAAGATGGACCCTCGCGGTCTGCCTTTGTCGCCGCAGCCGTCAAACGACCCGAAGGATCCTCTCAACTGGAATCGCTGGTTGAAGCTGATGGTCCTCGCTGAGGTCTCGCTCTTCTCGTTCCTTGCCTTGTTCAGTGCATCTTTGATTGTGCGTGCTCTTTTAATCGATCGAATCTTGAGCTCCATTAACATGTTGCCGCAATGCAGACCCCGGCTTTTGTGCCTCTCTCACTTTTTCTGCACAAAGATCTGGTGACGACCGCGTATGTGACAAGCACCTTCATCCTACTCGCCGGCATGTCCGCTATCTTCTGGAATCCCATCGCCAACGTATATGGTCGCCGCCCAGTCTATATTGGAACTGTCGCCGTCGCCGTCGCAATGTGCGGCTCTTCGGGTGCGGCCAAGAACTACGGGACTCTCATCGCTCTGCGCTGTCTCAATGGTTTCTTTGGAGGCGTGCCGCTTGGCCTAGGAAGTGCGACTGTCTGCGACATGTACTTTGCCCACGAGAGAGGTTTTTACATGGGCATCTACACCATCAGCTTCTTGACTGGTGGGCATATCGCACCACTTATCGGCGGGTACATCGAGAAGAACCTGAGCTGGCACTGGTGCTTCTACGTCCCGTCCATTATCACGGGCGGTGTACTCGTCATCTTCATATTGACCGTTCCGGAAACGCTCTACTCGCGTACGCCTGCGGCTGTGGCGCGTCCGTCTCAGTCATGGATGTCCAACATGCTCATGAAGAGACGCGCGCATCCCACGCGTCGAGTGCGCGCCATCGACTTCTTCCGACCATTCCAGATGATGATGTATCCAAGCGTCGTGTTGCCGACCTGGTGCTACTCGCTGTGCTTTGCCTATGGGAGCATCTTGTTCATCATCACCAGCGCAAATCTCTTCCGGCAGATATACCACTTTGAGCCCCAGCAAACAGGCCTGCTGTTGGGTATTCCAATCACGGTTGGCAGTATCATTGGGGAGTTGTTTGCTGGGGGCGTATCCGATTGGATCAGTGAAAGACGAGCACTGAAGCGCGGTGGCGAGCGTTGCCCCGAGGACCGACTGCTGGGTATCATTCCCTCCGTGCTGCTCACGCCTTTGGGTATCATCATTGAGGGTGTCTGTCTCGAGAACAGGACGCATTGGATTGGAGTTGCCATGGGAATTGCTATCGCCAGTTTTGGGCTACAGGTCATGACTACTGGAGTCTACACATACACAGCAGAGGCGAGTGACAGCTATCTCAATCTTCTGCTTCACCTTTCTCGCTATGCGCTAACTATGTATGTGCCTCTAGTGTTATAAGCCCCAATCTCCTGAGCTTGGTTCCCTGATTAATTTCGGGCGACAAGTGTACAGCTTCACTATCGGGTTCTATGCCATTCCTTTTGCAAACCAGATTGGCATTGAGGATGCTTGGATCACGTTGGCAATGATCACCTTTTTCTTCTTCTTGCCGCTTATTCCCCTCTACTATTATGGCGCAGGGTGGCGGAAACGTCTGGGCAATCCGACTTTCCACCAGGATCTGTAGGTATCTGAAAGGCTCATTGCGCCGCGCAACGGCTTCCTAACATAGTTTGTCAGATAGTATCGCAGTTTGACATTGATACCTATGAGGAATCACCAGTTATTCCAACCGTCAGTGAAGCTTGAACAAGAGACTATTCCCATTCGCGATGACTTGTAGCAAGTATGTCAAAGTGTAAGTCCTATGATCATGGGCCATCGCTATTCCAAACCTCAGTTCTATGGCTACCATGTAATCACGAAGGCACAATCTTGACCTCCCGCTTGTTCCAGGATTTATTGTACAGACCATAGCAGACTTCTCCTTGTTTCGCAGCCAGACCTCCTACTCGGCACTCTCGCGGGGTCATGGTCCTGAGATTGTGCGGCTCTTCTTTCAATCTTGGGATGATGCGAAGCACATTGTTTCGACCCATGTTGGTGTAGTCGTGTTGATTGACGCTGGCAGAGACATGTTCATCCCACCAAGCTGAATGACGCATTGTTAGAGGCCTCGTCAAACAACACTGGATGCATCGGACGAGAGCTTTCATACGTACCGCAGGCATTCGGAATGCTCTCGAAAGGGTAGTCAATAGAAAACATGATGGACTGCACCCCGACCTCGCCCATTGCACACATCAGCGCGGGAGTGGAAAAATGCCCAGACGTTGTGACGAAGAGCTGTTCGCCAAAGTAGTCACGCACAAGCTTGTCCTTCCTCATAGGCATGTTGGGGAAGCGGCTGCGATCGAGCTTATGGTCAATCCGGTAGATGTCATACGGACTGTATCTACGTAAGCTACAAGATTATATGGAATAAGGGAAGGAAGGGTTACTAGGTAGGATGGAAACTCACATATGCTCGCCCATGTGCCCAAAGATCAGCTTGACCTTCGGAAATCGATCCAGAATACCGTTTGTCACGATTCCCAGGATATGCATGTTGAGACGATCAGCATAGCCCAGTGCAGAAAAGTCGAGCCACGGGCGACCGTCCCACATCAGCTTGTGGATGAGCTTGTTGGAAGGCCGTGGATGCATGTATACAGGAGCTTCGAGGTCGTTTGCAGCTTGCCAGAATACATCGTACTCCGGCTGATCATAGTAGAGCATGCCGTTACCGTCATCGCCGCAACTCTGATAGTCGTTCAGCAGAACCCCGACGAAGCCCTTCAAGTCCGTCATGCATCGACGAAGCTCTGCCGCCGCTTGTGCCGGGTCATGCATACTCAGCGCGGCAAACGCTGCAAAGCGATTTGGAGCCTTCATCACCTCCGCTTCCATGCGGTCGTTTGCCAGCGTCGCCTGAGCCTCGGCTTGGGTCTTATCGGCAATGCCCTGGCAGCCGGGTGAATTGAATGAGAGAATCATGAAATCCACGTCATTTTCATCCATTTGCTTGAGGCGCGAGTCGTGAATATCGAGCAGCTCATTTGTCAGACGAGAGCCAGTTCCAGCTGCAACAAACTTGCCGGGATCATTATTCGCCAACTCCTCTGGAATTGTCCAGCACTCTTCAAGTGCAATTTTGCCGAGCATGGTGGAGTATTTGGGAATGAAGTCGGGCTGGAAGAAAGACGACGCCCTTTGGCACGAAGATCCAGAGATATCTGAAATTGGCATGTGTATCTAGAAAGAAGGAAAACAGTGCGATTCAGCGTCTTTCACTGCTTATAACATGAAGTTGCGTCGCAAGTATCGTCCACCAGCCCGTTTCTGTCTCGGGGAGTTAAGCGCCTCCCGACCTCAGTCCACCATCGCATCGCGTCTGGTCAGCTTGGCTATTTAGCCAGCGGGGAGACGAAAAGTCCTACGCGAAAGAACATGGGCGGAGATCCTCTGGCCCAGCCGGCAGTCATGTACCGGGGAGAGAAACAACTCATAGACGTAAAGACGTTTGATTGATATGTATTTCCTTTCCCAAAGAAGTGGTTGACGACCGATGACAATTTGGGGAGAGCACAAGTAAACATTTCTCTTTGTTTTGATTTTTTTTTTTGTTTTTTTTTCGTGCGCGCATGCTTACCGAAAACGAGAGACCATCGGTAATAAGCAAATGGATGGCGATGGCAAGAATGAAAGGCGCGAGCTACACAAGCAGAAGAATACGCCTCTAATATTGGCCAAGGGCGTCGTTGTTCTCGAAGGGCACATATATCGAGTGATCTCTGCGCCTTTGATTTCGACGATTATTGACACAGCTTGAGCATTGGGTCGCTTTTGTCGGTATCAAGGGGCGGTGACTCGAAGTCTCGCTGTGTCATTAGCGCCCTTGCTTTGACGGGTCTGCAAAAACTCGACAGAAGGATTGAAGCCAACTGGAAGTTTTCTGTTAGTTTTCGTGCTTGCTATGGAGAGGGCAAAATGGCATATAAGGGTGATGAGCCCTGAAACGTAGAGTAGGTAACTTTAGAATAATGCACCGGCATCTAGGTATCATTCCACATACTCCAAATCGAAGGTACAAACCAGCTTCAGGTCTCACACCAACCAACCATGGCGACTCGCAACCTCCAATTTCGTTCCGCGACTCTAGAAGACGCGGTGCAACTTCAGCAACTCGTGCAGTCCGCATTTCGCGCCGAGGACAGCAGGCCAGACTGGACGGGAAATGCAGAACTCGCGTCGAGCTTCAAGATAGGCGTTGAGGATGTCCTACCAAAGATTCTCAACCCCGACAACGTGGTCCTCATGGCTTTGGACGAGAACGATACGCTTGTCGCTTCCATCGAGGTCGCGAAGCGCGATAACAACACTGGTCGTCTGTCTATGATCGCGGTTGACCAGCGCTTCCAGCAGAACGGCGTTGGTCGGCTTCTTCTGGCCTATGCCGAGGATTACTGTCGCCAGACGTGGAACACAACCCGATTCTCTCTCGACGCCCTCTCGTCGCGCAAGGCTCTGATTGAGTGGTATATCCGCCGAGGCTATCGCAAGACGGGGGAAACCACACCCTTTCCACGCGAAAGGTTCAGCAACTTGGACCTACCCGATGAGCTGTGCTTTATCGAAATGGAAAAGGACTTCAGCCCGGATAACGCGTAAACAGCTGGAGGTGCATCAACATTGATGCCCTAATCATCAGCTAGAGCAGTCGATACTATTCATAGCCGGCAAGAGGAATCAATTATTCGGCAATAGAACAAGCATTCATTCTCGCAAATTATGAAGCTCCTGTTGCAGTTAAGCATACCTTTCATCGTTTCACAGTAATCGTGATTGATACCCCACGGAGCCAAATGATGATACAAGGAGCGCAAATCTTAATGTCCCCTTTCCTCCGATGGCCCTTCACACAGGTGATAATGTCCACCTAAGCATCCGCGATCTCCTTATCTTCGAGTTGTCGAACTACGTGCAGCTCTTTGCCACGAGTCTCCGGAGCGCCGAGAATCTGAGCACCTTTATCCACGTGGTTGACGCCGCCGAAAAGAACGTCAATCTCCTCCAGGGGAACCTGCTTTGTCTCGGGAATGAAGAACCAGACAAACACAACCAGCAGGAAGTTGGTTGCCATGAAGAAGTAAAGACATTTCAAGCCCTCATTTTTCAAGAATGTGGGAAAGAACTGCTGGAAGATGGTGTTGGCCACGTTTTGCATCTGACTACACATGCCGATTGCCTGAGCACGAACGTTCATGCTGGAGACATGCTGTTAGCACATGTATGCAGGCAAATGATGAAGGAACGCCACACATACCTGAAAACTTCCGAGGTCCAGATCCAGGTTGTTGCACCCCAAGACGGCTTATAGAAGAAGATGAACAAAAATAGCAGGAACACGATGGAGATGCCGACTGGTTTCGTCTTGGTGCCATTGATGTCGGGAGTGGTTTGGCCGATCACGGGAACCAATACTATACACTGTTAGTGTCTCTGCAGCTTTTAGAGTCCTTGCGAAGCAGGCGCTTACACATGCAGAGGCCCATGCCAACACCGCCAATGATAAACAACCAGCGGCGACCAAAACGGTCAGCTGTCCATGTCGCGTTCAGTGTGAACCTGCTTTTGTTTAGATGTCTTGAAGGCCTAGAGAACAGGAGTCGATAACAGTACTTACAAGATGCCAAAGGTCGCGTTCAAAGCATTGATAAGGTTGATGGTCTGCGTTGACGTCCAGACTTTCTTATAGATCGCCGTGGAATATGTGTTGAGTGTTCCTTGGCCACTCAGCTGTTGTCCTACATTGATGATGAAAGCGAGGTAAAGTCGTTTGCGGATCGAGGGGTCTTTGAAGAGGGCAGTGTAATTGTTGCTAATAGCCTCTTTTTCATACTCAAGAGCTTCACGAATCGCCAAGACCTCCTCATCAATTTCTTGTTCAGTATCGCGAATCTTGCGGAGAGCAGCCTTGGCAGCCTCCATGTTGCCATGGCGCTGTATATGCCAGCGAGGCGACTCGGGCTGGAACGGCAATAGTATCATGATAATGATTGGCACCATCATCTGGAAGATAACCACCATCTTCCAGTCCCACTCTCCCAACGAGCTGCGATGGAGAGAACAAGCGTAGTTAATCCAATAGGCAATAAAGGAACCGACAGAGTAAAAGAGTTGCCAAAAAGCCATGATGAGGCCACGGATTTGAGGAGGAGCCATTTCGCCGATGTAGACCGGTCCGGATGTCAAAGCGATTCCTTGCCCGAGGCCAACGAGAACGCGTCCGGCGATGAAGCACCCTAAGCTATGTCGAGGGGCGAATGTCTGCATAAACGTCGCGATAACAGTAGTAAAGCAGCCAATCCACATGCCCCATCTTCGCCCTACAAAATCGGCCTATCATCCATGTCAGTCAACATCTCGCGTCCTGGGATGGCGCAGCAAGACGAACAATTGGGCCACCAAGGAAGAAACCCGCGATAATTGCTCCGATTGTGTAAGTCGTGTTGATGAGTCCAATCATATAAGTGTCTCGCTCCTATGCTATCCGTCAGTTATGTTCTAGCCCCCAAGGTTCTCTGCCCTGTTCACGTACGGTGTCGAGATCGAAGTACGCCAGCCAGTTGTCTGAGCCTTGAACAGAATTGTATACCGATGCGTCATATCCATATAGAACCATGCACATGGCCGCTACCATAGAGATGTACCTAAAAATTGTGGTTAGAGGTTCTTCATACGCCTGGCTTGCGATACGATTTAACTTACCAATTGTATACCCTCTTCTTCGACGCCATTCTGCGGACTTTCTGAAGCTATCTCTTTTACTCTGTGTTCTCAATTAGTGTAGGACTCTGAGGACCATAGGTTCAAGTAATACCACAGAAGAATAAGGGATAGCAAGCAGGAAAGGATATATCAAAGAAAACTGAAGGGGAGGAACCCCAACAGGCGATAGTTCAACGCCTACTCCTTGTCGCTTGTTCAAGCGCCGAGACCAACCTCATGCAGAGTATTCCTTCGCGCAAGCCGCTACGGGGAATCTCTCTGAGCAGAATTGACTGGAAAAAACGATACCTGGCTACTAGTACGGTGACCTATACAAGGCACCAAAATTGCCTGACCTACGATACACGCTGTCCAATGGCCCCGTACGCAGTTGTAGCTAGGGAGCTGGGGTTGACAGGTTCCTATACACATCACATGAGAACGAACTATCCGTGATGATGCACGTCGGTAAAAGACCTCCGAGCCTATGAGCATCTCACAAGGTTATCCCCAATCTTCAACCGCTACATGCGCTGTGCTATTCTCATAGGAAGCATCCGAATCCGAAGATTGAGGTTCCATCACGGCAGACGGATCAAAATACAAAAGCTGAGACCCCGAAGCAGGAATAAAGTAATCACCTGGCAGTAGAAGTTGATTCAAAGCAGCCTAGGATCGAAGCTGCCACTCGAGATTCGTTGCTCCGGGGCTACCTCGTCATTGAACTCAGTTGTATGTAGCATGACCGATCAAGTTGGGGTAAAAGGTGTATTCCATAGCTCATTCCTTCTCCAAGTTGGAGCTCACACGGAGAATGCTCGTATATCAGCGATTCCCTCCGAGTTCCGTTTGCTTGTCGTGTATGACTGACCATATAGGTACATATATCTTGTTACATCTAAACTCACTTCAGCATATACCAACAACATCTTTCGAAGTTCCGAGACACAGCAAAAGTTTCGCCTGAGAAAGTGTCGTTCCAATGTTCTGTGACTCACGCTCATTGAACAGCCTGGAATATTAGCGGCTTACACTGAGAAGATGGCCTTGCCGCCGCACTTTCGCCAACTCATGATTGTTCTCGATTTTTGCTCGGTCGTCTTTATCCCGAACACGCGCATAGTAGTGCCCGAGAGCAGCCATCTATATATGAGCTTAGGGAGACGGCATTTCGTTATCTCCTGTATTTGTTGAACCCACATTAGTACAATTGTACTGTAACATGAGATCCCATCATTCATAAGACATCAAAATCTCATTCGTACGGATGATCATATTGTTAGCCGCGCCATTCAAGGCCCAGGGAACCATTGAGTTCGGCAATAGAGACCCCCCATCAATTTGCCAGTGGGCGCGCTTGGGCGTGGAGAGGCTGGAGAAGCATGTGCTCCCCGCATCTGGAGCCGAGATTTGCACTCCCTGTCCTTGCGGGGAATGACCCTGACGGTTGTGATTCTCTGCCATTGGCGGGATAATCCCATCGTCCAGGATGGGTGCCCTGTTTCTTTTTCTTGAAAACTTCCTTGCTTGAATACTAAATTAACAGGCAAGTGGCGAGCACTCCGTACAGTAGAGTTGCCAAGGTTGGGTATGTCTAGTCGAAGCTCACGGTCTTCCCTGCTGCAGTCCGAGCAATAATAGGCAAATTGGCCGGATGAATTGAAAATGGCTGTATAAAAATGATTGATCAACGTTTCTAAATGGAGGTTTATTACAGTATCCTCAGCTGACCGCAAATGTCCAAACCACCCTTGTCGAGCCTCGTCACTGCAAGTGGCTAAGCAAAGGAGCACGATGACAATTCTCAGTCGTCTGGCAGTCGGCGTGGCATTATTGGCCTTTCCGGAACTCATTGATGCTCACAGAGTTCCCGTTAAGAGACCAAACCTTCAATGGGGACCCAAGTCGCCAGGACATGCATTTCCTCATTCTCCTAAACGCCACAAGACATGCTATGTTCCGAGTTGCGGAAGTAACGACGCACCTGAGATTCTCAAAGCTTTCAAGAGGTGCAACAGGGGAGGCACTGTGGTTTTAAACGAGGAGTATGTGATTGCCTCTCCTCTCGATCTCACATTCCTGGAGTCTGTAGATGTGGCCATCACAGGCACCATCAAATTCACGAACGACATCGACTTTTGGGTGGTGAACTCATTCAAGTACGACTTCCAAAACTCCTCTGCCTTCTGGCGCTTTGGAGGAAAAGATGTCAATATCTACGGTGGGGGACACGGTTTGATTGATGGAAATGGCCAAGCCTGGTATGATCGATTTGCAGTCGAGCCTACTCTACTGCGTCCCATTCTTCTTGTCCTGGATGGACTTGATCGTGGATCAGTCACAGGATTGAAGATGCGAAATTCGCCCGATGCAGGTATCTCTTCGCCTATTCATCTGGAATCGTTGCTAATGTGGTTCAGTGGTTTAATCTCATTGCCAATAGCAGTGACATTCTGGTCAGCGATATCGACATCGCAGTCAAGAGTGAGAGCAAGAATCCGGCCAAGAATGGCGATGGATGGGACACTTTTCGAAGCGATTCAGTCGTTATACAAGATTCCTACGTGAATAACAGCGATGATTGCGTATCTTTCAAGCCGAACAGCACCAACATCATCGTGCAGGGCATGCAGTGCAACGGCTCTCACGGGATCTCAGTCGGCTCTCTGGGCCAGTATCCGGCAGAGTATGATATCGTCGAACACGTATATGTCTACAATATCTCGATGTCCAACGCCAGCGACGGAGCTCGTATCAAAGTGTGGCCTGGCACTGATACTCCTTTTGAACCCGGTCTCTCTGGAGGTGGAGGGGCCGGATACGTCAAGAACGTCACTTACGACACCTTTCACAACAATAACAATGACTGGGCTATTGAGATCAATCAATGCTATGGCCAGAGTAACCAGACGATCTGCGACAAGTATCCTTCCAATATGACCATCAGCGATGTCGTATTCAAAAACATGTGGGGAACAACTTCGAAGAAGTATGACCCTAAAGTTGGGACCCTGACATGCTCGTCTACGGAGGTGAGTCGAATCGTGAGAGGCACTTGTACTACTACAACCTGACACAGAGTTCTTTAGAAAAGCGTGAATATCGCGGCGAAGAACATCTCGGTGGTTAATCCGAGTGGCAGGATTCCTCAGTGGATTTGCACCAATATGGACGAAAGCCTGCTAGACATAGATTGTGTCCCGGCTACGTCGTAAACAATTTTGGCCTCGGGATTATGTTCGAGCAGGATGGTGGCAATAATTGAGAGTATTATTGCCATATTAGGGTTTTCTTTAGCTTTCAAATGATAACTCCCCCTGCATTGAATGACCATCTAAATACCTCGACTTGGGTTACAGATACACGTAGGCTCGTAATGCATGTAGACCTTGGTCACTGTATTCATAACCCACTGAAACCTCGAGGACGATCGCATCCTTCAATGTGACTATACATGATGCCGAAGCTGAGTCCCAGTGTTCTGGTACAAAGGGGCCTCGCGTTCATTGTAAGTCCAAACGCGTGAAGCTTTACCGCGCCAATGGCAATGAGAGAAAAGACACATCACTGCGACATCAAACGATAGAACGATTTAGTCTATATATGCTACAAGATGCAATGAAACTCTACTACAATGTGGGCGCCGGTTCGTTTACAACGTCGTATTGCGAGAACGCCCACGCGAGAGGACCCTACAACCTACCTCCAAACATAAATCTCGAGTGGACGACCTCCGTCCCAATATTGGCTTTGATCACTGACAAAGACCATCCAGTTACTCCAACCAATTGCCAATCCACTAAGCGTCATCGACTTCCATCATGCTCCTTGGCGGGTGTCTTGTTCTTGTGGCCGTGGTGGCCAACGTCGCTGCGGTGAATTTGCTGCAACCTCCGACCAAGGTCATCAAGAGAGCCTCGACGTGTACGCCAGTAGCGGGGCGTTCAAGTGCGACAGATGATACACTCGCGATTCAATCCGCGATCGCCAGTTGCTCCTCTGGGACTATTGTTATCCCTGCGTCTACGACTTACCACATCAATACGGCCCTGAGCTTCAAAGGCTGCTCTGGATGCACGTTGCAAATCGAAGGCACTCTACAAGCCATATCCGACACCAACTACTGGGAAGGTTTACGAGCCATCTTTCTCATGGATGGCATCAACGGCGCGAACATATATTCAAATACGGGCAAAGGCGTCATCGATGGAAACGGCCAAGCTGCGTGGGACGTCTTTGCAGCCAATTCTTCGTATAGACGACCGACGCTCTTCTACATCAACAATTCCAAGAACGTCAACGTCCGTAACCTCTACTTCAAGAGTGCTCCAAATGTCTTTCACTCGGTGACCGGCGGCTCCAGCAATGTCACTTACACCGACATCACTCTCTACGCCGTGAGCAACAGCTCCAATGTTGCGCACAACACTGACGGCTGGGACATCGGACAGTCAACCTACGTGAGCATCAATCACGCCACAGTCACAAACGACGATGACTGCGTTGCTTTCAAGCCAGGCAGCAGCTTCGCGACCGTTACCAACATCACCTGCACAGGTAGCCACGGTATCTCCGTCGGAAGCTTGGGCAGCGGTGCCGGAAATACAGACACGGTTCAGAATTGTTTCGTGAGCGGAGCGACCATGATTGACTCTACCAAGGCTGCAGGTCTCAAGCTTTACCCGGGCCCCCCGAAACATGGCACAGCTATCGTGACCAATGTGACTTTTGAGAACTTTGTGTTGAAGAACACCGACTACGCTTTCCAAGTTCAAAGCTGCTACGGCGAAGATGCATCGTATTGCAGCAGCAGCCCGAGCACCGCGCAAGTCAAAGGCGTGGTGGTGCGGAACTTTTCGGGGACGACAAGCAGCCATTATTCGCCGAATGTTGCAAACCTCAACTGCCCAGCTGCTGGGTCGTGCGGCCTCACCTTGAGCAACATCACGGTGAAGCCGCCGAGCGGCTCAGCCGTGTTTCAATGTGCAAACACGCCCAGTAGCATCGGGGTGCCGTGCTCTGCTGGCGCCAGCGGATAAGGTCTAGCATAAAGCATCCGCGGTGATCTGGCAACTCGAAAGCGCTCGACGCGAGACCATCGACGTGATTCAGCGTGGTCAATTGAGAGACATTCGTCCTTATTCTCACTACGCAAACTGTGTCTCTTGCTTTAGGTAGATCGCTTCAAGGTATATCGTGAATCGCGTATCTGAAAACAGGCGGTCTTTCCATCTTTAGACCGGCTACTCTACCGGCCAAAATACTTGAGTTCCAGGTATCTCGCTGGCACGAAAGTCAAAGCCGTAATCACAAACGTAAACTCATTCGCAACATCGCCGCCATTCTTTCCAATCGTCTTTGCCAGGGGTCCGATAAACCACGTCTCATCCATGCCCATGACCCAGGCAACAATGCCGAGTCCAAAAGCGACCGAGGCACCAATGCCGAGAGGAAGCTTTGCAGGGTTGTTCCAGTTGTCGAGATCGTAGTTCGCAAAGTTGCCCTTTCGAAAGATGAAATGCTCCTGAAAGAGAATAATGGCGTAGCTAGTGCACCAGTATCCGAGGAGACTCAGAAAGTTCTGCAGGTAGGCGTTCAACTGCTCTCGGCCGCCAAGAGCCAGGGCAAGAATGCAGAGGAAGCAGAATATTGTCCAAATGAAGCGGGGGATCGCTGCAAACGGCCGAGCAAGCTGCTGGAACGAAATGGCAGCGCTATAGATGCTGATGACGTTGGTGTTGATGCCGGAGAGGACTAACAAAGTAAGTAAGAACTTTGCGAAGCCACGCGGATATAGCACTTCTTGGATCAGGTAGCCCAGACCCTGGTCGTAGGCGTCACTCCATTCGGGCTTGTTGTTGAATCCGGAGGCAACAACGCAGCCGGCAACCATGCCGATAGATGTCGGGATTGCGATTCCAAAAGTCGTCATCAGGAAGACCTTGAGTCGGCTGACGTTGGCCGGATAGTGAACGTAATAGTCGCTGACCATTGTGCACCAAGAGGCACTCGAGCCGTAGACGATGGCCAGCAAACTGAGAATCGCTCCGCTCAGCGTGGCGCCGGAAGCGGCCGGTGGTGAAGAGTTGTCCGCAAAGCGACCGCTCTCGCCAAATATGATCATGAAGATGACGAAAAAGATGATCCAGGCGTATCGTTCGTACACCAGGATCGCGTTTAGGCCAACGAAGGAGATGGCCAGCGCCACCACCGCCAAGATAACAATGCCGAGAATCAGTGAGACATGGCCATCAGACACGGCCGTCAGGGCGAGGCCGCCCGTAATACAGGACACTGCCGCCCATCCCATCTGCTGAATGCTGTTGAGCAGTGCAATGAGCTTGTTCGGCCACCAGCCGAAGCTGTATCGGCTCACGCTGATCTGTCGTAGCCCTGTCGCCGCTCCAAACGTTGCACAGTAGCCGGTAACGGCACCGCCCATGATTGACGCGAATATCGTGACGAGAATGGCCTGCTTGAGGCTCAATCCAAATTCGGCACCCAGGAAGCCCGTTGCGAAGCAAGACGTATTCATCGTTCCGCTCGCCCATAGCAAGGCCATTGTCAGCTGCTCTATCCACGGAACCGGCTTCTTATCTTCCTCTTGCTTGCGGACGATGGCTTCGGACTCGATGCCGAGTTTCTTGTCCATCTGAGCCTCGATTCTGCGCAGCCGGAACAGCAATCCGCTGCCGGTTCCTCCAAGGGCCGACTCGGTAGAGTTGTCGTCAGATACAACGGCTGTGGCATCTTTTTCGTTGGCAGGCTGGCCAGGCGCCCTGTAGCCGAGTTCCGGATCGTGCTCCATTTGCAAAAATTCTCTAGGCCGTGGGAGCCTTGAGGAAGAGGAAAAGATGCAAAGGTGCACGACTTTGTTTTTTTTTTTTTTTTTTCTCCTTTGCTGGGATTTGAGTCAGTGGGGAGCTGTCCCTTTTAAACATCGATTCAACCATTCCCGTTCCTACTCCTCCAGATAAGACCAGGCCAGATACGATACTGGAGCAGCCCCTGGGCAACTAACTTTTCTTAGTTGCGACCTTTTGTGTGCCGACTCACGCGACCTCGAGAGGACTGTACTTGGTAATACTACGTTCAAACGGTCCGTTGGCTTATCTGGATGCGCCACCCGTGCTGCCTTTCCCTTAGCGAGAGGGTCTAGTTGTGAGAAGGGCACCGGCTCGCCATTCCCGAAAAGCGCCCCATAAGGTGGGATATCAGGGAACGGGAAAACTCCTGCTCTAGTCGATGATAAACGCGGGGTGGAGACGAAATGAAGGAATTTCATGACGGGAAGAACAGACCTTGTCTCACGTAGTACTACTACTACTATCAATTGATGTCTCACCGTTGATCACAAGATCTATGCCTTTATGCCAGTGCCCTTCGAATGCTCCCGCGAATTCGACCAGCAGTCACTGAGGCCCCTTGAAGCAGAATGAGCATCTCTCTATGTGTTACTGCTCCGGTCAGTCAAGCTGTGTTGGTCATCTGTCATCAATCTCGAACCCGTCTCTATCAGCACTCTGCGGTTCATATCTGGCACTAGTGGCCAAAAGACCGAATCGTAGCAAGGCTGGCAGTACGACGCTACGGCACGGCTATGCCGACATTCGGGGCAGTTCCCTTCCCGTTGGCCAGAACTGGGGTTGGTCGGTCAAGCTTTCCGGGCACTAAGCCTGGGCGTGGCAATCGTCGCCGGATCTTTTGCTAGTTAGGACGGCGAAGCGCTCCGTATCACCAGGTGATTAGAGAGTGTTTATAAGAGTGCAGGGTTAAACGCACAAGAGGCACTCATTTCTAAGCCCGAGATCCGAAGTCACAGTATCGGGTCGAAGTAGATGGCCGGCTATCTATCTCTATGGGGCAGATAGGCTGTTCGAGTGTCGGCATGTCGCAATGAAGTTCTCTTCTACCATCTAGTCGAGTCGGTCAGCTCTTGAGGGCCAGCGAAAGATCCTCATATGGAATAAAAGGTAGCTAGAATGGCAGTTCGCATAAGACTCCAAGTTTGGCGCCGCGGCATGGCCTTTGCACCAATGTCACTCAATAAGCGCTGGAATTGCCATTCAACTGTCTCTGAAGAGCTCGTTGTTTCGAGAGCGTGCGTGGCTTCAGTCCTACATTTGACTCAGTTGCCCTTTGAGATTCTTATTGACCCCAGACAACGTGCCAAGCAAGCTCCGCCAGTGGTCTCAGAGCTGTCACACTGCGCACGACCACCCGGCACTTTCACAGCATCCACCTTGCTCACTCAACTAACGGCGTCAAAAAAAAAAACAAAAAATAAAAAAGCCGGCAGTATCCATTTCTCGAGATGGTGCTGGAAAATAGAGCCTGGAAGTTTGCCCAATTCCTTTGATGCACCTAATATGGCAATGTTCAGGCAATACGGAGAAGAAAAAAAAGCCATGAGTGATCAAATGGGCTCTCTAGAATGTGCTCGTCGGGCCATCTCAGTAGAAGAAGTTAACAGCATTTATTCACGAGGATCGTGCGAGGCAGAAAGTCACATGTCTGTATTTGAGTGCGTGTGCACATATCCTTCATGGCTTTCTCTCTTCTCAATAAAAAAGGGCATCTCTGAAACAAGCTTGAATGAGAAACTCGATGATCCCATCACAAATCTGACTTCAGGAGATCGCGCGCTCAATTTGCAGGTTAACCTTGCTTACCCTAATATGATGCTTATCGTAATATGCTGCTTTCAGCCAACAATGGGTTACTACATTTCTCGGTCTTCCGACAGAGAGGCTATAGACCTGTAATCACTCGTTCAAGTCTCCATCGCTATTCTTCTCAATCTATCGGTGTCGTTGCAATCGTACAAGAAGAGGGAACACCTCATAATGTTGCAGAAGATTTGCAAACCCGATGCCCCAGCCGTCAACGTAAAGCTGAAGGAACGATCAATGTCGGCAAATTGCAGTTTCTGACCCTCTCTTTGACTGAAAGACTGCTACCTATCCATAAGTGATACCGCTGAGTAGAGGCATGATAGCTTACTCAAATGGCTTTGCCATGGTGACGAACGAACCACTCTCCTCATAGGTCTGTTTTTGTTTTGAACGACAAAACTTTGATGTGTCTAAAAGTCGAGCGGCGCTTGGCTCTAGCCGCTGAATGTATATACAAGTCCTGACCATCTCGCCCTGAGTGCGCCCTTGCGGATACTTGTTTGTGTGTACGAGTACACTGCAGTTGGTGGACATTACCACTGCGTAGAGTCGGTAGAAGGCTTCCACCAAACATGTTCCCAATGCCACCATGATGGCAACCGTCGGTGGGCCAAAGGCTGATGACGCTAAAAAGTCGAGCGCGTTGCTATAAGAATGTGCAAATAGTGCGAGTCACACAGGGCTGAGGAAAACTCAAACAAGCCTCCTTAACCCCTTCCAGCGTTCCTCTCTTGCTTGCAACGCTCCACGCGTTGGTCAACGAGGGACTTTGAGTCTTCAACGCCAGCTTCACCCCTCAACGGCAGTACAAAGAACACCCATCTCACATACCACACAAGCCACACACACAACGCACGCACCATGGGCATCATCCGCAAGGCCAGCCTCGGGGTAACACTCGGCACGGCGGCAGCACTAGGCTACGTCCGCCTGTCGACCAGCATCATTGCGCCAATTCCTCTCAGTGACGCGCTGTACAGCTCCAACACGTTCAAAAAGTACAATCTGCATCGAAACCCCGCCACCAACGACATCTGCGTCAAGACGATCCCCCTGAACCGCATTCGCCCGGAACTGCTGCAGAAGGAGGGCGACTTGGCCCTCGAGTTTTGCCGCGCCGTCTGGAAAGGCTGGGGTGAGTCTTGTCCCCTTTGCTTCGTTTCGAATCTTGCGTAGTGGTCAATGCCCCTCAATCTATATTCTCACCTCCACAGGCAGGCTAGATATGACGTGACCTGGCTTCTCTCTTGCTGACAAACTTGAAAGGCTACTCAATCCAGCGACGATACCTTCATCGCAAGTACTTTGGCGCCGACACATCCTCGCAACTGTGGACACCAGAACAGATCGCTGCCTCAAACTTTGAACCCGGTACTATTGTAACGGACCATTTTGAGGTTGTTGAGCGCACGCCGACTGAGATCACGATCCGCTGCGGCGACTCTCCCCGAACTCAGGGTCCTCGGGCTTCCGATGGCCTGTTTGCCATTGGGGCCACTATTGACAAGGACGCTCAAGTGGCGCGACTGACGCTCAAGAGCTGCTTCTTCCCTAGTGATCGCAAGGTCGAAGGTGACAAGGGACCAATGCCCGGCTGGATCGAGAACCTGCACCAGTGGTACTCGCGCATCCTGATGGTCAGCGCAGCCCGTTCATTAATGCGATGATCGCTCGCATGAACAAAATGGTATATGGTGCCCCAAATACTTTGGTCGGGCCAGGGTGGCATCGATATCAGTATTCGTACTCAGTAGACACTCTGTAGTAACCTCCAGGTCGCATCGCTCGATAGAAAGTGTCAATTCAGATATCAGATGCCACGAGTGCTTCCTAAGAGTGCAAGTCGTACAGGGATACAGGTGCACTATCGGGAACCTTCGATTCGTCTCGAGGACAGGGAAATGAGCGCGAATTGAAAGAAGTCACAGGACTCCATCTTACTGCCTGACATAAAGGTATGTCATCAAGAAGGTCGCAGTGCTGGGTGCGCTTACGATTGTTCAATATGCATCTTCCTTCCCAGACGCTAAGCAAGGCTAATCATCATCTAGGCTGCTGAAAGCCGTAGCCTCATGTCATAAACGGACTCTTGAAAGTCGGATCCGAAGTTACTGCTGTAGCGCGGCTCATCTCTCAATCGACGTTACCCGAGGCAGTGAACGTAAAGAGAGCTGACATAACCTCAACAGGAGCAGTTGAAGATGCTCTCCAGGGCCATGATGCACTCGTTTCTACTATGTCCGCCGTAGCAATTGACGACCAATGAAGATTCATCGACGCCGCCGTTACTGCAAAATCTCAACGATTCTTTCCGTCTGAATTCTACGTCAATACTTGAGACCTATAAGTCCCTTACTTTTTTATAAGTATTAACGCATAAGAGAGAAGGCTCTTGGCTAAATTATAAAGAGCAAGGTTAAGGCTCTAATACAATTTGCTTAAAAAGTATTTAGCCTAGCTAAAAAGTTAAAAAATAAGTTAACCTTATTTAATTAGAAAGGGATTATTAGCATAAAGTTATATATAAGAATTTAAATACCTTAACCCTTAATTATAAGGTATTAAGCTAGCTAAGGCTATATAAATATTTATAAAAAGAATAAATACTAAAACTCTTTAATTAATTCTACTAATAGTAAGGGATAGTAATTAAAAACTTTTTAGCTTTTAAAAGGCTTAATTATATTTAGCTGCTTACTTTTTTAATTTTATAAAAATATTATTATAATTATAAATTAAGTTATTAATATAGCTAATAATAAAGTATTAGCTAATATTATCCTAGTTTATAAATATTAAAGGCAGTATTATTAAAACTTTTAAAAAGCTACTATATTATTAGCTATTAAATATATTTTTTAAAAAAAAAAGTAATTATAGTAATAAAAGCTAGCTTACTTAAAAGCAGTTAATACTAAGCTTAATAAAATAAATAAAGTAAATAAAAATAATAAGGCTTTTATTAGTTAATAATTATAATATTATAAAAGCTATATAATAAGCTTTTTTAAGAATTAAAAAAAAGATTTAAAAAACTATTTTATATAAAAAAGGCTATATTTTAAGCCTTTTATAATTAGCTAAGTTATAATATTAATATATTAAAAAGTTATAAGTAATTTATATAATAAAAAGTTATAATATTTTTATAAATATATATATTTAATAAAACTTAAAGAAATATTATATATTACTTTAAAATATATTAATTAATAGTAGCTTAAATTATATAAAAGCTATTAGATTTTATATAGTAGTTATATATAGTATTTATAATATAGCTACTATTAATATATATCTTTTTTAAAATTATAATTAAAGGCATAATTAAGGCTATTAATAATATATATATTTCTGCCTTTATTTTAAAAGTAAATTAGTAATAATTTTATTTAAGAAAAAATAATATTATATAAAATATACTTATAGCTATTACTTTAAATAGCTTATTTTACTATATATTAATAAAAGGTAAAGGATTTTTTTATAATATTACTTTTTTATTATAAGCTATAACTTAAAGCCTAAAAGTATTATAAAAAAAATACTATTTTACTAATACTAGCTTTTATATAAAATAAAGTATTATACTGCCTTATATTAAATTATATTATTATTTTAATAATTAAAAAAATATTAATTAATAGCCTTATAATAATTATAAGCTATTTAATTTATAATATATTTTATTAAGGACTATAATTAAGTATATTTTTAATTATTATAAAAGGAAATAAAAAATTATATATACTAGTGCTTTAAAATATAACTTTATAAACTAATGCCTTTTTATATATATTATTATAAAGCTATATAATTTTATAATATTAAAAGAAAAGACTTTAAGTAAAAGTTATTATAAATATTTTAAAGCCTTATTATAAAAAAAATAGTTAGTTATTATTAAAGTAAGGGAAATAGCTAATTTTATTATATCTTAATTTATACTTTATAAGTTAAAGAAATATATAGTTAAGGAATATTAACTAAGTTATTAATAATATTTTAATAATAATAATAAAAATTGCTTTTTTAATAATAAGGGTTAAAGCTAGGGCTTTAAGAATTATAAAAAAAATAATAATAATAATAGTAGCTTAAAATTAAACTTTATTAATAATAATAAAAGTAATAATAATAAATTTAATAATAAATTTAATAATAAATTTAATAATAAAAATAATAAAAATAATAAAAATAAAAAAAAAGAAGATATTAAAAAATAAGGCTAAAAATAAATATAAATATAGCTTTAATAAAGTAAATTAATACTAGGCAGTAGTTAAAATAATAATAGCCTTTTAAATAGTATTTCTTTTTTATTATAAAGCTATTTATAATTATTATAAAATAAAGCTAAATTTTAGCCTAAGTTTATTATTAGCTATACCTTTTTAGCCTTATTTAATAATAATAAATTTTATATTAATAAGTTTATTAAATCTTTATATATTTAATAAACTAGCTTAATTAAATATTTTATACTTTTATTATTAATAAAGTTAAAATAATCTTTTATAATAATTTTAAATACTTTAATATTAATAAATAATAGCTTATATATAATAATATATATTACCTTAGCTGCCTTAATATTATATAAATTAATTAATATTATTATAAGCTTATAAATAGCTTTTATTAATAATAACTTTTTTTAAGTTAGTAACTTTTTTTTTTTTTACTTTTTTATACTTATTATAACCTTAAGTGCTATAAATAATAATTTAGGTATTAGTAATACTATTTATAATATTAAAAATATCCTTAATTATAATAAAGTTAAATGCCTATATAATAAAGATATTAATTATAATATTAAGGCTATAAGCTATAATATTAATAGCTATATTATTAAAATAATTTTATTTTTATTTTTATCTCTTTTTATAATCTTTATTATTACTATTTTTTTTACTAATACTAATACTTTTAATAATATATTTATTAACTTATTTACTAATACTTTTTAATTTTTAGCTATATTTTTAAGTATATTCTTAACTTTTTTTATAAAGTTATTACTAACTCTTATACCTTTTAAATAGTAATTTCCCTTAATAAAAGTAAACCCTTTAATATTACCTACTTCTTAAATATTTTATTTTACTAGTTAGTCCTTAATAGTCTTAATAGCTACTAGGAGATTAATAGCCTAATAAAAGTTTTTAAACTATAACTTTATAACTAAATAATTTAAACTTATAATTTAGTAATAATATAATATAAAATATATATAAAGAATAAATAAAAATATATTACTAAGTATTAATATTAATATTATTATTAATAAAAAGCCTACTTTATATAACTTTTTTACTAAAGTAAAAGTATTATAATACTATTAATTATTAATTTATAAGGCTTATATTAAAAGCGCTAGTCTTAAAGTTATATATTATTTTTTAAAGCTTTATTAAATACTTACTAAAACTTCTTTAAATAGTTATATTTATTTTTAAGTATTTAAATAGTTTAATTATAGCTAAAATACTAGTCTTTTATAAGTTTAATTATTTTTTTAAAGCCTTATTAAAAGTATATTACTTTTATTAACTTTATAAAGGTATTACTAATAGCCTTATATAATAATAAAAAAAATAATATTTAGTTATTAGCTTTATTAACTTATAATACTTATAATATAGGTTTTAATATTTTAATAAGTTTATAATTTATTATAACTTAAAATAAAAGTAAAATTATATAGCTTTAAAAATATTTTAAAAATTAAGCTATTAAATAATATTAAATTTAGCTTAATTAAAGTTTAAAAGTAGTAAGATATTTTTATTTAATTATAGTCTAGTAGTTTAATAAGAATTTCTAAGGCTAGAAAGAAGGTATAAGAAAAACACTTTACTTAGTGCTAATTATAAAAGTTATACTTTTTAGCTAGCTAAATACTTTTTAAGCGAATTATATTAGAGCCTAAGTTAACTGGCTACCCGAATGCAGTTACGCAGAAATAATACTAATTCACTTAGGCTGGCTTAACAGTTAGTTTAATTTTTGATTAAGTAGGTTGTGACAGCTGTTTAAGCAGTGTTAGTTGGCATGTGCAGTGGGCTACTCAGAAGCAAGGTGAAAAACAAGACTGCAACAATCATTCACTCTGGGAACAAAACATACGCAGCAAAAAACGTCTCCTTTCATCGGCGAGACTGTCGCTGCCATACTGAAGAAGCCAGAGCAGACTGCGAAAAAATCCCTCTCTGTGTTCTCCTCTGTGATTATCTGATTCATGGTTTGAGATCACTCATGTGAGGCTGCGACTTGATCAAGGCAGCAAATAAGAGCGTGGCAGAGGTCGCTCATTCCCCTAATCTAGTATGCATTCCCGGCGAATAAGTCAAGGAATCCGGTGGATAAGAGTGAAAATGACGGTGGCCCTCTGGAAGTCAAAGCTGAGTCTACGCAAGAGCATCCAGTGGAAACTCAATGACTTTCAATAGTCCAACACTTTACTAGTATAGCGACATATCATATCTGACTGATAATTGTCAGATTGTTCACTAGTCATACATGGACATAATGACCCCATCAATGGAGCATTGCAGACATAGCAGCTAAAGTTACCCTCACTACCTCGAATTTCGTCGATTAAGCCTCGATTGGCGGCTGTGTTTGTTTCATAAGCAAAGCGTTCATCTCAATTTACGATCCAGTGGCGAGGAATATCTGAAGGTCGACCTACCAATAAGGAGCCAATGTCATTGAATGGCCTCAGGAGTAGCCCCTTGTCTCTGTCAATCTGCTCGTGAACAGTAGTAGTGACTACCTGAGTTCCGGATGCGATTGCCTGCCTGTCGGATGAAGCAATGGGCGAAAGCATTTGCAAATTCTCGGCAACTTCTTGAGCGTACTCCTCGAGGTTTCCCATTATTTCTTGTTGATTCTGTGCCGACTGTTAGTCGATATTTTCATTACTGTACTGAACGGCGGAACCACCAACATCTTTGACCGTAGATTTGACACCATTCTGTGCATCTTTCATGAAACTATTGAGATCTCTCAATTTCTTGTCCATGACATTCTGCTGACTGTTGGAGGCATTGGCCTCGACGCTGAGCTGTTCACACAACTCGAGGCCTGGAAAGATGTATTCTTTGGACACCGATGTATACATCAAGCCAATGCCACGAAACATGCCAAGGTAAGCACGTATCATCATTGTGAATGTAAAGATTGTCTATGCAAGTAAAAAGAGGTCAATATACGAGGGGAGGATGCCGACATCTCACGATGAAGAGCATACCTGGCGGCGAAGATCTGTAAATGTGAAGCCCGCAATCGATGGCCCATCGCTCGTTGCGGTTTCCACGTAGTCAATGAACCTAACGATCTGGTTTTCCATTGCATGATCGATCATTTGACCAATCGCAAGGAAGAATCGAGCCAATTTTGTAATCTCCGCCTTGAGCTTGGAGAGCGTGGAGATGCATTTGATGAGGATATTTTTGATCGTTGTCTGATTCATCCATCATTAGAAAAGGCGCGCTGATCGAATACAGAGAGGTATAGCGAAGGCTCACAAAGGATATCTTGTTCGATTGGAGTACTGCAAGCTCCTCCATGATACCAGAGAGAGCTACTTGAACATCAACAAGACTGTCTGACGCTTTCTGGTAGTTGGATTGGGCAGCGGTGAACCCAGCTAGAGTGAGCTCCAGATTCGACTTGGCACTTTCGACGTAGTTGGCGACCAAAGAGTCAGATCTGCCATGGCTGGATACAGGCTGCCCGGCATTTACCAGAGGAGTCTGCAAAAGTCAGCGGCCGTAAGATAGAATGACTGCTGTTCAATAGGGAGACCTGTGTCATGCACCTGACAAAGATAAGTCAAACACACTGACCTGTCCAGAGGCGCCCCCAGGCACAGCTTGAAGGATACCGTTCAGCTCCAGCAGTGCCTCACGTGCTTCGTTGACCAGCCGATTCCACCTAACAACCTTTTCCGAAGATTTGTCTGGAGGGTTTGTCCCAAGTTCATTCAACTGCGCTGCAGTATCGGATACTTCATCCATAACCTGACAACCGTGAGCACGTAAATCCAAAATGGAAGAGTTATGCTGCTTTCTGTTACCTCGATTGTGGTGTCCAATACTTGATTGAGCTTTTTGCTGGGTGGTCGCTCAGACGCTTGTAGCGAGCCCTTTGCTTTCTCAAAGAGAGATTTAATGAAACGGAAGCCGTCTTCGCTTCCGGGTTTCACTATGCTATCCCAATCAACCCCGCCATCCTTGCCGCTTAGCAATGCTCCCAAGGATCGCACGCTGGAGAGCACCATTGGGACATAAGTGAATGCCGGATCGTCCACGTCAGGAATCTGAAGCCGGTTGCTGGGCTCTGTCTTGTTGGTGGCTTCAACATTTCTTCCTCCAGAGGCTGCCGAGGAAAATATGTTGATCGCCTGCAAAACGGAGCCAGTGTTGCCCATTGAAGAAAGCATTCCTGCTCCCATTGTAGACGAAAGCGTATTTGCGACTGATGATACAAACTGCATCCCAATCACCTCCCACCTATGCAGTTCAAGGTCAGGTAAACGCCAACTGAAGGGGATGAGTTTCGTGTCAAAAGAGAACACTCACCCAGACGGAAACTTATCAGCAGCATCTTTGAATGCATCTTCCGCGGTATCGAGGGCTTTTCCCATTCTCTCAACTGCCGCCTTGGCCATATCTCGCGCTTCAGTAACTCCAGAGAGCCGGCTCTTTTTAGCCTCCAGCTCAATCTCGTTGTGAAGGATCATGTTTTCAGTGTTTGTCTCCTCCTGAACACTTGCTTGGTGCAATTCTAGGACGTAGGCTTGCCACAAGTTGAAACTTTCTTCGACCTCAGTAATTGATTCTTGGCATCTGGTTGCCCCCTTTCTCAGAGACTGCATGTGGAATTTCAGGTCCTTGGCAGCATTCCGGTCCCCGAGGGTGCTTATAATGTCTTTAATCTGATTCGGCAGTTAGCGTCTCAGGTAGGAACTAGGTAGAAGGCACGGTCCTATACGCACAATATTGAACATATTCGTGGAAACAAGGGCAATGTTTCCCAGGTTGACCTCAGCCTGGGTGAAGGCGATTCGACCCATATCGGAACACTCAATTAGGTTTGCATTGAGGGACCTCCAGCTATAATGTCATATCTTAGCACGGTCTTGACCCGTTCGGAACCAACGTGGTTATAGGACCTTAAATGCTTGAAGCCCCCTTCAGGCGGAGACAGCGTTATAGAGGTCGCGCCGGGAACCGTTGATGCGACATAGCACGCACCCATAAGACTGATGGCCATCGGGGCGGCTGAGAGGAATTCGCTCCAGTTCATGGAGTACAGGAGAGAGCTCTGGATATCGAGGATGAATCTCGAGGACGCATCCGTACGCGTTGCTTCTTGTCGCCTCTGCTCATCAACGATGGCGGCTTGCTTTTCAAGCTCATCATGTCCGAGTGCGAGAGCCATGATGCTTACCTTTCCTGCAGTACCTCATCGCGCTTAAAGAAGTCGAACAACACATCAAATAGGTGAACGTATTCTATATATTTATAGGTGAATAGCCCAGAGAGCAGTGTGACATTCTCACAGAACAAACTTATTTCAGCTCAGGTGACGCGTTCCCAAATGAGGCAAGCATGACGATCAAAGGTCGCTTGAAGTTCAGCTGAAGCACGGTATGACAGCTTACCAACCGAGCTGGAGTCCAATAGTGGTCGATTGGCTCATCCTAGTCGCCTCTTGGCTTTGAGAAGTGACAGAGTTTGCATTCCAAAAGAGTCAAGGCCATCGACAATCACATTGACGTTTCAATTCAATTGTCATTAGAAACTGAATGCGCTGCGCCATCATACGCCGGGCTGAGTGTGTCACGATCGCGATTGGGTGATGAAGATGTCAATCGACATGGCGATGCAATTCGATGAGATTTAGACTTTTGTGCCTGCTGAAACACTGGAATGCATGGTTCAGCTGCGGCTGGAAAGTGTAGGGGAGAGTCGAACATCAAGCCTACCACTAACGAGCAACTTGCTCTGGATAAGTAAGGCTCTTCGACACAGAAAAACAGAAATGCAAAACCGTTGGCGTCTTCCTTGGGCAGCTTTATCCACATACACATGATGGACATGAAACCGGGCATAAGAGTTGGAAAACATGCCGGGGGCATACAACGCTTCCAAGAGCGAGCTTTAGGACCCCTTGATTGGATATCCAGAATGAACTTCTCAAGCAGCAACGACAAGCTGACTTTCGTTATGAGGCCGACTTGGATGCTGATCCTGGAATCCTACGAGCGAGAGGCCCAAGGGATTGCTGTTCAAGTCGTCGAATTCTCAGCCAGACTCGCCGCACAGATAAAGGATTCAGCGGCCACATCTCTAACGAGCCTCAGAACAGCATTTGGCAAGGTGCATGAGCTATGCAGCGAGCTTCACGGAGACTTTGATGACCGAGGCGGAGACACCGAAGTCGTCACCCGCATTGAGTCAATCTTGAGTGAAGGGGTTAATGCCTTTGCAGCAGCAGAAACTCTCGCCGAGGACTCCTTCATTCAAGTTTCCCAACTGAGCCAAGAGGTACCCATGTTCGTTTTCTAAATGAAAATGTTACTATTTCAGCAAGAGCATAAGAAGCCTAATTTGACCAACCTTATGCCAGATTCGAGAGACGACGGACATAAAGATTCAGAACCTCCAAAGCGCAGTCACAGAGTTCGAAACCATTGCAATGCCTGAGGCATTGGAACAAGCCAGGGCAGAACTTAAACACACAGAAGATGACATTGAAGTGATGACGCGGGGAGTTGTAGCCGTCGCGGAAGCTGCCGCTAAGCTGAGGAGAATGAAAAGAAAGCTAGAAAATACGATTGTGAGTGCAGGGAGTCGTCTCTCGGTGATCATTGTCATTTCTGTGGACTAACGTGCAGAACCCAGCCCAAATGGGCCGATCCGACGGGGATAGCTAGGCAAATATCTGGTATTAAGGACAAAATCAAGGACTGCGAACGGGAGGAGTCCAACCTTAATGCCAGCATTGCCAGTCAAACTGCGGTTCTCGAGGGCTACAAGGAGCAGCTCGTCGCGCTGGAAAAGGCGTACCATGACCGCGAGCTGGGCCAAACCAGGATCCCGGAGCTGCAGGAGAGAATTGCTGCAACAAGCGGCGCTTGCGAGAAGACTTATGCCGACACAGTCACCACGAAGCAGCAGGCCGGGCTGTGCTACAAGAAGTTACTTGAGTGCAGCGTTCAGGCTCAGAATGATGCCGGCCTCAAGAAACGGCAGTTGGTGGATTACATTCTGAGCCTGTTCGACATGGGATTATTCCACCCTGCAGTGATAGAGCCGGTTCGAGTGGCTCTTCTGGAGTTGGAGAGGGACGATGGGCCCAAGGCGTTGTTGAAGACTGAATTTGCGGATCGGATCAAGGAGATATGGAAAAAGGTTGATTTCATGATACTTGGCCATGATCCATGATTAATGCTGAGTTAAATGTTCACGGGGTCATTGATGATGATGGAGCAACGCGGTTACCGAGCTATCTGGCTGTCAAGAGGAGCTTTAGCATCACAGTCATGTATAAGCATCGGATCAAGGATGGCGGTTTTCTAGTTGCCAACACATAGCATCCATGCTGATCGCATTCGCTTTTTGACTCTATATTTCTATCTCTTGGTATGTATGTCCATAATCTAATCGTTCCTTACTCTCTGATCCCAGAGAACACGAGACTCTCGGCCTCGATGATGAACTCCAATCTCCAAGGCGGGGCAGCGGAACCCTTCCCCCACTCTTAAACCACTCTAGAAGGAGACAAGATGAGTTGAACATTTAGACTTTTGCAACGGCTTTTCAACTTTGTCCCATCTTTTCATCGAGACTCTTGCATCAATCAGCTCACTGGAAGACGGAGGATATATCCCTGCACCGCTCTAATTGCCCATCATGCCGTCGACCATGGGAGTTGCCATAATCGGAGGCGGCCTGTTCGTCAAGGCATCACATCTGGCAAGTTCTATCGACTATTGCCAATATGACAACATGATAAAACCCTAGCTAATGCTTTGCGCAGCCCGCGGTTCTCAAATGCGACCTCTTTCATCTCGCTGCCATCTACTCAAGGTCTCTCAAGTCAGCAGAGGAAACCGCCAGCCTTATTCCCGACTCCGTTCCTAAGCCGAATCTCTACTCTGAAGACTCAGGCGCCGGCAAGTCGTACCAAGACCTCCTTGCACGAGACGACATCACCGCCGTCATCATTGCCCTCCCCATTCTCAGTCAACCTTCTTTCATTGAAGCGGCTCTTTCTGCTGGCAAACACGTCCTCTCCGAGAAGCCCATCGCCAAGGATGTTGCTACAGCACGAAATCTCATCGCCACCGCTCAGCGCATTGGCTCAGAGACCAAAGCCACTTTTGCAGTCGCCGAGAACATCCGGTTCTACCCCAGCTTCGCCTATGCCGCCAGCGAGGCCGCAAAGTTTGGCAGAGTAAACAACTTCACCGTCCGCGTCCTGTGGCGCATCGAGCCCGACAACAAATGGTACAACACCGCTTGGCGCAAGACGCCCGACTATCAAGGAGGCTTTCTGCTCGACGGCGGCGTCCACTGGGCTGCGGCCACGAGGCTGCTATTAACGGGCGACGAGAACACGCCGGACGCAGTGCAGGCATTTACCGCACTGACGTGCGAACACTTGCCGCCCATTGACACTGTCAACGCCATCATCAAGACCAAGTCCGGGACGGCGGGCGTGTTTCAGAACTCGGCTGGGTCTCTGCTCCAGGCATTCGAGTGGAACTTCTCGTACGAGAAAGGCGCCATTAAGGTGGCTGGCGAGACAGTCACGGTGCAACCGGCTGGGGGGGAGGAACAGGTCAAGCAGTTTGATAGGACGAATGGCGTGAGCGAGGAGGTGGCCGCCTGGGCGCAGAGCCTCGTCGACGGCAAGATCAACCCACTGCAGACGCCCGAGCAGGCCCTCGCCGACCTCGAGTTTATGGAGAAGATGTTCAGAAGTGGCGACGAGAATGGATCAGCGCAGAAGTACGAGCTTCTATAGGACAAGAGACAACAGCGCTAACAACGACGCATATGAGCACAAACTGAAGCCATTCAACGAGGCATCCAATCGCTGACTCCATACAGAGAAGAGTGAAAACATACGAGAACCATCTGCACAACCAACAGCTCAAAGCTTGCTTGCCTCCTTTGGTGGGACGACAGGTCCCAAGTGAATTTTACCCAATGCTTCCCGTAGTTGGGTATTTATGCCGTTTTTGGGGGGTCTCCCCGTGGCCCTCTCAACAAACACATGCACAAAGCCTCCCACAGCCTTGACCTCGTCACAGCCCTTTTCGAACAGGGCCACTTCGTAGGTTACGCTCGAGTTCCCGAGCTTGATTACGCGCACGCCGACCTCCGCCACGGCCGGGTAGGCAATGGAAGCCAAGAAGTCCGTGTGGGAGTGCACTGCCAGGCCGTACTGAGGTGATGTAGGGGGGTGAATGCCACACTTTTCGACCAGATAGCTGTTCACGGCCGAGTCGAATCTAGCATGCAGCAGATCCAGCGCGTCAACTAGTCAGCTATAGTCTCCAGAAGCCAAAGGTATGCAGTGTCGACCGAGTCAGGAAGCAGGAAACAGAGTTGGGTGACCAGGACTGAAGTTTCCCAGGTGGCTCAACGCGTATATGCGGGTGAGTCTTACAAGAAGTTATATACTGAGTTGTTCATGTGATCGTACATGTCGTTGTCGTTCCTGTAGCGGCAAAATACATCAACATGGGACACAGCCTCTCAAACACAGTGGAACATCTCAGCGCTGAATAATCTCTCTGGCCTGCTCTGCTGTCGAGCTTGTGTCTTGCCAACGCCTGGCTCAGAGGTGGGTTCGTCATACGGGTATGCAGCAGGGACTGAGAGACAGTCAACCCGACTGGCTGGGACGGGACGCGTGGACCACGGTGCGAGGAGAGGTGTGACGAAGATGAAGCAATGCAATCGGACTCACCATCTGGTTCTATACTCCAGCAGGTATGGATAGTCCCGGCGACAGCGGGTCTTGAGGTCGGCGAGGCCCATGCTTCAGGTTCGACGTGGACGGGGAAACAAGGAGCAGTGCAGAGGATACGTGGCGTGCCAGACACCTGTGCTGGTCAATGGCGATTGAGACACTCGGAGGAATGGCAATGGACACGCTGAGGATGAATGAGATGTAAAGGATACCATCACCTCTCAGAGCGACATGGATTGAACAGGTCCGCAAGTTAATGTCGTGCTCGGTGAGACTGGAGCGAGGTCACTTCGGCAGAAGCCGAGCCTCGGTACACTTGACGTTCCCTTCAGGGTAGGCAAGCAACCAAAAAGCGGCGAAGAGATGTGAAGATGTGATAACCTAAGCATCCAGAGGGTTGCCGGCCACGCCTAGTGTCGGATTCCCCAGTTCGCCGCCTGCCTAGTTGGGCGGTTCTGCCAACTCAGACCGCCTTTTTTTTTGTATGTTCATGTTGCACCTCAATGAATTTTTCCCTTCCACGGCAGCAGATGCTACGTCACTCCGCAGACGACAACACGCAAATTTCAGAACAACTTGATTTGCACTTCAACGGTCAAGTCCGTGATCCGGAGACTCGACACGCAACAGACGCCAGGCGAGCGGCGGCTGCTTCTGAGGATCGCCGCGGAGGAGCGTGTGGCTGCACATATTCGAAGCGTGTCTCCGGTCTGCGGTGCTGCCTGCTGATGCTGCCGCGGGTCTGTTCGAGACGCATCCGCACACTCACACGATCCGCCGCCGTCGCAATGACAACGTCTTCCGCACTTCCCGCTCCGGCCGCCGCAGCTCCTGCGAGAAGCTCGGCGTCCGCAAATGGCGCTTCGACGCCTGGATCGATGGCGGCCGCACAACCTGAGCAGTCAGGGGCGTTTGAAGCCGGAGTGGGAGCTGGAGCCGAGGGGCAGGCGATTGTTGAGGGGGGTCACCAGGACGGAGACAGAGCAGCGCATATGCCAAGGGTCAACGGAAGCGTGCAAGTGCTCGCGGATGGAGTCAAGGCTGCCAAGAAGAAGCAGAAGAAGCCGAGTCCCAGGGACCGATCCACCATACCCGACCCTAACGCCGTCCTCATTACGCCTGCGGGCGACATCTGGCCGCGTCCGTACGTCTTCGAGGACGATCTCCGGCGCGTGCTACCTTACCACTTCACGTACAACACGTACTGCAAGGAGAGATGGCGCGGGCGGTCGCTCATAGACATATTCGAGTCTGAGTTTCGAGACCGGCCTGTCGAGTACTACCGCAACTCCATGGTGAGAGGCGACATCTACGTCAACGGCCGTGTGGTTGGCCCAGACTACATTGTCCGCAACGGGGACCTGATATCACACACGTTACATCGCCATGAGCCCCCCGTCACCGCCGAGCCTATAGGCATCATCCACGAGGACGACGACATCATTGTCATCAACAAGCCTTCGGGCGTTCCGGTGCATCCTGCTGGTCGCTACAACTTCAACTCGGTCATTGAGATTATGATTGCAGAGAGGGGCAGGGACTTCATGCCCTATCCGTGTAATCGATTGGATCGTCTGACCAGCGGCATCATGTTTATCGCCAAGAGCGTCAAGGCAGCCGAGGCCATGGCCATCAAGATCAGGGGGCGCACTGTGAGAAAGGAGTATCTGGCGCGCGTTGTTGGCCACTTCCCCGATGGCGAGGTGGTCTGCGACCAGCCGATACTGCAAATTTCCCCCAAGCTGGGACTGAATCGCGTGCGCGCCAATGGCAAGTCGGCCAGGACCGTCTTCAAGCGACTGGCGTACTACCCACCGCGTGACGGCGATGCCGATGAGCCAGCTGTGCTGGGCGAGGATGGGCGGCCTTCCACGCCCGCGAACGAGGAGGGGTGTGTTGGGGATGAGCAGCGCACGCCTTGGCTGAAGAAGAAGGGCTACTCCATCGTTCGATGTCTGCCGGTGACGGGTAGGACACACCAGCTTCGGGTGCACCTGCAATATCTCGGACACCCCATCCAAAACGACCCCATCTACGCTAATCAGCGGGTCTGGGGTCTGAACCTTGGCCAGGCGGATGCCGATGGATCGCACAATACCGACGAGGACATCATCAGCCGTCTGAATCGCATGGGGAAGGAAGATGTGGCGGAGGCTGTTGTATACTACGACGAGATGGTGGACAGGTACGAGAAGCAGAGAGCCGAGAAGATGACGGGCGAGTTGTGCGACATTTGCCAGACACCGCTCTACTCAGACCCGGGGAGCCACGAGCTGTCTCTGTGGCTTCACAGCCTGCGATATGAGGACGCCGACGGGAGCTGGGCATACACGAGCCCGTTACCCAAATGGGCCCTTCCCCCAGAGGGTATGAGTGGGCCGACGACGGTAGGCGGCATGGAGGAGCTTGTGGAAGCCGTCAAGGACGAAAACCCCGAGATTTCATCCGAAGTGCAGGCCAAGGCAAAGGCAGCGGCCGTAGCCAAGGAGCAATCTCAGGCACAGGCTCAGACAGAGCCAGAAACGCAAGATGCTCAGTCAGGCTCACAGCTGAATCTAACGAATCACGAGTCATGAAGTACGACAATAGAACAGGCAGCTAGCCATAGACTTTGAAGAAGCAATCCAAAGACGGGAGCACCCGAAGGGTAGAGCTATGGAGCCTAGAATACTATGAGCCGATGGAAAGAGGGCTCTCATACTCACGATAATGACGACAATGATAAAGGTTGTTGGGTAATCAACGACTTACGGACGACCTTTATTTTATATATTGGTGTCACACATGATATGCCTACCTGCTATTGGAGCATCGCATCGCCCCGTGGGTTTTTATCGCCGAGTGTTTGCGGCTTGAGTCACTTATTACAAGCAGTGGATATCACAGCTCTTTGCAGAAGTTTGCAATGCTTGAGAAACGACAAAGAAACACTATACTCACAGCCGCAACCACAACCACAACCCACAACCACGTCAATAATCGCAACACCATGAATAATGACTCGTCAGAAACGCTCATTCTCTCATTCGCACGCCCCTCCCTGGCCTTCTTTCCTAGGCGAAAGTTATGTCGCGGACATGATCACTCTTTGCCAATTACGGCGATGGATCAGCTAGGTATGCGTGGACGAAAGGCTGTGGGGGGGAGAGGGCGCCAAGAGAGGGCAAATTTATCCGAAGATCTACTTTGAGAGATGAGAAGATGCAAGGGCCAGGCAACCTTGATGATGTGTACGAATACGTGTGTTTGTATGTACATGAGATAATAGATCACTTCGGCAAAAGAAGCTGTTGAGCCCGTAAAGTGCTGCCATGCAGCAAGGGGGGTAAAGATGGATGATGCTCAGCTGGGTAGATACAGGTAGATGGTTGACGGACGTTGGGATGTACATATCGTATGAAGGCAAACAAGCCACTGTGACGCGGCCAATGTAACTGGCAACTGCAAAGACAATGGGCATGAGGCATGCATGTGAAAAGTGAGCCGTTTGATCACCGCAACGCCATTCGTGCAGCGAAGAGCGAGACGAGCAGACCGGGGAGGGGGTCAAAAAGTGGCCTGCTGCAGATCCGAATCTCTACTACGACGGTACAAGTAGATACAAAGCTGTGTCCTACCTAACAACTTGCTCACGACGGGACGAAACTGCATGGACAAGGCTCTCTTCACCGACCGCTCTGTTTTTGGCAATGCTTGAGGGGGAACAGGGAGGCAGGGTGGCTAACCTACCTATCTTTTGACGACCCTTGGAAGTACATGCGGGCGAGATTTGAATGATAATGCCTTGACAATGATGGTGGATGTGGTTTCGCTCAAGGGGGCCTAATGAACGCGGGTACACTGCCGAGTACATCATCTTGCATATAAATGCTCATACTACAAGCCTAAGTGACTATCCTGGGGGTCGCCTTCTGTAGGAAGGAATTGTCCGAAGAGTGAGATAAGGCTGAGACGGGTTGGGTGAACTGAGAGCTGGAAAAATACACAGTCCACCATTCAACAGGCATCGTGATACAAGGCTCAACCACGTCACGCCTCTTACCCATGACAGCCTGGTCACCTCATGGGGAAGTGAAGCAGAAGAAGCAGCCTCGCAGAAGCAAAAAAAAAAAAAGAAAAAAAAAAGAAAAAGGACATAGAAGGCGAACAATAGCACTAACAACAAGGCAAAGAGAAGGCTGCCACAACGAGATCGCCAAGATATCTGGATATGACCAGTACTCGACTCGAGGATGGATGGCAGATGGTGGAGAGGGGAGGAGCAGGAGGGAGGGACCAGGAACCGGAAGTCAAACGAGCCAAATGGGGCCGGAACTTGACAGCCGGCGGTCAAGACCATGGACCAACCAAACAGCGTGCATTCTGCCAAAGGCGCTTCTCCATCCATCCATCCATCTTCTGTAGAAGTGAGCTAAAAACCTCCGGACCGTTATGAAAGATTCTCCAAGACAAGGGCTAGGGCGAAGAATAAATATTAGAAAAAATAGAAATAACCCGGCGGGACATGCCCTTTTTCGAAAAGCTTGATGAGCGGGTCCCTTGTCCAATCATTCGGGGCTAAAGGACTCCGTTCTACTTGTACTGTGCAGGTACTTGCAAGGAAATAGGTAGCTTTACTTCATGGATGGGAGGCAACTGGAGAGCTAAGATGGAATGGTGGACGTCCTAGAAATTTAAATCACGTTCTTTGTCACTAAAGCAGAAGAGAAAGCGAAAAGCAACAAGTCGCTATCACAATGACGAGATGGTAGACATCGGATCCCTGAGCGAGAGCGCGTCATCGTCTTGTGCCTTTGCATCTGCAGTCGCATCGCTATATCGCCGTATTGAAGAGGCTACCCAAATAATACTCATACAAGTACAAGTACAGTATTGAGCATCCTTGGCCGCATGAAAAACAGACACAGATTAGAGATGCTTAGAAGATGACGGGAAAAGAATGGGGCAAATAGGAACGCTTCTCCCCTTGCTCGTAAATCAACACTCACTCACCCGTCATTTTCAAGGAGGCGAATGAGCGGTCCGATGATGTACCCTCAAGTACCTTGGTCTACAGTATTACAGTGTCAGCAGACTGATTTGCGTCCGAGTTACCTACCAGTACTCGGAGATTCGCCAATCTTGTAATTTAATTCCGAATCCGGGCAGATGGAGAATGGAAGCCCGGACAGAACATGAAGAAGAAAAGGCGAGGCGCGGCAACACGTCACATATATCTTTGCTCTTTGCCTCTCCGCCAAGGGCTGTCAGTGCGGTACTTGCCGTGTCTCCAGGCTCCAAAAAGCTGGAATGACGACAACAGGTGTCTGTGTGTCTCCCTTTCATCCGCAGATGGCGGATAGTTGAGCTGAGCGCGCATGAATCCAGACAATATCCCGCCCCAATGATGGGCATCTCAGAGCCTTGCTCAGGAATAGGAGGCGAAGAGATTGAGAGAAAAATTTTTTCTTCTCCCGTGTCAATTGGGTGAGGCGGTAAGGGGATGCAAGTGACATGTAAGAAGAGACCAGCCTGGGGAATCTATTTGCCTTGTTTCCTTTGGGCGTAGGGTGGTTGGCGTACGAAGCATTTGCTCCGATGTTTGTCATGGGCTCAGCCTTGGGAAGATGGGTGGGCAAGAGTGATGCACGTCTGCAACCTCTTCTGCCTTGTTACTGGGCTCTGGTTGGATGAAAGGCACTCTGTTGTGAGATGGAACGTAAGCTGAAAATATCACTAGAGGCGCTGTAGGATCACGCAAGTTACGCGCAAACAGGCAATAGTCTCCTCGATACTCGTTTTCAATGTTTGTCCGGGGCTGAAAAGGTGGCATACCGCATGCAAGGAGCCAGATGCAAAACCCTGTCGATCTGGTGGTCTTTCTCTCACACCTGCCGGTACGGAGAATTGGTTGGATGAGCTTGCGCTCGTCGCAGCCTTGCAATGGTGCCAGGATGCTTGGAACCCAGTTTCTGTTAAAAGGCTCGTAGTACTGCAAGATAAACAACTTGCTGCTGGACAGACCGCAGAGGGGGCGCCTCCACGTACATACCGTCAGGCTGAGCTGGAGATTGCTCTCGAACCACCCCTCTGGGGAGCCATGCAGAGTCGCCATAGGAGGCAATTACTAATTCCATGCACCGAACTTTCAGAGCTTCAGCCGGCTTGCATTTATTACTATCGAAAGCCACCAAACAGATGCCCGAATGAGCAATTGTGAGCAATTCGCCACTGCTCACAGCCTCGCGGCAATAGGTAGCCTCACCCATCTTCACACTATGGTAGGTAGTAGGTGCGTGTGTCCTGTTAATGGCCAGAGTAGCCCAATCAACCAATGCAGCCAACACCCAATCAAATCTCGTCCATGCGTCCTATTGCTCCGAACCCAAGTCCATGTTGTACCTGTACCTTGGATAGGTAGTACGTGAAGCAGCATTTTCTTTGGTTAGGTCACCGCCAAGGGTTCCATACCCAGTCGGAAGCGCCGCGGCTGACGGTGACATTTCATTGACAGATTCACGTCGCGTTACCGAAACCAGCGGGCAGGGCTGGATGACAAAGAGGGCATGAAAACGGTATGCGCATACTACGAGTACGATACTATAGGAAGGATTTGGGTATCAAAGACGCATTACCAAGACGCCTCGCCCGAGCCCCGACGTCTGACGCCTAACATTCTTCTGAATTGGGTCATCTGGTCTAGCAGAGGTCGCAACAGCGCATCACCGTTAGCCCAATGTGCAGGATATCCACCGCCTGTCAGCGGGTGGCCGCCCCTCTCGGCTACATCCCGACCTTCACTCTCCCGTACCTATCCAGACGGCAGATCTGTTCGGCTATGCAGTACGAGTACTACTAACATTTGTTGCTTCGTACTAGTAGGTAGCTTGTGTAGCAGAACTCAAAAGGAGACGGACAATTGTTGGAAACCGTCGTCCGTGCAGCCCATGCTGGCCTAAAGCCAGCGCTCGGGTAGTGGCAGAAGCAGCAGGATCGGTGCTCGGCGTTCAACCTGCCATGCCTCGCAATTCCTCCCATCACCGAGCCCACACTTCCAAAGCTGGGTTGCACTTGTAGCCATATTTGCCGTCTCCGAACCAAAGTGCGGACAGGCGGCTCTGGGACATCCATACTTGTACGAATGCCGCTGCCCTTTGGGAGGCCAGGGGTGGGCATCATGGCGGCGCTCAGTCTTCTCCGCTATGCGCTGCTAGGGGAATTTGATCTCGGATGGGGTGTATGAGTGTTGTATACATACTGTATTCCAATTAAGCAGACTAAATATTCGTCGTGCCGTCTGCAGGTTAATCCCAGAATAACCTTCTTCTCCTCGCGGACGGACATACAGGAGGCGCCAGCGGTGGATCGTGGAGATTGAGAGAGATAGTACCCTGATCGCTCTCTGGCATTTGCGTCTCCGCTCGTTGGGCTGCATGCCCTTGCTGGCGCTGTTGTAGAATTGCTG